AACTGGTCATTGTCAATCATCCAGTCGTCCGAGGTGCTAGGGCCCGTCCTAGCGGATGCCATGGTGGAAGGTTCAAGCACACTCGCGTCGAACAGGTTGGAGCAGGCATCTGTAGAGATGGAGGTTGAGGATGGAGGTTGAGGATGGAGGCTGCAAAGAAGACGGAGGAGAACGAAAATCAAATCAGCGCCTGTAAGTTCCCCTTCTTCCCACCCGCATCCAGCTTCGACTGACAGATTCATTCCAGTTTGCCCTTTTCCAAGACAGGCAAGGCCTAGGATCCCACCATTTGAAGCTACATACGCCGCGTCGCTCTTCTTTCGCGCAACGGGCCACGGAGAACACGTCAAAGTACCAAAGGCCGCTGATCACAACGCCTTGACTTACCACGCTCGCCCATCCCAGTCTGCCAGCATCCCATCAATGGAGCTATCGAATTTCTATCATGAACGATGCAAATGCACTTGTTGTCCGTCAGCTGTCTCGAAAAGGTGTCCCACGGGAAGTCAGTGTTGGAAAGGCTGGAAAGCTCAATCAATGGGGGTTTCAAGTGGAGGACTTGGCTAGAGAGCGGTACTGGAGGCAGGGGCATATATATGTTGTTGCGGTTTAATATTAGCGATTTGGATTATCTGGAGTTTCAATTCAACTGCTGTGCCTGTCTCTACCATTTTTGTTCTTCTCCGTGGCCCTTTGCATTCATATATGTGGAATAGATCCCCTGCGACACATCGTGTGCCACTACCTATGCCTCGCCGTGTATCTTGGCCTCTGTCCTTCCGGACTCTTGTGCTTCTCTCGATTTCTACCCTGTCTTCGATTTTGACCATAGTGGTGGCCGAGAAACTTCTAGAACGAAAATGAAAGCAGCTACTACTGCCGGTCAATCCCTCATTCCTTCATGCGATGCATTGCCGCCTGTTCACGATGACCAACCGCGTGCTATGAGCGAGCTTGATGGTGTTCAATAGACTGGCCGCGCAAGCTTCGAACAGTCGACCAAACATCTTGCCAAGCGAACACTCTGGTCGAGTTAATGCTTCAGTAATACTTTGACACCGAACATGAACGGATACGTCTTGCATTAGAGACGATTTGGTGGATGAAGGGGCCGTAGTTGTACAGCAAGTTACCATAACACCATTCTTCAATTCTGCTGCATCTTCGAAGACGCCCTGTCAGGCGGGTTTTGTCATTGTATGGCTGCCACAGTTGGATAACATGATGACAAGCCTCTTCAGAGCATTTTTCTCCAAGAGCTCCTTCATGTTGAGCTGTCGGAATGCCCCAGGCTCTGGTCAGTGCCGGACAAGGCAATTTGAGAGGAGCTTCGTGCGATGGGATCTCGATTCAGCCTCTTCGAGGCGGCTCTCGGTGTACCATAATCCCAGGATTGGCCAACATCACCGCTGACTCTAAGTGAACTAGATACAGAATATGATCTTACTTGCATTCGATTTTCTCCCGTGGCAATAGCAAATGACATCCGACAATGCTGAATTACTGGCACAGACGTTGAACCACCGTACTCCGTATCTGAGCTCAACAAAGACGACACCATTCGGACGTTCCATCTAGAGAGAGTTCCCTCAAAAGTAGTCTACGAAGATTGATATTTTTCCCACTTTCAGACTTACTTCCAGCGACCGCCGCGACTTGTAACAGGTTTTGCTTCTGCCTACACGGGGGAGGAGTATTCTTGTACGGCCTCGCCAAATGGTGGGATAAAGATGACCGGAGATCCGAAGAGGCAAAGTTCTTGAAGTCAGACGAGAGTATTGTCAAAGACGAAGGGCATTCTGAGCCTATGAACAACCGGTAGAAGCTGGATCTGTCATATTGAAGAAGCGCGTGGGAACTTTGGACAGCGGGCGGATGAGCATCTTGCTAAACGTCCCTTCGAATATCGCGTGCGGGGAGAAGGGCCTTTCGGTCTTGATATCTAAAGTGTGACAACCATACAATAGCTTTGTAGAAGGCTATAGAACACTACAGGCACATTGTGTTCCTTTTTGCCGCATCTTGGGAAATCCTGTCTATGGCCCTTCGAGATAAGTATGTAACTGGAGGTAATGACAACAGGGGGAAATGCTAATAGCACTTTTTTTTCTCTTTTTTTCTCACTTTGCTACCATTCGAAAGGTAATATATTGCATCAAGGTCTCAATTTGCTGATCTATTGGGCACTGGATATTCGGATTGTTGTAATCTGGGGAAGTGTCAAGGTGGTGTACGGCCAATCTTGGTCGCGCTGTTCTCCAGCCCGCAAACCAGCCAACTGAGGTAAATGGTGGCACAAAAGCCAGTCAACGATGCGTGAATAACATTAGAATCAAGTTTTCAAGTCTTGCGTCTTTGTACTTGGCCCATGCAATAGCACATTGGCGTTCTGTATGTAGGGACAGCATCGTGGCAGTCCTTCCCAGCTGGCGGGCCCCTTTTGCATCACCACCCACACAGGATGCGTCACCTGCATATGTACATTGCTTTCCATAATCCAAAAGGCAGTGCAGAACAAAAGAAACTTTACAGAAATACTTTGCGATGTCTGATCTAGCCCTCTCTCACCAGTTACCATGAATTTTAGATGTGATACACATGCTGTCACCGCAAAAAGAAAAAAAAGTATGCGTCCCCTTCCTACAGCAAACAAGACGACACTTCAAGTCGTCACACGCAAGTCTCGAACATGGGACCAAGCGGACCAAAAAGTAAAGCAGCGCAAGACTTCACCGCGACTTGCCGTCACGGTAAAGTCTTACGCTGCAGAGAGCTCTACAATCTTTCCTGATATACCTCTCCCATTGCTTCTCGCCGCATGGACCACAGAGGGCCCTACCATCTTCAATAATCATCATGTTTCGAGGCCATTTGGTACAGTTGAAGGCGAGAATTGTGGTCTTACGAATGATGACAGCATTCAACACTCTATTTAGGAAAATATCATTTTTTACAGCTTCATCTCATATGTCAGTGTCACCCTCCTCCTCAGGGGTCAGAAAGGGGCACGCCAAATCCCAGATCAGACCAAAAGAAACACACATGCTCCGGAATGGAACACAATCTCTGTGAACTGGAATAAACAGGCGGATTACCTTAGCCTCAGAACTTCCCCCGCGGCCTGAGCTCTGCAGTTCCTCTTCCCAACCCATTGACCCCCAGGCATCCTGCCCCTTGCTGTACCTCGCGCCATCCGTCTCCCGTCGGTCTGCGCCTTGTGCTTCGTATCCGTATCCTGAAGTCTCTTACCTAACTCCTTCTATGACGACTACCGAGCCACCCTTGAAACAGCTTGTGCGGAGCATCTCGCCAACCCCTTGCTCCCATTCGTCGGAGTCTCTCTTCCGGCCTCGCAGATACTCCTTCACTTTATCTCTTCACCCTTTCCTCAATTCACGCGCTTCTGCTTCCTTCCAGCTATTCCCAGGCTAAGCTTTACCATCCCTTCTCCTCCGTTCTCTTTTTGTTTTCTCCTCCCATCTTCCTCCATCTTGCGACTCTCCCTCCTCTTCCACCTCCCATCTTCACACTCGCATCTTCGTCTACAGCGCCCAGATACACCGCAAACATGACTTTACTTTCGTTGCCTTATGTGCACGGTAAAGTCTTACGCACCGCACCTTGTCTCCAGGTGAGCAGACTTGATCACGGATATTGAATGCATATCCCCTCTGGTTTCTGACGAACTCGGCAGCAGCAAGAAGCGGCGGCGGCGTCGACTGTCGTCTATCGTCTGGCGCCCTGTCATACTTTTCCGTTGCCTCATGTGCACGGTAAAGTCTTACGCACCTTGTCTCTTGGGTGGCAGTACGGGGACCGACCCAACCCGCCGCCACCCAGATGCACTGGGCCCAGTGCTCCTAGCAGCAGCCAAGGTATGTTGAGCTGAGGCTCAGAGACAAAACGCACTGAGATCACCCGTTTCTGACTGCTTCGGTAGTAGCAAGCAGCGGCCATTGTACATCGTCGGGCGCGCGGGAGGTCTATTGAGGCCTCATCCGCCCGGCCTTCGAGTATCTCACCCTCTGTGGCGTCCCGTTCCAGGGAAGGCTACACGCGGCCAGAACCATTGCCGGAGAGGCAGCCCAATTTGCCCGTGCGCGAGGTCAAAACCCGACACATGTCAAAACCTAGGCAGATGGAGGGACCGCAGGGATATGAGCAACATCAGCATGGGGAGCAACAGTGGGGGGCGGAGTAGCCGGAACACGAGCAGATTCCGCGGACTCGAAGAGGTAGACGAGGAAGATGAGAGCGGCTTCATCGATGGGAACATGGAACTGGAGCAGCCGGTATGAGATTATACAAGAAGTAAAACGTCATCAATGAATTCACTCTATATCTCCTTGTCCACTTATCGGCTCTGAGAGCTGCACACAAAGCGTCTGTAGCGACTTGCACATCCAGAAGATCAAATTTGAGTGACACTCCTGAGATGTAACAGCTTTGGAAGAAATCTCTGGCAATTTTTGCTTGCAAGTAGTAAAGAGACAGACACGAACATGTTCATCGACATTTGAGGCTCTGGACTGAAAATTCAAATCAACTTCGAGCCTGCTCGTTGGTTACCCTACCTATGTGCAGATCAAAAGCATCTCCGCAAATGGCGAGGCTGTGAGTACGAGAGCCGTTGATACATACGAGCTCTTGACCATTCGTAGAGGGAGTTCAATTTGCGCCGGTGTATGAAGACAAATCAGGTTCTAATTTTCTGGCGAGTCTTATTTCCTCTGGCACTCTTCTTATCTTCCGTCAGCCTGTCCATTGGATCGAGCCGAGGACATATACAGCTACACCTTTGTGTTGATACATTACAAATCCTACGTGAGAAGAGGTTTCATGGCCCTGAGAGACCCTCATGACCTGCTGGAGATTCTAACGGACATCTGGCTTGATTCAGGAAGATGGTATGATACAGAACAAGGTGGCTCGCTTTCACTTCAGTCACGCCGAGGTTAATACCACCCCAAACGTCATCCTACCCATGTTGACATCAGAGGTCACTGCCCAGCCTTGAGCCTGTCGTAATTCACCACTGATTCGAGAAGAGCCTGGGCTCCAAGTGCGCTGTTTACCATTGAGCTGTCAGCATGACCATGATCTATCGGGAGAAGTGCGCAGTGCGGCAAGCTTACCAATCCTCCGGGCTGCAGTACTCTTCGGGATGGTGGCTAACGCCGTCTTTGCAGGGGACAAAGATCATCGTCGTGGGGCATCGGGCGCTGGTGTTGACGCTGTCGTGGCCGGCTCCGCTGGTGATGTGCAGCCAGCCGTCAGATCCCACTAGGTCCGTTGCAGCCTTCTCGACCATCTTGATGCAGTCCGGGTCAAATTTAGTGGCTGGAGAGTCCGTGTCCAGGGTCCAGTTGACTTGGACGCCACGGCCGTCTTGTTTGGCAATGTCTTTGAAGGCCTCAAAGCAGAGGCTCTGCACTTGGTCAACCACTGCGTCGTCAGGGTGGCGAATGTCGAGGGTAAATGTCACACGGGATGTGATTGTGTTGGTGGAAGAACTCGGAGGGATCTTGAAGACGCCAGTAGACGCCAGCGCGCCGAGGGACTTTGCAATGGAGTTGGAGGCGACGATCATCTTGGAGGCTGCCAACAGGGGGTCGCTGCGAGACTTTAGAGGCGTCGTGCCCGTGTGAGCATCGCGGCCGTCGACGGTGACGGTGAACCAGCGGTATGCCTGGCCGCCCTGGACGACGCCAATCTTCTTGCCGGCGTCTTGAAGGATGGGGCCCTGTTCAATGTGCAATTCAAAGTGGGCGCCCAGCGGATATCCGGCTGAGGAGCACGCGACGTCTCCGATGTAGCCCAGCCTCTGCAGCTCCGACTTGACCGTTACGGAGGGATCGAAGATGTCGGCGAGGGAGTAGGCTTGTTCGAGGGGGATCTTGCCGGCCCAGACACCAGAAGCCATCATCGACTTGGGAAACCTAGCACCTTCTTCGCTGAACAATGAATTAGAATATGCAAGACGTACAAAGAGGGTGTTGAACAACCCATCCGAACAAAGGCAGAAGCGAAAGGAATGGAAAGGCGACGAGGATCTTGACAATTCAGAACATACTTTGTCCAATTGACGACTCCGACGTCGTGATGGGTCTGGTATCCATTCTCCTCAAACGTCCGCAACACCTCAACGGCGGCGACAACGCCCAGGATACCGTCGTACCGGCCACCTCGAGGCTGAGTATCGAGGTGGCTTCCCATGGCAATCATGGGAGTTGGGTTGGAAGTGGCTCCTCGTCTGCTGGCGAACATGTTGCCAAGCTGATCCACGACCAAGCTGCAGCCCAGCTTCTGCGTTTCCTCGGCGAACCAGCGCCTCGCCTGGGCATCATCGTCGGTGAGCGAAAGCCGCGACATGCCCGTCTCCGTTGGCCCGCTGTTGGTTTCCATGCTGTGTCAGCTTCGCTCAAGTCGTATAGTCCGCGATAGTTGCTGGACAGACCTTCCATAGCGATGAGCGGCTCCCCATTGGCACGTGTGATGGATTGTCTCCTGGAGTCTGTCGGCGTTGATGCGGAGGCCTGAGGCTGGGGCGGAGATGGGAGAGGCCGAGTAGAATCGCCTGGCGGCAGTGAACGCTGCCTTGCGGGGGATCAAGGGCATTTTGTTCGGTTTATGAGCAAGAAGCAAGCTTATGGTAGCAAAAGGTCAGCCAGATTGAAGATGTCACAGAGAAGGGAGAAGACGGTTGAAGCAGCAGTTGAAAACATTTGACTCGGTAAGGTAGTATGTAAGAAAAGCAAGCAATGGATGATGGTGGAGTGTCGGGCAGGGCTGAGGTTTGCTTGTAAACTTGCAGATGCGCCCTCCGCCTTCCAATGACATGAAAGAGAAGACTTTTCGCACGTCGAAAAAGGTCGGCAATACGTTTAGGATGAGTTTCTCGGCGACCTGCGGCTAACGGAACAAGAATCGAATCAATATTTCAATACGTAGGTTGAAAAAGAAGGACAGGCTCTTCGGACACTCGGCCGGTGAAAACAAGTCGCCTCTGTGCCTCCCATAATGGTGACGTTTGAGGATAGGACAAGGAGTATAGTGTACCGCGAGCTCGGCAGAGCTTCGACCGCTGAGCAGGTACAAGTACTAGACTCCCCGCCAACACCTTGGTACCATCGAGCAGCACGGCGGGGTAACGGACATCGTATCAGGGTCCGAGATAAGAGGAAGCGAGTAGGTATGTACTGCAAGATCATCAATATAATATGTCCAGCGAAGGGGATATTGGATAGAGCGAATTTATCAGAGCTCAACTTGTGATGCTGTAGAGTGTTGGTCAATCTGCGATTTGGATGCAGGTAAAGCAGAGAGTACCTTAGATTGGACGGGGGGGATATGCCGTCCGAACCAGCGGCATCAGTGCGTCAAGCAGAGATTCGAGGGTATGTTTATCGGATATAGCATGACTGAATATATTGATCGTAGAAGTAGGTATGCTCGAATAGAATGGAGAAGATTGTTTCCAAGAGGTTACCGTCGTATAGAGGGGGGGCGCGGAGAAAGCAAGGGAGACTGTCTTTCTTGAGATACTCGTGATATCTGAGAAGCACATCAGCTTTGCTGTTTCATTGTAGAAATGACGCTGAGAGTCCGTCGAATAAATGACAGGGAGGGGAGAAAAAGCCATTCACCGTTTTCGCTTCCTTCCGAAGGAGATCGTCGGCTGCCTGCAATGGCGACACCAGCTGAATATTGTAACGCGGAGAAACTGGATCGTTGTATGAGAACGGCACCAAGGTCTTGGAAATTGTAGCTTTCAATGCCAGAATGCGCGAGGCCAGTGAGACCAAGCGGGCACGGACCTGGCCACGAGTTCTTTCAAGCCTTCAATATACCCAATCGTCTCGCTCGATACGCTGGCCGGTGACTGGGCCTCATGCAAACTTCTTCGAGGTAGTCAGAGGAGACGGCTTGGCCATTGAGGCTGGGCCATCTTGCATCCCACGCAGGCTCGAGGAAGCCCTTGGTCTTTCGCGAAGAAGCACGAGCGACGGTCTATGGGCCTCAGTCGCGGGGCAGAACACCGCAATGGGGGGTTAACTCACAGGCAAACTCAACGATCCCGGTAGAGACAATCCAAGGTCTCCATGCGCATTCATGCGTTGTTCGAAATATCTCCAGCCCTTTGTGGATGAAGGTCATGATATGCGAGCTTGACTCGTCAAACCCCAGTGCCTGCCGAGGCCTCGCAGAGGCTGATCGGTTCAAGACAAATCAGCGTGATTAAAGGATAAGGCGACTGATGTGCTTCGTATCTCGACCGGTACTCTGAATTGGTGAAATGGTATTGATAAACGATGGCAACACAGCCGTACTCTCTGCCCTTATGACACTAACTGTCTCACGAACGAGACCGATGTAGTTCAAGTCCACATCTCTATCTGGATATTGAAGCATTTGCGCCTACCGCTGATGTTATTGTAGAATATGAGAGTGAGGATGAGAACAAGCACACACTCATAGGCAGTTGTTTGCACTGACATGCAGTAGAGGAGTTCCAGACTTCGGTGAGGCGAGACGACAGCAACACACAACGTTGATGCAATAAATCAGATTGATCCGACGATTTTCACGCAACAATGCCCGTCATGATTCAGCAGCACTTTTTGGAGAGCAATCATGCGTGTGGGAGAGGTCGACACTCCGATGTGTGAGCCATCCATACCTCCCTATAATGCAGACCTACCCGGTATTGTGATGCGGGTGGACACTGGATACCCACGGACTGATGCCAGGGCAGCCATGTTGACTGTGTGACAGATGAGTGAGGCCAAAGATGCGGGTGTTGGATTTGTGCCTCCTGATGGCATCATGCCGGCAGCCGAGTAGTAGTTCGCATGACGGCGTCGGAATCGGAGGGACTGGAGGGATAAGATGGAGAGCGGAATGTTCCTAGTCATGGCGCTATCGTGGGGTCGAAGACAGCGGGGAAACCGGTGCACAGGCGCTGTAACGATCAGTTGAGAAACGAACAGACGGTTCAATTGGGGAAAGTCGGTCGCACCGGGTCATTGCATCATTGAGGAGTGTTGTGAGGTGGCGTTGAATCGTCGCCTTTGGCATCTCGAGTCTGAATGAGATACGGTAATAGAGGCAGATACGGTACATACCTACTAGGTACCTAGGTAGGGCTGAGATTGGCTGGCATAAGTGCTGTGGCGCTGAGGTGTGGCTGTGGCGCCTCGCTAAGGCATCCAGGGTCTGTACCTGCATTCTGTGCTGGACGGGCGCTGTAGATCATGTACTGGGGACTTTCAGCGGCATCATGGCGCGCACGCGGCGAATCTTATCGAAGAAGATTGCGATGTCACTCAACGCGAGAGGAAGGAGCAAGAGAAGCGAGGGCTTGATAAGGTACCTACACACGAAACCACGAAAATGAGGTCATCTTGTCATTAATCGCCAAATACAACGAGATGTCCACCATTTCTGCAAGAGCTCTGCCGTCTCTGGGCTTGATAATATCGCCAACGACAAACCCGACAACTGTCTCATGCTGTCTCCTCTCAATTCGGCTGTCGACAGGCATCAAACGGCGCTACGATGGTGCAATCAGCGCCTGCAATGAGCATCGGCTCCTTGGCTCCAGGTTTTGCTTGGCCGCAGCCAAGTCTAGGCGCACTGACGACCGTGGCAACGGATGCTGGCAAAGGCGTCAATTTGCAATTTGTCCCGGTCAGCTTTTGGCTCCAACGCCCGACGAACGGCTCCATGACTCGGAAGCCACCGCCGAGAAAGCGCCTTCAACCGGGGCCAGGCTTGCATGGACGGATATGTAATACATACAAGCGATTTCTGGCTGGAGTACGGAGTGATAGCGCGGTGAGAGAGCTGGAGAGAGCCTCGATGTTCTTCTACACTGGACTAATGATGGAGTGACAGCAGAGCATGAGGCAGATCGACTATTTGTATCACATTGTCTCGTCTCGAACGAATCCAATTCGACAATTGACTCGACACTCCGTGATGCCGACATGCGGCAACAATCTACAGCAGCGAACCAGACACTACCTTATTGCTCTGCCTCGGTCCCCGTCGCTTCAGCATCCCGGTCGACGACGAGCTTTCGATTACGTACAAGCTCGAGTGCGCGCCTGTGCTGCATCTGTCCGAGGTGTGCGTCCTTCTGCTGGGTTCCGGACTTGTTTTGTCAGCAAAGTCCTTGTCCGTTGTCCGGGGTGCAGGAGAAGCTTCAGCTACTGCGACTTCGTGCTGCAGATCCCCTGCGGCAGTTGCACGGCCCCCTAGTACCAAGAATGAACGCCGCGCCGGGTGGCTCTCGAGCTTCCAGCCCAGGGCCGCCAATGCCATGCCTGCCCTGTCAAGCCTTATCCGGGTCTCGTCGTCACAAACCGCATCTTTGCCACGCCTCATTGGAGCCTCGCCGTCGGTCTGGCTCCCCAGTGGGGAAATCTCTCGATCACGCAATCGCCTAGCCCAGCGGCCAAGTCCGCGCACGGAACGCCGTCACGCAGCCATCGCCAGATTTTTCCTCGCTTTTGTTGGCTCTGGGAGGGCAGCAGCATTTTTGCATTAGATAAGGGCATGGTTCTTTTGTTCTCGAAGGCGCTAATGGATGCAGGAATCTCGAAACCTACTCGTACTTCATCTGCAGACTCGTCTCCTTTCCTGCTTGTCTCTTTTTCTCTCTGCGCTCTTCTCATCCTGCTACTAGCTCGGTGTACTGTATGGGGCACTGAGATCGAAACGAGCGGTTGCTTTCACAGCAGTCGAATTCGATATACAGCCGATAAGTGACGCCACACCCGCTGCCAAGGCGCCGGCATTGCATCGCAACTCGTTCTGGAAGCTCTTCACGATATATTACGAGAAACCACCAGTGCAGTAGAAGTGGGAAAACCCTCTCATTTCTCATTTCATCACAGTCTTCGTCACCACCACTATACGAGCAAGAAGGTGATTTACAATGGGTTATCGCCAAGATTACCTCGGCGAGGAGCCGACGCCTGGCTATGGCAAGAAAGAACACAACGAGGTCGGCGCCGTCCCCAACGATGAACTCGAAGGCTCGACGCACATCCTCCAGGACCGCCTCCGCCGCTCTCTGTCTGCACGCCAGGTCCAGATGATCGCCATTGGAGGGACCATTGGCACCGGTCTTTTCCTCGGCACGGGCAAGTCGCTGGCTACCGGTGGTCCAGCATCGATTCTCATCTGTTACGCCATCGTTGGCTTCATCGTCTTCATCACGATGCTCAGCCTCGGAGAGATGGCTGCATTTTTGCCAGTTGCCGGAAGCTTTTGCACATTTGCTGGGTATGCACTGATGCACTGCCTGTGTGGTTCTTTGACGATGGGGAATGTCCGGTTTTGCTGACGTTGTCATCTTTGTTATAGTCGCTTCGTGGACGATGCCTTTGGCTTTGCTCTGACATGGAATTACTGGTTCAACGACGCTGTATCAACAGCAGCCGACTTGGTGGCCCTGCAGCTGATCCTGCAATACTGGACCGACCACTTCCCTGGATGGGCGCTCAGTTTGATCTTTTGGTTTGTCCTAATCGTCGTCAACATCGCCACTGTGCGCGCATACGGCGAGGTAAGCGGCCCTCTTCTGCTTGTAAGAAACCAGCTTGTAAAGAATCAGCTTGACTGACAAAGTCACGAACAGCTCGAGTACTGGCTCAGCCTCCTCAAAGTCATCACTATTGTTGTAAGTAGTAGCTTTGAACTCGTACTGCAAGCGAACCCGCAGCCAGCCAGCTGACACCCGGTTAGGTTTTCATTGTCATGGGCATTGTCGTCAACTGTGGCGGCAACTCCGAGGGCCGCTACATTGGTGCCGAGTACTGGCATATTCCTGGAGCTCCGTTCGTCGGCGGCATCGGCGGGTTCGCGTCCGTCTTTGTCACTGCTTCTTTCGCGTGTAAGTGGCTGGGCAGCGTAGCCCTGATATCGTGCAGTGCGTATGGCTGACAAAATGTCATAGACGGTGGTACCGAGTCGATTGCCATCACGGCGGGCGAGACCAAGAACCCTACTGTCACCATGCCCAAGGTTGTGAAGAATGTCTTTTGGCGAATTCTCCTCTTCTAGTACGTCCATCATCGCGACTCAGATTACCGATCATACGCAATGTTTCGTTGTCCGCTGACAAGTTTCAAGTGTCCTTGCCGTTCTTCTCATCGGTCTCAACGTGCCCTACAACTATCCCAACCTCAACTCCAAGGACACACGCACCTCGCCGTTCACCATCGTCTTCCAGATGACCGGAACAAAGGCCGCGGGCAGTGTCGTCAATGCCGTCATTCTGACTAGCGTCCTGTCTGCCGGCAACCATGCGCTGTTCGCCGGAACAAGGCTGCTGTACACCTTGGCCATGGAGGGCCACGCGCCGCGATTCCTCGGCACCCTCAACCGTAACCAGGTGCCTTGGGTGGCTGTCCTGGTCACCGGTTTTGTCGCGGGACTCTGTTTCGGCTCCAGCTTCATCGGTGCCGGTCAACTCTGGTCGTGGCTGCAAAAGTACGTGATCCCCCCTGACATTGCCCAGTGCTGTATCGCTAACCTGATCTCGTGTAGCATTGTCGGGGTTAGTAACCAGCTCAGCTGGATTGCCATTGGCGTCACTTCTCTCCGCTTCCGCGCCGCCATCGCCCGCCAGGGCAAGACGCATCTGCTGCCCTTTAAGAACTGGACGTACCCGTATGGCCCCTGGTTCGCCATCATCCTCAACTCGTTCCTGGTCCTGGTGCAGGGCTGGAGCTGCTTCAGCCCATCGTTTGACGGCGTTAGCTTCGTCAGCTTCTACATCGAACTGCCCATCATGCTGGTCATGTATCTGGGCTGGAAAATATTCAAGCGGACCAAGTTTGTGACCCTGGACGAAATGGACCTTGAGACGGACGTGCACACGGCTGAAGAGCAGGTGGAGGAAGAGAAGGGTTGGAAAGCAAAGGCAAAGACGGTTCTCGGATGGTTGTTTTAAAGCACTGGCGTCGCTGTTGTGTTCCAGGCGTTTGTTCTGTTGTTTTTTCTGCGTTTCTCTTTCACGATACGATGACGATAACCCCTCCCCGGATTGGCAGCCGGCGGGATTGTACAAAGCCATTGACTGCGCATTATAGGTAGTCGGATATGCTTACATGGTATACATACCTACCTACGCGACACAACGCACGACGAGTGTTTTGATGTGACGATTGTGACGAATATGGATCATGGAAACCCTTGTGCTTATGAGTCGACGTCGGCAACAGTCGAGCTGTTTTGTCATAGGTGACAAAGGGCTTGCTAAACCGGCAGCGCAGCCAATTGATGGCAGGCCTGGTGCTTAGTAGCGCCACATGTCATGATTATGCAGCGACGGTTCGACATTCTTAAGCAGCAGGGCGAGGCTATACCCAAAGCACCTGGACGGACAAAGTCAAAATAGCCTACTAGCAGCGCGGTTGGGCGCACAAACTCCATTCTCAATCCTTGTCCGCAGCTTCAGAGTCCCGCAATCGCATCTGTTTTGAGGGTATCTCCGGGTGGACCTTTGGAGTCCTCGCGTTCGCTCCCCGAGACTGTTTGTTACTGACAAGCCGTTGATGCGGACTACAGTTCGTCCGGGGGCTGGGGCAAGGAATCAACAGACGTAGGTAGAGATTCGGACACTACGTCGGAAGTCCAGCTACCTATATACGAGTTGCTCGCCCATTGACACGAAGGCATCTAGGTACTCTGCTGCCAGCTTCTTCGGCCGACACGGGAGACGATTGAAGGGCCTCCCTTATTTTCTTGACTAGGCCTGAAAACGTTCAGACTGTTTGTCGACTCCAGCCCGGCGATGGAGTCGCTACGAGAAAAGAAGCCACAGCCAGCGGGCAACGATGCGACGGCGAACCGGGTCCAGAGGGGAGTCAACTTGCCTCCCTCGTCCTCTGATTCTGCGGCACCCGGGCCACGGTCTGCAATGCCCAAGATGGACCTGGCGGCCTTTGACGGATCGTTTGCACCGGCGGTGCGGCCGCGCGAGGTGAGGCTGGCGCCGTGGTATCGCAGCCGTGACTATTTCGTCGGGCAGTGGCTGGACGTGTCTGTGTGGAAGTCAGCGGTGAGTCTGCTTTGAGTCTCTACTCCGCTCATCCTAGTTGTCTCGGGACCCTAAATCTACTTCACTCACACATGGATGGTTGGCGAGGTTGGCCCATTCATTGACTCGATTGAAGTTTCTCAAATATGGCAAGGCTGATGTCCCTTGGTTATGCATAGGTTGTCGAGATGGTTGCAACTTCATGCCTCGTCTTCCTCTCTGGCCAAATCACCGCTACCATAGAGGGCTACGGGACGCCACAAGTTGGTGGCTACATTGGCATCTCCAACATTATACTCCTATCGACCTTCATCTATGCCACGGCACCTGCTTCCGGTGGCCACCTGAATCCAATGATTACCTTTTCCGCGATTCTGACGGGTCTTTGTTCCGTGCCTAGAGGTACGTATGCCTCCCCTTTGGGCTGTTCTACTCTCACGAGTCTCGAGCCACTTGAATGATTCAGATACCTCATGGCTTACTCTGGCTGAGCACGCCACGTCAGCTGTGCATGCATATTTTAAATTTCACTTCTTCTGCCTCTTTGCATTATGCTCTTCTTTCCTTGTTTGGCTTCACTGACGATCCGCTCATGCTAGGCATCCTCTACATGTCTGCCCAGACTCTTGGGGGCGCCCTTGCCGGCGGACTTCTCTTGGGCGTCTGGGGCCATGAACGCGCGACTAGGTCAGTGTCTCTACTGCCATTCCCCATCATGCAGTAATGCTGCCTTATCACCTTGCAAAAACACGTAATGACCATCCATCTTACGACGATCAGCCTGCAAGGAGGCGGCTGCTGGTACGACCCATCGCAGGCATCCCCTGGCCAAGTCTACCTCAACGAAGTCTTCTCGTCATTCGTCCTCCTCTTCCTCTCGTTCGGTGTTGGCCTTGATCCCCGCCAGGCCGCGCTCTTCGGCCCCCGGATGGGCCCCCTGCTGGTTGGCGCATCCTTGGGCTTGGTGACATTCTCGTCGAGTGGCATCATCCCCGGCTACGCTGGAGCGCAGATGAACCCGTCAAGGTGCCTGGCATTTGGCATTGCAAGACGGAACATGTCATGTAAGTTGCCGCTTTCTGAAGGCTCTTCGTCTGGTGCTAGGATCTTGCTTGTGATGGGCAGGTTGCCTGCGTGTTCTTTTCAGCCACAGTGGGCTAACGGACGGGATGCATTTGTTTGCCATTCTTTAGACCAATGGGTTTGGTGGTTTGGACCCGCGGTGGGAGGCCTCATTGAGGCTCTCCTGTACAATCTTATTCCGCCGCACCACACGGAACTCGTGAAGAAACAGGGCATAGGGAACGATCCAGACACGATGGTTGGGCACACAGACATACCTACAGTATGAAATGAGAGGACAAGAAACCGGAAATCCAGAGATGGCGAGGGAGAGACATTGGATCCAATAAACGGGATGCCGGATGGCATCCGATCAATGTGAGAGCGAGAAAAAGACAGGAATGTGACCTGGTGCCAAAAGATTCAAGCAAAGACATAACCGATTGAGATGCGTTGCTCTCTCACCGATCATTCGATGCCCTGTTTGTGTGGTTTGGGGGCCGCATAGGACGAACCGGGATTCGGGCATCTGATGGGGTCAACAGGACAGGGGGGGAGACCTCTTCGGATCCCGGATCACGGGACATTTGAGCAACTGCGGAACTTATTAGAGTTGTACGATCATCAATATACCAAACCCGAACGGCTTCGTCAGGGCTCTCTGGGAACAGTATGGAGTGCGAAAGGTTTCGGAAACATGCTTCATGACGTCTGTCCATCCCTTGGTTGTCAGCAAACTCGCCTTTCCGTTACCAGCCCTTCCACCAGCTACTCATTAGCCAGCAGAGCCCGCTAGCAAGCAGAGATAAAGACCAGCTGACTTCATTGGAGATTGCTTAGGGTGTTTGTTGCGGATGGACGACGCAGCGCAGGCCTTCGCTGGCAAACGACCCGACCCGAGCCTCTCAGAGATGCAGAAAGCGAACTGGGATGCTCCGCAGCGCCAATGGCAACCCAGCCACGTCGGAAGCGCATGAGACATGAGGCACTTTGTGGAGATTACTTCGACATAGAAGTCGGGAGGAGCCATGGGACAGGTCAATCTACACTTTTGCGTACAGATCGGACGCCAATCTCGGGATTTACTAAAATGATCCCGACGAGGGCTGAGATCGTACAAGGTTGACGGTTGGTAGCAGCCGATCATGAGGTGCTACAGGCAGGACAGCACTCCACGATCTCCCTCCAGTGGAACCGAGGCTGAACGAAGGGAGGGGGGCTGAATGGACGGTTGCAGCTTTTACTCCACGCTTTGGTGCCCCCCTGAGGTGTTACCTATGACCGCGACAAAGAGGAGATCAGGGCAAAGCAGGTTCAGCTGCCGATACCTGGCCACGATCCGCCTCCAGCCGCCGGCATGGGTCCCGTGTAGCGTGGGCGTCGAGACACAGTGAACACAAACATCCTGGATAGGAAATGGCACGACCGCGCCCTGGCCCTGCCTGGACGAAAAGAGAATCACAGTTTTCGTGCTTTAAGTACGACGTATCAGCCGGCATCGTGTGCAACGCTCTTTTCTGTTCTTCACCTCGTGAGACGATGAGCTTGATCTCCAGGAGGCATTGATGTGCACCTTTTGTGTTGCCTGACAAGATAATTCGCCAGCTTGTTGTTCAGCTATAAGTATGAGTGTTGAAATCCCTCCCTTGTTTATGGGCATCTTGTTCAGTTCACCAGCACACTCTTCACAGTCACTTCAGAGGCTCACTCTCCAGCCATTTCTCAATTCTCAATCACTGACATTTCATCCGTTTCAACGGCATTCCTTCGTTTGCTAACCAACTTGTGACAATGAAGCTCCTCGCAGTCACGGCTCTCCTCGTTGCCGGCTCTCTTGCTGTGCCCGCCGGCTCCTACCCGCCTCCGCCTCCAACTTACGGAGACGATCCTTCGGGAGAAGTGGGACACCCTCCCGAGTATCCTCCTGACTACTCCTCTCAATATCCGGAATATCCTCCCGGCCACGGAGGAAAGGACGACGGAGACGAGGACAGCTACACGCCTCCTTCTACCACCCTCTCTCCCTCTTATCCGACCAGCGTTGGAGGGGACAAGTCTAGCTACCCGCCTCCATCCTCTACCCCTTATCCCCCCCCTGAAGCCGACGGCGACGGCGGCAACAACAACAGCGGCAATAACAGCGGCGACAATAACGGAGACGACAACGACGACAACAACGGAGACGACGACGACGATAACAACGGAGACGACGACGACGACGACAACGACAACGGAGACGACGACGACGACAATGTTCCTGGAGCCCCTGAGCAACCTCCCACCGACGGGGATAGCGATTCTCCTGACAATGGGACTGGCGGCGACGGTACTGTCGGCGGTGGCGATGATGGTGACGGAGAAGACAATGCTTCCGACCTGTGCCCTGGTATTCTTTATGCTAGCCCTCAGTGCTGTGATACAAGCGTGCTCGGGTTACTTGACCTGAGCTGCGAGCCCCGTAAGCCTCCCTGGTCCTCCCTCAGCAGCGTCTCTTTACTGACTTATTTGGTTCGCAACAGCTCGCAGCGCCCCTGCCGATGTCGAGGCTTTCAATGACATTTGCCAGGAGGTCGGCGCAAAGGCCCAGTGTTGTGTTCTACCTGTCGTAAGTTGACCACCCCCCAATCTCTTTGGTATCACCAGTGGACATGGTAGCTGATCCAGCTTGCAACAGGCTGGCCAGGCTCTTCTCTGCGAAGACGTCCCCAACTAGTAAACTCTCATTGAGTTTCGAGGCTGAGAGATTCTTTCAACATCTCGAGCCAAGGTAGCCAACTCGGGCAAGTGGTGGGAGGTGGGAGAGCAGGAGGACATCAAGCTGAAGTCACGATCATTTGTCACGAGCTTCTGCGGTTTATTTTCCCTTCGACGCTGGATTCCATGTGGTATGGCTTTGGGCCTCCCTGCATGGATGCCGGTTCAATTTGCTGATTGTTATAATCGGCCTTAATAAATACTTTGCATGCGTGCCAATGAACCTTCTTGTGAACATTGCTCTATGGTTCCTTTACGCCATTCCTCTGGAATCAACTCCCTTCAGTACGAGGCACTTTTAGCGAACGAGAAATGTGGCAAGTATGCTGCGCAACACAATCACGAGTGTCTTCCTACATAAGGAGATGATATTGGGTAATTCCCCCCATTACTCCAGTAAAATGCTGAGTTCCCTGATGGACTGGTGTAGCCGGTAGCTGTAAAAGTTGAACGGTGCTGTCTGCAACGGGATAAAGCCCATCTCCCGGCCTCCTGTCAAGGCATGGCAAGATGGCTGTTAATAGTGCTGAACATCCACCATTGCTTGCCAACCACTGTTGTCAGCCTGATGATCCTTTCTTCCCTTTTATGCCATCATATCGTCTGTGACAGTCGCCCAATTTCTTCGGACGATAGGTTTCTCTGCGACAAGAGACCGAGGGCTCTCCTGTTGTTTCTTAGGTATTCATGGATACTGTGGGAGATACAGTTCCTGCAGCACCCTTTCGTTTCTCTCGTATAACCAATTGGACGATCCATCAATACCTGCGACTCCGACCGATCGAGTTTCGAGCGAGCCGGACCGAATCCTCGCCCAGGCATTGCCAGTCATTCGATGCAATGCGCTATTTGCGGGCGAAGAAATTGAAAATTGGAACAGATGATAGCCAAAGGGAGGCTCAGTCAAACGAGGGTGGTAACCGGAAGCTGTAGGAACCAAAAGTCTCGGGACAATATCGCACCCTCAACCGCCCCCCCCCCCCCCCTCTGTCCACGACAAGGGGGTACCCGATGACCAGCGAGCAACGATTGCGACGGTGTTCCAGAACAAAGCATGGCTTTGGGACTACGAAGGTCCGATGTTGAGTCGGCCGCGATGGGAAGACCGAGAACTTTTGCGTGGCAAACGTAATTCGGAGAAGAAACGGGCTGCTGTCTTTCGCGGCCAGACATTCTTTGAGGTCATTGACTCGAGGCCCTTTCCATGGCCGACGACGAGCTGTTATTATCGATTGCTTCTGAAGATAGTGATTCCTAAAAGAGAGATAAAGGATCAAGCTGCATTTCACCCGAAATTTGCTCCGACGAGTGTTGTCCTGTAGAATGGTCAATTCAGGGTAGAAGGGCTCGCCGAGTCCTTGGGCTCTCGATGACCATAGCATGAAAATTGGAAGTCACACGAGGGAAAACCTCATCAACCGACCTTCAAAATGTAGTTGGAGGCTATTGTGTCTCATCAACTCTGGTGTTTGCGATGGATCCCTTGCCTGTGCAGTATGCCATAGTACCCCTATTGGCGCTCTGGGTATAGGTCGCTGCTTTAGGCATATAAGGAGCGCACAACGCAGTGACCAAGAACCAGGCTGGGCGGAAGTTCTCGAATGCTCTCTTTCTTGTTCACGTAGACTTGAGAAGATGCTCGTGTCGCTACGATTTCTTTGTTCAGGGGCTGAGTTCAGCGTTGACAATGGGGTGGAACTCGACCAGTATTTGTTCAATGTCGATCAAGATGCAGTGAAATGTTTTTCTGTTCATTCTACCACAACAGAAGAAAGCTTTTGCAGATATCCGTCAGGAAAGACGCGCTTTTCGCTGCGGAAGAGGCCAGTCCGCCAGGACGACGGAACCACTAATGGCAGCTGGCAGTGGTTTCTCCGGCCGCAATCGTTCAGATATCCCGAATCTACACGGTCTACAACATCAGGCGCATCACTTTCATCTCCAATAAAAGAACAACTTATCATGGCTTCATCACTCACGATACCCTCAACCACCGCAGCCGCATCACCAAACATACGCTCACCACCACAGGGGGAGCATCACCTACCCACAACACCAGGCAGACACCTTCCTCACGCTTCAGCAGGTGAGGGGCAACGGATCTCTTTCTCCGTCATGCTTCCCAATGTCGTGATGCGTCTTTCCAAGAAATGAAGAGAAGGCGCCGACAGATCGAACCAGGATCGTCATGAACATGCTCACCTTCCTCCTCCTCCAGACTCGAGCGCGTCATCTCGGAGCATTCTCGACCAATCTCAGGCACCGAAACGCAAACACGAGACACCCAGGCACGCGGCTTCCCTCCGAGAGCAATCGAAGTGAGGGGAAAGGTCGCATCTCGGCACAACGCTTGCTATCCCTGAGCTGTCATTGGCCTGGCCCAGGGTCACCGACACCTGCCTGCCCCTGACGAGCATCATCACGCCACAGAGACTGCCGGAAGGCGGTTCTCCGTGCCACGAGAGTCCGGGAAGGAACCTGGACCCCCCTCGAGTATAAATACCCCCCTCTCCCCCCCTTCCGTTTCCTCTTCTTCTTCTTCTCTCTCCACCAGCACAGCTTGGTTATGGGTTTTGGATACCAAACCACATCTGCATTCTTCTGCTGCGGCGGCCTCTCTTCGACCCTCAATCCGACTCGGTGAGTGCACTCCTGTCCTCCCTCCTCCAGCCCATCCCTCCGCCTCCCTTGCCCCTTTCCATCACTCAGGTCTACCACGACTTCATCGACATCGGCTCCTCCTTCGACAACGACATCTCTTCCATTATCTTCGACCCGAACTTCATCGATCGTCCCACCTCGTCCACCTCGTCCTCCGTGACCTCCACGACCGAAAGATCCTCCACGACCGAATATTCCTCCACGACCGAATATTCCTCCACGACCGAATACTCCTCCATGACCGATACAAATACTCCTCCACGACCGAGTGCTCTTCCACGACCAAATACTCTTCCACGACCGATACAAATACTCCCCCACGATCGAATACCCTTCCACGACCAAATAAATATCCACGACCGATACAAATACTCCTCTCCGACCAAATACACATCCACGACCGCTCCCTGCCCCTATACCATACTCTCGTCTCATCTATATACGCCCTCTCTATCTCCTGTTGCCATTGACGTGGTCATTTTCTTCATCTACACTCCCTCATTGATGTCTTTCGTCAACGTGACTACAGCGGGAGATCCCTTGGTGCTGACAACCTTCAGGAACGAGGGTCACACCACCCTACATGCCGCCATGGGCCGCCGCAGCAGATTGATAGTAGGTCAAAATTCCCTCCTTGAGTTCTTCGACTAACACTCAATCCAAAGCCGTGCTTTTCCATCTCTGCTGAGCCTCAATGATACAGCACCAAATGATGTAAGTCCCTGTAGATTCTCCATTACCTGTTGTCTCTACCCATGCTGACCCGTGATTCCTGAATCTCGCATTATAGCTCAGCGGCGTCCGCTCAGTCTCTTCCCTGGCCGCCCCAGACCTCGTTGGTTGAGCACCTCGTGCGTCCTCCCTCATGGCCCGAGACCACTTCTGCCGAACTGCGCTTCCATCGTCTCCGACCTCTTCTTCCGTTCGGCCGCATCTCTGTCGTGTCAACTACGGCTCCATCAACCGAGATCCGTCTGCATCCGTTGCGCTGCTCCCGCTCCATCGTGGCGTCCGTCGGCCGAGCTTCACATCCGCCTTTGTCGTTTCCCATCAGACAAGCCTTCGGCATGCATTGGCCCCAGCTGGAGTCGACATCCCGCACAACATTACAACTCTCCCTCTACCCATTCACCGTCTCCGGCTACGACTCGAAAGAGGAGCATCCGCCACATCTTTCTTCAGGCCGTCTGCTTCGAGGGCCAAACAAGGGATCCGGCGATGCAAAGGGAACTCACCCTTTGGATAGGGTTTTTGGATATTGAGCGTCAGGAGTTGGGGGCGTTAGGAGTTGGGGCGTTTGGGTTTGGATTTGGGTTTGGGTTTTGGATGTTTGTTTTGGATTTCTTTCTTTTCTTTTCTTTTGGATATGGGTTTGGGTATCGGGCGTTTGGCATTGGGGGAAGCGTGGCGTTGGGGGCGTTTGGCGTTGGGGCGTTTGGGATTGGATACCGGGATTGGATGTTGGGCGTTTGGAGTTGGGCGTCTGTTGATGATTCTTGAATAGGGGTTTTGTGTTGAGTAATGTTTCTCTTCTACATGTTGATACGATAGCCCCAGAGAAGCTACACGAATACAAGTCAATGGTTGGATGCATCAACTTTCGTCCACCCACCTTCGTGATGACATGATCGATGTGAAAACTGACAAAGTTCAACTACTGTGTAGACATTCTCCGAGGGCTTAGTATTGCAATGTTGTTCAGGCCTTGTCTAGATATAATTCAATTCTGACGTTGGAGTTTCTATACATGGAACGGCAGGCGACAACAGGGCAAGCTGGGAGTCACTGAGCCATCCGAGCGAAGTACGAACGGAGCCATGGTGCATATCAGCGGCAGGACAGTTACTCGCCGAGGTGTTGGCAGTCATATACAACGAGAATAATTTGTATGGTTATACGAGTTCAGGGGCGAAGACTACTGGGATGAGCCATCTGTATAAGCTTTCCGGCGAGGCCGTGTGTGAAACTAAGCTGGCGATTGAACAAGATGATACAAGGAAACAGAGAAAGAGATGATAATGAGAGTGTCTCATCTTCCAAAGAATTCACACCCTCCTCCGCAGACACCCATTCCTCATCATCTGATATCGTAATGACATTGTTGTTGACCGAATTATGGGCCAGCTGGCCCAGGCTTGGCACCGATTCCTCATCAGAACTGATCTCAATGGGATTCTGGTTTGTCGCTGTTTGCGCAGGAAACAAGACGCGCGACTCCGAGACCAGTCAGTATATAGACAAGGACAACCAGAAACGAGACATACCGTGCTACCAGATCGCGACGATGCAATAGAGGCAGAGAGAGTGTAGCTCTCGAATCGAAGACGACGCTCCCGACGAGCCTGCGTCAAAGGGCCGTGGATGTGTTGTTCTTCAGTATTAAGACCGCGATACTGGTCTTGCATTTCGCCTAGGCTAGACTGCCAACAATATCAGCACTATATCAGGACGATTACAGGGAGCGCGCCAGGAAATACCAGATTGATGGACACAGCCATTGAAAATGCATTTGGCATACTGGGTTAGTAGTGACATATAGGTGGCCCAAAGGAGACCGGCTACTTGCGCGAAGCAGCTTACAATCGCCCAAAGCCCCTGGTGTCGGCTTGGAGTATGCTCAAAAGCTCAACAACCAACAGTGCCGGCCCCGTTTCTGCCGAGCTACGGCATCTCGAGAATATTCCTTCAACTGATGTCGCTGACATGTCTTTTGTTTGTTGCGAGCTCCGACATTCCTGAGGAGATAGTCGGTGATTCGCTGCATTGGGCTTTCATGGAAAAGAACGATGGCACCTTTCACTGTATGGTAAGGCACATTCCGCTCGCCTAAGCCTTGGAGGTTGTTTGACCGACTCTATTCTGTCGCCGTCTTCTGCATGAATATTGGGGGCCAAGGCTGCTTGTTATGCTTTGACAATGTCTGGCGAGTGCAATTGCCGCAGTAGTGTATCCTTCAATCGAAACCTTCAACCGAAACCTTCGATCAAAACCATTCGAGGCCAAGTGTCGACCTGCCAATTCTGTAAACCACAGCTGAGGGGGGTTATTGTAGCAACCGATGGAGCTTCAAGCTCAAGCAGTTATGATTCGTAGTCGTGGGCTAGCATTTCGTAGGCTTGGTGTCGAACTGTGTCACGTCGTTCTCGGCTTGCTTGTGGAAAGGCCCTTGAGGTATTCGGCACGGCTTGATTCCAGTACTGAGCATCAAGAATCCAAAGAAGTCGAAGCCACATAACGTATGCAGGGGAAAAGTTGTGGTTTGCTGAACGATGGTCAGGGGGCGCTTTGTCAGATGGAAGCTGCAGGACCACTCGTCTTGCAGGAGTCAGCATCATGACGGTATTGGGATTTGTGTCTAATTCTGCGCCATCAAAACCAACCGAGACCACTTTGACAATAGGCACGCGACCTCTGGTTGCCGTGGTATCGACCATAGCAGCAAGACGTTGTTGCCCGGCCGTTATAGCTGTCTTGGCAAGCGTTCAGCCAGGGCATCAGCCAGGGAGACATCATCAGCGGCTGCGAAGGCTCGATTCTTTAGTCAAGAAGCATGACTTTAATCGTTCTTGACTGTTGGGGTGCTCAAGATAAGCGCAAAGCCTTCCAGCTTTGACGCTTCGGAGAGTTTGCAGCTACCAGAATTGACCCATCAGACTGCAAAAGCCGGACAGAAGCCAGCAACACTTCTCCCTGAAAGTACCACAAGAGTTGCTCAAGTATTGGCAGACCACTGAAGAGGTGGCTTTCCTTCTGCCGTGGTTCGGCTTGAAGTCCATGACAGCAAGAAGCTCCAGGTATTGCGATGTTGTAGGGACCGGAAAGGACACTATTCGGGAAGGCTGGCGTCGAGGATCTCTCGTAATGCAACTGCAAAGAGGGCCGCCAAGCGACGTTTGAACAGCAAGGACATACTGGCACTTGTGGAATGCTTCACCCTTCGTGGTGGCCAACCGCGAAGAGCCAGCAGCTGCTGCCGTTGGCTGGTTTGCCACAGGATGGCTCTTTGGAAGAACCCTTTGCGTGGTAACTGCTGGCAGAGGGAAAGAGCCTGGATTGAGACACTGGTCTCTACTTCAGAAGGCATGAGTGGATGGTGTTGAGTTTGTGCCTCGAAATGGCTGTGCCAGGGGGTTTGTACAGGGGCTTCAAACGAGCGGCCTCGCTGCCTGGGTGTTCAGGCACTGGAGATCAAAACATGTGTTTGGGACCAATCTTGCTTGACCCATCGTCATAGTCCCGTGTATACATTTGCTGGATCGTCAATCTTGTTCATTCTTGGTAAATTGACTGCTCTGTACACAGATACCTGGGACAGGCATCTTCTTTTCCAATAGGAATTTGCTCCACGGTGCTCAGGAGCGATACTTGTAACTGTTTCCAGGATACATACAACATTCAAGAGCGTATACTTTCTGTAAAGTGCCGGAGAGAAAAGTATCAGAGGAAGGCTAGGCCAGGTATTGACTCGCAATACCTGCCGGGGTGTTTTGAGACGGTTGCCACCTGGTAGTATTTCTACTAGCTCCCCCCCCCCCTCCTTTTGATTCTCTCTCTCTCCATCATTTTCCCTCTCTCCATCATTTTCTCTCTCTCCATCATCTCTTTACGCCAGAACTTCATCTCCCAACCATCATCCATCCTGCATCCATCCATTTCCATCATCTTTCGATCTGTCTATTCATCCATCCGGCTATACATCCATTCGTCTCTTCGTCAGTCTCTTCGTCAGTCCATCCGTTCGACTCTGCGTCCATCTCTGCGTCCATCTCTGAGTCCATCTCCACGTCCGTCTCCTTGTCCATCTTCTTTTCTTTATTCATCTGTTCCTATTCCCGACCTCGAGGCAAACAAGAACTTCCCTGCTGTCGACTTTCTCCAGCTACACAGGTAATGTTTTGCCTCAGGTTGTTCGCGCTCTTCCCCGAGCTCTTCTAACCTTGGTGCTTTCAGTCTTTCGTCGTCGGAGTATTTCACCATCGGCCTTGTCGTTTCCTCGACTTACCCATCCAACACGCTGTCTCTTGCAACAGCCTCTACTTCAAAGTGCCACTGTGCGCAAGCCCTCTTCCCTTAAGTACGTCACCCCGGAATTCCTCTGCCAGTCTTCCCTCGTTTTCCATCACGCTGTCGCGTATGAAAGCAGTCTGCTAACCACATCAAACATTAGTTGGAGTTTACCCAGACAACGCCCTGCCGCTTGTGTCGCTGATGCAGCACTTTCTCCACCACTTCTCTCCTCCAGACTGATGCCCTAAAGAAGACTGCAACAGAAAGCTTCTTGCCTTGGTTCCGGAGAGCCGTCACCAGGTGGCCCAATAGCAGAGATGGAGCCGTTGTCGTTGCCAACCTCAAGGCTGTGTCGCGACAGACTTGACAGAGCCACGCTACAAGAGAGGGTTCTGCCTTGCAAGTTGCGGCAATCTGAACTTTCTGTCAGCTCGTCTGAGGCGAAGACGACGGGCAGTGCCATGCTACCAAGAGGATGGACTGTCGAGGAGTGACAACGGCTGGCAGACCTCTGTTAGGCAACGTTGCTGCAAGATCGCGACAACCTTGCGGCCCTTGGGCCCATGCTACAAGAGTGTGGGCAGCTTGCTGCAAGATCGCGACAGGGCTGCGGCCCTTGGGCCCATGCTACAAGAGTGTGGGCAGCTTGCTGCAAGATCGCGACAAGGCTGCGGCCCTTGGGCCCATGCTACAAGAGTGTGGGCCGAAATGACCCCCAAGACGAACCCCGGGGTGGTGTAGTGCGCATGTCAGAAATGGCTGCTCTTGATGAGATGCGGAAGGTCATGAAGATTGCGGCAACCTGGCGGCCCATGCTACAAGAGGGTGGGCCGTCGGGGGAGACGTACGTTTTCCTCCCTGCCCCTAACCCCTTCTTCTCCTTTTCGTCATTTTCTATCTTCGATCTATGTGAACACGCATAACCGAGTCTCAGCATTTCAGACGCCGCGGAAGAACCCTGTACGGGTTCGACCAGGACACCTGGACGGAGGAAAAACCTCATCGCCGTCAAGACACCAAACACAAGCCCTTCAAGATTGACAGGATGTTACCGGATGCCTCTTCGCGATACGTGCGCTCATGTTGAGTGCAACAAAGCCAGTGCCGTGACTGCGGAAGAAGAAGAGAGATAGAGAATGCCGCCTTCTATGGGAGCTGGCGGCCCATGCTATCAGAGGGTGGGCCGCCGGCGACACGACGAATGTGGACACTTGGAAACCTGGACAGAGCAGAAACCTCGCCGCTGTCAAGACGCCAGAAACAAGCTCTTCAAATTCGACAGGATTTACTGGAAGCAAGGGGTCTGAGAGGGACTGACATGCATACGTCGACCCTTTAATCTGTGTCGAGGTCAAAGTGCGACAACTGTGGCCGTCGAGGCGTCCCATTGCATCTTTGCCCAAACTCTTCGCGCTCACACAATGCAGCAGCAATAGGTTGAGCTTCATACTTGGAAGCCACGGCAGGCGCCAGTGCAGCTGGGCAAGGACCAAGATTGGTGGTGGTTCTGGACTTGATTGTGTGGGTTTAGAAGGGGAACATCACTGTGAGGCGGGGGGAACGTCGGCCACTGGTGCTGTTGGGGCATGGAAGAGAGCCAGACTTAGAGACAATTTGGTGTGATATTGAATAGGGAGTGAATTGAAGTAATGGGACAATATGTATCATCAGAGTATCTGTCGGTATTGAAGCTCGTCATGACCAGATCGTTCAGGGGTTAAGAATAGCTTCACTGGGATCCTAGCATATCTATTGCTCATTATCGGACAGAAGGTATAAGCAACTATCTGTAGCTTTTCCATCATTAAATTGAAGTTTGGCAACGTTTATTTCGCGTGTCCAACCGTTGGGCGGAGGTGAGTGTCCTTGGGTGTGGGCGGATACGTAGTAGTAGGACATCAATTTCGCCTCCAGACCGGGGTTCGCCTTCTTTCTCTCCCACAGCACAGTTCTGCCAGCTGGTTGAGAAACCCACAAACGACACTGGCTGCTCTTTACTACTAAACAATCTGATGACAACTGCACGATATTCCACATTCTCGGATCTGGTCACATTGCCTCTCCTTTCAAACCCAGGTGTTGTTGAGTCAGAAGGAAAAGCTGTTGCGCACCGATCTTTGAGCCCCTGGGTGGGATAGAGCTTGGTGAGAAGCCTAGAGACGCCATGCAGATGCAGCATCGTCTACCAGCCATTTGTTGACTGTGCAGATGAGGCTAGGATTGGCAGCAGATCGCTTGGAGTCACCTCGAGAGCCACAACCAGCCTCCGATACACCGCAACCATGACCACAACCACGACCACAACCACGACCACGACCAAGGCAAAGCGAACGATGACCCCACGCCTCGAACGCGACCTGACGATATCTGATCAAGACTAATTCTCTTCAGGCCGCAAAAGATGTGCAATCCGAGTCGAGGCGAGCTCCATGACGCCATTACTGCACGTCTTTCGAACCGAAGGAGGAGAGATGCCCCCAGATTGCGAATGACGGGAACAAACTGGAGGCTTCACTTGGCTAATGCCTTGAAACCTGTTGGTCCGGATTGAACCATCCCACACATAGGTAATACACTGCTCCCATCCACCGGCCGTGCTGCTCGCCTGAAACAACACTTTGAGGTGCATTCGACAAGCAGCAAACAAATGTGCCACTAGGTCCGATATTGTCCCTGCGGCAATGGTTCTCTTATGACAAGGGAGCCGTTCCGCATCTCCATCACCACGAAACCAAGCATGGTAGCAGAGCTAGTGGCTGACTTTGTAGCTAGGCCAGAGAAACACACTCCCACGATTCGAAGATTCTTGTTGAAGAGTTACTGCCGTTGCTCTGCCGTGTCGAACTCGCCCATCATGAAGCCAAGCAGTCCAAAGCCAAAGGCGAGGGTGTCACTGCACTGTAAATACTAATCACGGACTATTTCAGCAGAGGTACATAAACGAAGAGGGAAAACTCCGGTGATGGCACATCGGAAGATACCATCAGCAAAATCAACTGGGTAGTCATCGAAGGAAGTGGCTCACGACCACACAGATACCCTCGCTGCTAGACGAAGTCGGTACGCTACAAACACAATCCACTTACTGCGCCCATTCTGTGGTGCGTCGATTCTTCCCTAGTAGGTTTGCGACGCCGGGTTCTCTGACGCCAAATGCTGTGCAAAACAACACTTTCCAGCTACCGATCAAGGATCTGTCCATCCAACTATATCAGAGCCTTCCCATTTGATTATGCCCATTCACTAATGCTCTGCTGTAGCGACAGGAAAACGAACGAGCTTCCTACCACATCATGCCGCACGACGATGCAAGTTCCAAACAATTCGATCCGTCCAACATGCCGACCTCAAGCCTTCGATTTGCGATCCGATTACAGCAAAGGCGAGTCGAATCACCATCAACAGAGGACTCAAGTTACGCTTTCTTCTTCTACAATATATTGAGTTGGAAAAGCAATGCGTATGGACTTTTGCCACGTATTTGAACCCATTATTCAGATAAGATTGGGGAACAAATGAATACAAAGAAAGGAAGACGAGCACACATGGCGGTAAGCTGTTATCAGTGAACGGGAACCAAGCCACTTGGGAAGAGTTCACTTTGCTTGACGTCCTCATAGCGACAAGGCGCTTCAAAGATGCAGAAGCTAGACATGCGGAGAAGAGGAAGCTCTCAACTTGTCTGACATAGCTGGACTACCCTCTTCAATCTCCGGGTTCGAAAAGCTACTCGATTCTCTTCACTGATAATTTTCTTTGTCACAGAAATGGGACGATTGACTCTTTCCAAGCTCCAGAACGGCAACAGAGACTCCGAGCACGAGTCAGCCGCTTTCTTTCAAAAGTCAGGCGCAAAACTCGACCTCTGCATGGATTCGTCTTCTTTCCTTTAGACTACCGTCTTGGTGCTGCTGCATTCCTGTCTGGCGACAAAAAGCAATCTTCGAGTCAGTGTCCTCGAAACAGCCTTTTCTCTAATGTTGATCATCAGATTATCCAGCTATCCAGAAGCTCCAGAGAGAAAGTTCGCCCAGGCTTTCCCCGAGGCTGTGACTTGGCTCTCTTCCCAACGGCTACCAACAACGGGAAACTGAACTCGTTCTCTTGCTATGGTGCAAAACCTTCCAAGTGTTCCTTTTGCATAGCTGCAGCCAGTTCCTGCAATACCTGGCGTGAGCGGCTGAGCAGAGGCGCCATTAGCAGAGACGCAAGTTGTTATTGCTGCCAATGTTGTGCTGCGTCTCCGGCCTTGTTGTTGACGGCAAGCGCCTGACGGGCTCTCTGGTCAAGCCAAGAGACTGGCCTTGACACAGATATCGCTTCTTGTCTTTTGGTATGTCTTCCGCATTCCACTTTGACACCGTCAACGACGACACTCGCATCAGATCATCGATTCCCGCGACTCGACCATCATTGCTGAAGCAAATAGTTCATGAGTAGCTCTTGGCTCGGCAATATCACGGACCAGGCAGAGTGGCTGAGTGGTCTAAAGCGTTAGACTTGAATTATCCACATGATTCTCGCTATCTAATACCTTCGGGTGCGCAGGTTCGAACCCTGCCTCTGTCGCGTTTCTTTTTGCCCCAATCTTGTCTCGCGTTCATCGATCTTGTTCTGCGATATTTCTTTTTTGGTCTGCATCAGTCTATTTTTGGAGTTGCTCAAGTTGTGTATCTGCTTGTCTGTTCTTCGATTGGAAGAAGAGCGAGGACCTTGGCTTTCACATGCACGCCCATCACCAAAAGTGTCCATCTGCCTTTCTCTGCTATGATGTCGATGGGCACAGGCGGCTTCACCTCGTAATCGTCACAAACGCAGCACCAAAAAAAGAGTGCAAAAATAAATGAAGTGTTGGAACGATACATCCAGCGGACTTGATGCAGAGTGGCTTCGTCTGCGAGAGAGATTTCGGCAACTGAGCAATATCCATCCATGCTCATCGTTTTACGAGACTCGATAGGCAACCTTAGGCAGAAACCCGCTAAATCGGCCGGCATCACCACCAAATGCCACAGTTGATCAGGAAATACGAGGTCAAGACGAAAAGGTCTGCATGGCTTGTGCATACTTTGGCCGCTCATGAAGGCAACTTCAGGCAGCACCAAGCGCGTGCAGTCTTCACTCTGTCTGCTCATTGACTCTCACGATGATCCAAGTTACCCAAGTACCTCGAGAGCTCAGGTCAGGTACCTTGGTAACACTCTTTACCTTGCCCCGCGCTTTGCAGATTTGTGGCGCGAGTTTCACGCAACAAATCAATCATCTCGCTTTTTCCCAGATGGGAAGGAACCAACCTCAGTGATGGCATCATTGCCAATTCCACCAATTGGGATTCTTCCAAGCTGTCACGGATAGCGAAACTCTATTTTCCGAATACGCCAATCCCGAGGTGGTTGCTTGTACGAACTGAACTACTACCTCTCCTTCACAATAGGCATTCTCATGGCGATGCAAATCTCGAACTGGTGAACAGGACAGCAACGACATGTCGTTCTTTTCTCTTCTGCCATCACCGTCTCAGTTCGACTCCTTCCTCCTTCTCAAACTGGTGTCCTCCGAGCAACAAACTTCATGACTCTGATGCCGTGGGTTTCAATTTGCACGAGGTGTTCACGATGCCGTTCAGCTACTAGCTCTTCAGGAATTCGACCGACTCAGATCCCGTTCTCGAAGCCTTCGGCATAGGCTACAGACTCGACACACGGTTTCCGCTTCGGTAGCAGCAGCCCCATCGACCATGCAAGATTGACTGCACGTCACCCGCTTACTTACACGGTCGGTTTTGCTCGACCCCACGCGTCAAACGGTTCGCTCGGCATAAACTCGACCATGCTGACCATTTCTGTCCACTCTGGTGGACCACTGGTGGGTTGACTATTTTAGGCAGTGGCCGATTGGATACACGACCGGGACAACAAGGACGACTGAAATGACCTTTGGTGAGTATGAGTTTAAAAGGAGGTCGACGGCCCGAGCTACTTGTTCTTCGGCAAGTTCTGACGTCTCTACAGAAGAAGCCTCGCAGCTCAACGACACTGTTCTCCGTTTTTCAGTTTGCCCGTCACTCTACCTCAGTCTCCCGCCTTCCTACACTCGCCATGAGTGACATCGAAGACACCGTTCAAGCCGAAGAGGGAGATCGTCTCGCCAGTCTCCTGAGCCTATGCCCGCGCTATATCGTTGTTCCACCCAACCCCCCAGATGGCATTGCTTTTGCCATGACGGGAGACTGTCAGGATTGGGACCAATTGACCTACTGGCACTCTGGCATCTCCAACTGCAAGCCTGGCATCTGGAGGGCAGAGATCAAGAGAATTCCTGGTGCCCATGATGGAGATGCCGACTACGAAGCCTGTCTTCGTTGGGTGGCAGATCTGGACGATGATACTGAGCTCGACTTTGGCGCCTCCCTTGATGAGTGGCAAGCCTGGGAGCAAATGTTCAAAGACAAGTTCGACGGGTCTCTCGAGTGGGATAGCGGCATCATCTGGAAGCACGGCGGCACTTACTACGACGACGGCGGCATTTTCAATGTCATTTCCACGGCATATCTGACCCATGAGGCGGCAGCCAAGGTGCTAGGGGACGATTACAACGAAGACGAATATGACGGCTATCTGGAGATGATTACCCTCAATGATAACCCTATAAACGAGGAAGACAGCCAGCGGAATTACGGCTTCACACTTGGAGGACTACACTGTAGGTCATTATCCTTCGTATGATGCGCAGATGCTGACTTTGTTTTGCGTGTCAGTTGGGCAAGACAGTATCGGTGGTCCGCCTGCGATTGCTCTGGCTGAAAAGGATGGCCAAGTCGTCGCCATCAAGCTCTGGAGCGACGATGCCGAGATTGAGGAGGGCACTCCCCTTGAGAAGCAGCCCGGCCAGCTCGTCTTTTAGCGGTCATGACTCAGAAAATCCAGCTGTGATTTACAGATTCTTTTCGCCTTGCTTCCCTTGCTTCTCTACCTCCTATGTCCGTTTCGCCGCCGTGTCTCTCTTAATGGGGTGGAGAGGATCCCAAAACTGGAAGCGAGAACAGATCCGTTATGCAACACGCTCCACTATTCGATTACTATCATACTCGGCGTTTGATTCTTGCTAAAGCACTTCAAGAAACTCAATGAAGGCTGAACGCTAGTCTACCTCGGCCTGTCGCATATCCAAAGCAAACCAAGTTGCTACCCGTCACTAGCGATTACTTGTGCGACGTGCTCTGCAATGTTGTACTCGTACACTTTGCGCATCGGCTTCGCCGCCAAGGCGGGAAAGAGACCTGCCAAGTCATTGTCAGTTTCTAATTGCTGGGAAAGCCAGTCTATAACATTCCAACTCACCCATGAGCTTGAAGAAGGAATACATTGCATACTCGCGGATGATGCCCATGTCGCGCTTCACATTCTGAATTCTCTTCGCACTTTCGAGTATCTCTGTAACGCGTGGTTTCCGAAGATCCATATACTGTCTCGCGGCCTTGGTGACGGCCTGTCTCTGCGTCATGGGACTGCTCGAGTCTCCCCGCGCCAGTTGATGCGCCAGAAATAGAGCAAAGGATTCGCAGTCCTCCAACGCTTGCGATACGCCCTGGCCGGAAGTCGACGGAAGAGCATGGGCTGCATCTCCAAGCAAGACAACACCATCGCACTCCCAGGTAGGCAAAGGTGGCGACGTCCAGGTGGGATACATGTTTGATACTCGGGCGGTTCTAATGACTCTCTGGATGACTGGATCTTTCCACTGTGCATGTCTCTCCCGCAGCCGTCTGGAGATGTCTGCCAAATCAAGAGTTTTGCGATCCGGGCATTCCTTAATCTCATATGTGGACCACCAGGCGAGCGTATCTCCTGGCTTGGACACGTCATAGGGAGATTCGCGATTCGGATCCGAAGGATCGCTCTCCGAAAAGAAATAGCCAAAGAAGCCGTTGCCGCCATGGATGAAGTTCATGGACCCCTTCTCGACGTATTCTTCCAGACCAGCGGCCGGGATGAAGCCTCCGATACCGACAAGGCCTCTTTTGACATTATTAGCAAATGCTGATCAAGGCTTGAAGATCTGTGTCGTTATAGCACCTACTCATAATGAGGCGGATATGGATCTTCTGCGGCATCGGGAAATAGCGCTCTCTTGGTGATTGACTTGACACCGTCGGCACCGATCACGAGGTCCACCTCTACCGCGTTGCTTCCGTCCACAAACTGGATCGCGTGTCTCCCCTCTGGGTTGGCGATGACCTGCGACACTCGCTTATTCACAATGGCCGTGTCCGGGATGCGAGTCCTTAGGCATCTCCAAAGGGAGTGACGGCTGCATGCCACCATGTTGAGCTTCTTCAAGGGACTCGCTGGCTCGCTCGCATCGGGGCTGTTGATGTCGATGCACATGAGCAGGCTCCCATTCTTGTTCTTCATGTTGGATCGCGATATCACGTATCCACCACGCGTCACATCTCGGAGGAGAGCTTCGTCGAGGCGCTGGATCACACCGAGACCGTTGGGGGCGATGCCCAGCCCGCCGCCGACGATGAGCGTAGACGAATGCGTCGGGCCTTCTTCTCGATCGTCTGAGGTGACATCTTTCCCGGTGTCGTAGGCCTCGTAGATCGTGATCTCGTGGTCTTCGGCAAATGCCTCGATCTTTGGCAGATGCTTCTTCAGCTCGAGGTACACTGCGCATCCGGCAATGCCAGCACCGATGATGGCGATCTTCATGATGGCTGAGGAGTTTCAATCTTTTGTGCCGAAGGTAAGAAGAAAATTTTCTTCAGGATCTTGGCACAGATAATGTGAGAAGACGAAAGAATTGACCGCGATAATAGGCAGAGTTATATACGCCCGGAGCCCGTGATTAAGAACTCAGACACGCGGACTGTCTCAACACCAGGCCCGTATCGACTCAGCTCACACGGTGTATTTGGGAGAGCTTCATCAACTGTGGAGACGCTAGATCGCAAAGCTAGCCTGAGTGAGCCAAGCAAGGCTTCATGGCCGATGCGCAAAAGGCCAGAGAGCTTCAACAGAGAGCTTCAGCAGAGGGCTGCTGTCCAAACCAAACTGGGAGCTTGGATCAGAAGAGTCCCTCATTACCTCATGCCGGTGGCGATAGAGTGAGAGGATAGCTTCGCCGTTTGCCGGGCTCCCTCAGCCGCAAAGGTTACCCCTGGTTGACGAATCTGGCTAGTGTTGCGATACCCAAGCCACTTTGGCGAAAGTGCTTCCGATGCTGAATATGTGTCGTCGCCTTCAGTCGACAGAGTCACCGTTGAGGATATGCTCCGCCACATGAGCAAAGTACTGGTTTGATGGCGCCGCAATGTCTGCGAAGCCCCTGTTCTGACTTTGTTGTCCCTGAAGCATCCGGATAGCCAATGCTCTCTGCCGCGCGGAGGTGCTCCACAGTGCAACGGCCTTCAGCTGCTGAACCAACATGATGGAGCTGCGACCAGGTACAGAGCATGATGATGGCTTGATCATGGCATGCGCTGACAAGATGGACTCCGAGTGGTGCTGGATACGCTCATTATGCGAGGCTGCCCCCGGAGACACCAGACACAAGAGCCGGAGCACAATGACATTGGCCGCATCATAGAGCGTGACTAGTGCCGCTGATGCGATATCGCTGTACGGCAGCATGAAATGGAGGCCATCAGCAGATGCAGCAATCTGGGCGTCAGCTACAGGCTCCGAGGCCTCTTGATACTGTTGGCCATCTTTGCGAGGGGCGTATGAAAGGGCCTCTGATCGCCATTGACGAATTTGGAGTCTTGCATTCTGGATGGAAAGAGCGAGTTCATGCTTCAGCAGGTCTCTTTGATCAGACTTGGAGGTGATTAGACGGCTGGCAATCGACAAGCATTTCTGTATACCAAAAAGAATGTCCACCAGTCTGTCAAAGATGAGCTTTGGCTGAATCTCGAAGGGAATAGTGGTCCATTCAGGTGATGCAAAGGCATGAAGCTCGTTGTCAGCCATGGCTGCCACAAACTGAGCATGACATTAGCAACGCTTCCATTGGGCCAAAGAGGTTCAGGCCGCCCATGAGAGACACGCAAGAGAACGAAACGCACCGTTTGGAGACGCAAATTACTGAAGATCTGATGCAGAAACCCGGTTCGACAGCGCTCAGGTCCCTGCTCTTCCAGCAACGAAGCTGCGCCTTTGACGTGCTTCAGCCACGCGCGGGGGCTGGTTCCCGCCTGCGTCTCAAAGTGGATGAGCATGACGGCTGCACAGACCGAAACCTCCGGGGATGCCAAAGAGCCATTGCGGGAAAGCAGAAGTCGGAGACTCTGCAACGCCCTCATGTACCACATGCAGGCTTCTGTCTTGATGGAGGCATCGCCGACTGCCGTGCCATAGCTAAGCATGGATGCGGCCCTGATGGAGCTTTGGACGGGAGACGGAGACCCAGAGGCGAGGAATTGGGGAAGCTCGTGCAGCCATATCCTTGATGACCCTCCAGGCACAGGTAGAGATGGCCTGAAGGCTCCGAAAAAATTGTCGATGAAGTGAGAGACGAAGAGCTGGTCAAGGGCTCCGGCTGGCGATGGCTGCGGCGCCGGCAGCCGCAATGAAAGACACTTGTTGGCGCTGGTTGGAAGAAGTGAGGTTTCATCCCTCGGCTTCAAGGTCCCCATGGTAGCTGCTGCGTCCACAACGGTGTGGACAAAGAAGGCGTCTGTGCGGGCTCCGGGACACTTCAACCCCATGTTGAGGCATCGCAGGCAATCTGGAAGCGACTCATCGCACTATTCCGACGACTTGATATGAGTTTACAGAACTTAAAGCCATCAGCCAGCGGGGCGAACCTTGACTCTTCGTCTCCGGCATGTCGCGCAGCCTCTGCTTCTTCCGGCGACATTGACCATTGCGGTGATTCATTCGCACAGCGAACATGAGACGCAAAATGTGCTGACAAAAGCCTCAATCAGCCTCGTCGCCTCATCTTGGTGAGCAATTGCCTGAAACTGTTCGATCGAGCAAATTGGCCGCAGCTGGTGATGAGCTAACCACCACGATCCGAGGATATCCCGCGCCAGCCCCCTGTTTCTCCTATGTACTCCCACCGGATCGTCAGGAGAAGCATAAGGTAGCCTTGCCTCGCTTCTGGCTTGGGCTGCTTTTGCCATTCGATCAGGCACCGCATGAACAGCCTCTTCTAGCGTTCCACTGTAAGGTTGTTACTCCCCGAGCAACTGGCGGTTTGCAGCAAGCTTCAGGGTCGGGTAATCCTGCACCTCCTCCCTCCGCCCCCCTGACCTGGTTTTGCCTCTTTGAGCTGCAGACCGACACTTTGGAAGCTGTCCAATTAGAGGCTGCATGATGAGCTCCAGTCTCTCCAAGCACAAGCATCCACTCATGAGAGGCGATAACATCCATGGCCGTTCGCTCTGCCACGTCACTGGGAAACTGGCAGGGCTGGTGTGGCCTCGTGCTGTTGTCTGTTAGCCCACAGCGCAAAAGGGAGCCAGAGTGGAGCGGACCACGGTCGGATGCATCTCTGTCACGCTTCTTGGGCCGCGAAAGCTGAATTTCACGACATCAATGCGCCTGTGACTGACATTGTGTTTGCGACAGACGCTTTGCTCCATCCTCCCCCCGCGATTGCAGTCTCAGCAGCTCATTGCCCTTGACTCCTCCCTGCACTACTTCATTCTGCATTTGCATCTGCGGACGCTCAAGCTTTATACCCCCGGATCTGCCTGTCCTCTCACCGTATCCTCTCTCACAATCATCCTCATTACACGGTATTAGTCACATCGTCACCACCATGGGCGAAGACCTCCTCTCCATTGTCTTCAAGGACAAGTCATACAAGGGCAGAGCCATCAGAGCAGCGGCAAAGCTCTTCACAAATGCGGCGCCCATCGTCAAGACCATCGAGGCCGGCAACGGGATCATCAAAATCGGCGAGACGCTGTCCAAGGCCAATGAGCTGGCCGGCAGAGTCAATGACTTCGCCCCCAGGGCGAACCAAATGGCCGATGGCCTCAACAGATTCATCCCCGCCATGCAGGTCATGGGCCAGTCCGTGTGCGATAGCGCCCGGATATTTGCGTATTTCAACATGATTGCCACGACGGTTCGCATCGGCGTCAACATGGTCCAGACGTATCAGGGGATCCAGGCGCTTCAGCTTATCGCCGCCAAGCTGCAGGACATTTCGGTCAGCCTCGCCGCGCAAACGGCGCTCATCGCCCAGAAGGAGTTTCCCGACTATGTTCACAGCATGATTCGGGAGCGGCTCATGCAGACGTCGGATGACGCATCGGTCAATCACTGGTTCTTTCTATGGCATCCGGATGACGATTGGTATCCCAGGTTCTTCCATCTGCTGGAGGAGAAGCCGCTGGGGACCAGGTTTTGCGGTTACACCAACCAGATCGACTCCGTCTTCGTCTTCATGATTGCAGCCAGGCGGCGCATCAACGAAATGGAGTACAAGGCGCGCCGGCGTGGCCATCCTCTTCGCCCAACGCGGCTGCATCTCTTGGTGCCCGCATACCAGCCGATTCTCATTGCCGAGGCCCTCAAGATTCCCGAAGAGATTGGCGACTTTGTCATGGAAGGCCGCATCAACAGCAATCGGGAATTCGTCTGGCTAAACCTGCCCGACGACCAGCGACACTACACGCTCAACATTGGCCAGTGGGTTCCTCCGAACCAGGGCTGGCTGACATGGGCCGCGTCAAAGATTGGGCTTGGGGAAAAGGCGCCCAAGCTGCGCACGCCCAGAGCCCTCGGATACAGTCAGATCCCATTCGAAGTTGAAGCACAACCTCTGCCTGCTCATGAGGACGACGACGGGAGCAGTACCCTGGTGAACCCCTCAATTGCTCCGTCCGAAGTCAGCCTCCTGGAGGACTCGGACAGATCAAAAGAAAAAGAGAAGGATAAAAGTCGACGACAGGCGACGCCATTACATCAGCGCGAGCGCCGGCATCGCAGCAGCAGAAGGAATTGAAAGCGATGACACCCCAGTTGAAGAGAGAAAGAAAGAGGCGGATCAAACATTAGGCAAGGCCAACGGCAAGGGGCAAGGAACGGGTTCGGGCATACATCATTCTTCTTTTTCTATGTTTTCTCGCCACTTCCAGTTGCAAGTCGAAGCCGCGATGGCTCAAGTCGGCCTGTAGTTGGAAGCTAGGAAAATACATCGCGAGATCTGGAATCTCCGCGTCAATTCACAAACAGAACGACGGCATCGATCGGAGTAAATAGAATCCCGTTGGCATCAGATTGCGAAATCACGAGATATATGTTCGGCTTTAGGAAAACAATTATACCATGGGAATTATGATCGGCTCTCTCTCTCTCTCCTCTTTTTGTCCTCTTTTTTTGCGTAAACAAGTCGTTTAGAAACTTACCTGCTCACTCAAAACTCTTGTTCCTCTTCACAGCAAGAAACGTCAGACTCCAGAGCTGTCGGACGTCGCTCTCTGTTCCGCCTCCCACTCCGGGCGGAGGAGGAAGAACTCCCAGAGGAGAGAACTCGAAACCGCGTGTTGATCCATCATTATACGTCCAACTCCATACCTCGGATTCGAGCTGCTCCTCGTTGTCGTCAATGATATCCCACAGCTTGTTGTAGGCCTTCTTCAGTGCGCCAAATACGCCCTTGTCGCTGCAGAATTGGGGGATTGTGGCGGCATTCGTCACGGACAACGGGATATCCGTCGCATTCACGCCTTGGCACCGCTCAAGCTGCCTTTCGAACCCCTTGGCCATCAACGCCAGCTGCCAGCTCCACACGACTGTGCCGTGGTAGGCAGAGTTTGTGAAGTTGGCAATGAGCACCTCGTTGTTGGACAAGGCGGGGTTTGCAACGACGACGCCTACCGGAGTACTCAGGCCAGCCGGGAACGGACGCAAGATGGCATTCGCAGAGGCGTTGATGAATGTTGTCAGTTGCTCTTCGTCTGTCGTGTTGAGGAGATAATGACGAAAGGCCGTATCCGTATGTGAAATTGGAATGATCTCTGGCGTGGCGGTGCTGTTGATGGCCAAGCCGTAGTCAATCACGGTGCCATTGGTGGAATAGTTCGACACCGAATCGCCATTGGTAGGGCCCTTGTAGAATGTGCTCTTGCTGGTGTACTGCTTCAGCCTTGTCTCGGCGGTCTGCGTAGTCATATTGTGCTGGAAGAACTGCAGCGTCTTGTCTTCCCATACTTTGGCCCTCCGCGCCGCCACCGTCGCCCAGTCTCTGGTGATGGAGATGTTGGGATAGACGCCGGGGATGGCTGCCAAGCTGGAGATTGCATACAGGGCAGCCGGTGCTAGAGCACAGTTGACGTCGAACGGAATGCGGCCGTTGGCGAGACCATATGTGGAATCGCGCCACTGACCTACGATCTGGTCTGGCTTGAGAGCGATGAGATTCTCCACTGTTTGGTTGTGCTCGAATGCTGCAGTGAGGTTCAAGATCTTGCTGGCAGTGGTGTAGCTCAGATCACCCCAAGTCAGATTGGCATTACTGACATCAATGGTTCCGGCCCTTGTGCTGAGCATTGGGCTGATTCGATCAGGAGAAGAGCCAAAGTATCGTGCCATGAGAATGGGGAGATAGTAGTCTGTGTCAATCATTGGGTACGTGAAGCCGGCGGCTGTAGATGTGATATTGTTTTGCAGATTGACAAATGTCGCGTAGTCACCAATAGTCTCCTCGTGGCAGACAGAGCCGTCCGTTCGATTGACACGTTCAAGCGCTGCTCCTATGACTGCCTCGATGGCAGAACCGTTGCCGGTGCTGAGAATCGGCTGGAGTAGGAGTGCTGAGATCATGCTGTCACGACCAAAGTATGTGAGAAACCTCCATCCTCCTGCAAGAAGCTTCTCTGTGTATGAGAAGAATGATAGGGATGAAACAGTCCCCGGCTGTTGTTTGACAAGTGCCTGGGACTGGTTGTTCAATATCTGGCTCGGGGTCAACTGCTTGAGCTGAGGATAGTTGAAGGAGGCAGTGAAGTGGTAGAAGCCGGAACCAAACCGCAGCGTTTTGTTGTGGATTCGAACGTGGCTGTCGCTGTTTTTCCAGGGAACAAGCGTAAACGTAGTGGTAGTGACGTTGTCTAGCCACCTTCGAGTGATTTTCGCACCGTTATGCTGATATTTGGTGACTTTGATGCCGGCTTGTATCACAGAGCTGAGCAGACTTGGGCCTTCTGTGAAATCACGGATGTTCCTGACGCTACCAAGAATAGCAATTGGCAGCTCAGCCGAGTCATTGAATGAGAGAACGCCCTCGACACCCACAATAGGGGGAGCTGATTGGTTTGTCTTGTGGTAGACAGGGCCTAGAGGGCTCCCTAACGTGGAGTTGACAAGCTCAATGGCAAGACTACCGTTTATGCCGCTCTGCGGTTGGAAAAAGGTGCAGATGCCACTGTTGCCAGCAGGCCAGGCGACGATAAATCGAGGGCCTATGATGGAAAGATTGCTGTTGGGGAGGGGACTGGTGACGACAGCTTGTGCGTCGACGTGGCAATCTGAGTAAAAGTAATCCTGATAGGGCGGATCACTAAGATGCAGTGTTCGTGCTGAGCACGATGATGTGTCGTTGTGCCGTGAGTGAAGGGCGGCGTTTCCGCAGCTCACGAGGAGCAGCAGCGAGGTGATGAACTCTCGAAGCATGGCTGCCAACAATGAATCGCGACAATGAGATGTCTCTCCTTCTCAATCCACCAATGTTGCATAACACTGTCATCCACTATCATCCAGCCTGTCCCATCACCCAGAACCCTTATATCCTTATATATATGTATATAATCGGCCGGTCGATCGTCTCGGCATCGGTGCCGGCTCGTTGTCTCGTCGACGTCATTTCGTGTGTTTTCGTCGACAGCCGCCACGCGAGTGCCCGTCCGGGGTAAAGGTTCGCAAGAGGTAAAAATGATTCGGGCCTTTCAGGCGACATTAGCAATCCAAGCACAGAATTAGTAGTGTCCTGGGGCATCTGTGGGGGAGATCTGGGACGATTGAATGGTGACTTGAAGATTGCGGATGCGGAATTGTACGTAATTGGTGGAGGAAGCTGTCATGGCAAGGATATGATTGGGAAATTGGAGATGTTGGGGGTGGGTGCAGAAGGCGGGGATAGTCTGGAGAACCGTTTTTCCTTGATTCTGGAGAAGCTGAGTGACGATCTTTCAGCGCGATTTCGAGGACAAGCTCTTCTAGGCTCGGAGCTGAGATGTTGACATGCTAGTGAGCAATACGAAATGTCTCTGCTATTAGCATAAGTATTAGTGATGATGGCAAGAAGAGAACAATTGAACAGATGGGACAGATATGAACGGAGCTTTCGGATGCGTTCACTGTGGTCGAGGTGAGAGCACGCCGACAGCCCCCACGATGTATTGTTACTTATAAGAGCACATATTAGCCGAAAATCGTGAATGAAGGCAAAGGCTTCTTTGTTTCAACGTATCTGCAATCTCAAACTACCTTTCAAAGGACGTGGACTTTCGTTGTTGTGAGGATTTTGATGCCAATTGCCAAGATGCACATGGCGGGCATGATAGCAGTTAGCCGTGAGTCATCACTCAACAAGGCTTCGTTGTGAACAAAGGTCGGACATAGTACTCAAAAGATCTTCCAAGCAGGTAGACATATCGAAGCGCTTTTGGGCATAGTCGAAGCCGATCATCACAACGACAAGCTCTCCACTGAACTAACTATTGTTCAGCGACGTGACGAACACGAGATAATCGTATATGGAACACATGTCACATAGGAGACGACCACGACGGTGTCCAGATGCGGTTTCTTGAACCGAGTGTTGACACACCTCAAGGATGAGTTGCTCAAATGTCATTTGAGACCCCAATATCATCTGGCATCTTGTTGGATGACGGTGGCGGTTCTAGCGAACGAAAATTCGTCTATCGAGACTAAGCGTCCACGTATTTTCGTGACAGCGATCGAATATCGAGAGTTTCTGGCAATTTCTGTCTCAACTGTCGTTCATCGCCCGGTCGAGTAACTTCAAACGTACCATTGATGCATCTCAATGCCGTCACAACCTTCCCTGCTGACTTCCATCGGGCGGTCGTTACAAGGATTGTGATGTTGCGCTCAGTCGTGATATCGATCTCTGCTTGTCGACATGGAGGAATGTATAACAAGAGTGCAATGAAATGAAAAGGATTGTGAAAGCAAAGAATTGGTGAGGAGATGATTAGAGCGGGGAAAGGTGGTGTACAGGAACATGGCAGAATCGAAGAGGGCAGGTGCGCCGCGCAACCTCAACTGGTGAGCACCTCGATAGTAAAGCCTCAGGTTGCGCAATGCTACAGAAAGCCATTTCCCCCCTTCTGAAGCTCAGCTTCCAGAATGCGCTCGAAGGAGGAAAAAACCATGGTTCTTGATCATGGCGTACGATTGACCTGCGGACCTGGTGAGAGGCGTGGTGGGTATTGGTGCAACACCAAAGGACACTCTTTTTTCGTACGAACTGATACCATTGGAAGTGCACCGCTGGAGTTATCCCCTTTGAGCAGCTGTCATTGTGCACCTGCGCCGCATGTTAGCTCCCGTCATCAGATTCGTGGCGTCGCAACTCAAACGGGCAAAGCTCAATTGAGCCTGCTGAGTGGCTTATGTATCACCTGTCAGACACCAAGGTCACAAACGAAATCGAAGCCCCTTCTTTCCAACTTCACCTCTCTTCACAGCCGTCTCCGCAAAGGCAGTCAGTCTTCAGCTCGGGGGTCGAGATGGCGTCGTACCTGTCCCAGCTCCTTGGCCTCGGGCCCAAAAGACGCGCACCCGCGATCGTGCCCACCGACGAGATTGTGCCCCTGCACCTGTTCGACGATACGGCCACCTTGCGGGGCTTCACGCTCATGTGGACCTTCAAGTTCGACCAGGTGCTCGATGCAGACAAGCTGGGCGATTCGCTCTCGCAGCTCTTCCAGATGGAGGGCTGGCGAAAGCTTGGCGGGAGGCTACGGCTCAGGGTGAGTAGTCGGAACCGTGTTCGTTACAATGGCATCGAGCAGCAAGATCGACATCAAGAACAAGATGATCTCAAGTGAAAGCCAAGCACAAGCTAACGCTGAGGCCAGCCCGATCGATCGGCAGAAATTCACATCCCATGCCCTTTCACCAAGGATCGACCGCCGCTCCACTTCACAAAGGCGAGCTTCAACATGCGCATGGCGGAGCATCCCGAAGCATCAAAGCTGCCATCTCCATCAGACAGACTCACGACCTTTCCAAGCCCTCGCAACTACCAATCTCTAGCCCTTGGGCCAGGGGCGCCTAGGTGCATAGACGATTATCTGTATTCGGATGCTCCGCTGTACGCCCTCCATGTTGTCAACTTTACCAATGGAACCCTGGTTTCTATCACCTTCAATCATGTCATCAGCGATCTCGCCGGACTGATGGCCGTCATGAAGGCGTGGCAGCTCGTGTTGGCAGGCAAGCCCGAGGCCGTCCCGACGTTCAAGGGCTTCTACGACGACTCCATGGCCGGACTCTACAAGGCGCAGCCGGCTGAAAGGTATGTCCTGGCCGACAAGCAACTGACGGGCTGGCGACTTGCGGCGTTTGGACTGCGACTCATCTTTGACTCGTGGTGGAACTCTCCGATCCATTCCAGGCTTGTCTGCATTCCCAAGAGGACCATCGACACACTTGTTCAGGCGGCCAGGGACCAGATACCCAAATCCACGGACAACATCAACGGCGCTGCTGGTTCATCATCCTCGTTCATCAGTGAAAATGACATCATTGTAGCGCTGTCCATGAAGGCGATGGCGCATAGCCTTGCCCCCAACCGAGCCATCATGGCTCTGCAAGCTGTTGATCCCCGCAGTCGAGTCAAGTCGGTTTTTCAGCAAGACGCCGCTTATGTTTGCAATGCGCCTGCAGCAGCATTTGTGCAATGCATCAGTCGAGAAACGGTCGACATGAGCGTTGGGGAGCTGGCGCTTGAGGGCAGAAAGGCTCTCCTGTCGCAGCTTACAGAGGAGCAGATGAAGGCCGTGGCTGCGCTGGCATACAAGTCCATGCTGAGCAATGGCAACCCTCCTGTATTCGGAGATAGCGATATGGCTTTCCTCGTCTTTTCTAACTGGAGCAAGGCCGCCTTTCTGGAGAAGGTGGATTTTGGCGCAGCCGTTGTCGAGGCGGGTCTGTCCCAGGACAAGCCGGCCCGACCCGTTTACTACCACTCCCAGAGCCTAGAAAGGGGCTCCTTTGCCACGAACGTCATTGTCATCATGGGGAGAGACTTGGAGGGGAATTTCTGGCTGAACGGAGACCTTCCAGCTCACGTCTGGCCGACGATGCTCGAACACTTGGAGAAGTTTGCGTAGATAACGGTTCATTTGTGAGAGGTTTCTCCTGGAAGGAATCTTGTCCTGAAACAATTTTCGAAGTACCGAAAGACGTGGGATTGCATCAGTTACCAAATCTATCGTGATTCTATTAGATGTCTCTAGAAACAAGCGACCAGGGGCACGACCATTGCCACTGCTACCAGAAAGAGGCTTGCAGCAGCCACACCAGCACCGCTCTTGGATCCGGTCTTGGTTGGACTCGCGGCGGTGGCGCTTCCTTGCGAAGTTGCAGTCAGCGCGGCTGCGCCGCTGGAGCCGGTAATCTGTGAACCGCTTGAGTCTGAGCCGTCAGATCCTCCAGATTCAGACCCAGAACCTGAACCTGAACCCGAACCCGACGCATGGCCAATAGCGGTAATCGTATAAACGGTGCCATCGCCTCCGTTGGTATAGGAAAAGACAGTGCCGCTAGCAGGTGCCGTCACGGTTCCAGCCGCATTGCTGAGCGTCGCCGTTCCACTCGGCACGCTATCCGTCGGCTTGTAATACTTGCTGACTCCATCAAGTGAGTACCCCAGATCATTGACGCAGTCGTACGTATCCATATAGGAACCGCATGAGTCGAAGTCAGTGTTGAGCTGTGACTGAAGCTGAGAGACAGTTGAGAGTCCGATGAGTTTGGGATCGGTGTCGGGACAGATATTGTAAAGACTGGTACTGATTAGTACGGTTGTGTTCTGATACGATTCGAGTTGGGGCCGCAAAAGGAGGCAAGGGAATCCTTACCTTGAGAGGGCACCGCTAATCTCACAGCAGTCGCACCCTTGGATCCGCTGCAGATTGCTGCTGGCGTCTTCCGAGTCGGCATTGTTGGAGCATGTCGCCGTCTCCTGTATGGCATCTTGAATTGCGAGGAAGACCTTGCCGACGTTGCAAGAGCACGCATCGGGAGCCTTGTTAGGCGCAGGGAAATAGGGCACAGGCAGCTTCGCGATGGGGCAGTTGAGGAAGTAGTCGATGATGTATTCCTGATACTCACACTCCCAGACGCGGTTCCAGCAAGAAGCAGAATAGCAGTTGTAATTGTCGACGTAGTTCTGACAGCCGCAAGCCAGGATTTCCTGCTGGCTGTTGTCCTTTTTGGCCTGGGCAATGCATGAGCTGAGCTTGTCATTGGCTTGCTTTTGACAGCTCTCAAAGCCAGAGGAGTCGGCACATCCCGTGCTGGTCAAGGTGGCATCGCCAGTGGCCGCAAGGGCTGCTCCGGTAAAGAGAGGGAGCAGAGCTAGACGCAGCATTGTCTTGTTTCTGTTCTCGCCAGCAACTCGCGCGAGGATGGGACGAGATTGAGACAAAGCAAACGTGAGAAGGACGAAGAAGACGATGAGCGGTAGGGACAGCCCAGACTTATCAAGCAAGTGTCCGGAGCAGCACCGACTGGCCTGCCATCGCGCGCCCTTCGGTCTGCAGGCAGTCTGCTGGCATTCTGCCTTGGGTGTCGGTCAAACCAGCAAACTAGTATCGTGGGCAGTGGATACAGAGCCTCCTCCTGATTTCCCGAACTGGCCGGATCAGGGACTTTCTGCACGCACGTGTGCTGCCGAGCGATCCGTATTCCGCTCTCGAGAGGTCCAGCAGAGGCAGTCCGTGATTCGACAGAGTCGGACAAACAGGGTTCGCCGAAGCTGGACCCCAGATTGGCGATCGTGAAGGGCCACGGGATTGGCCAGAGGGATCAGCCGCACTTTATTTCTCGATCTCGGTGGGTTCACGGCGTCCTCGATCGAGGATAGTGTGAGAAGCTGCCGGCTCCATGGCGGAATCGGCTGTCAATTGAGGTTGCCAAGAGGCATCTCGAATCTGCCGTCATCGTGTCGATAACTAGAGCTATAAGTCAGCCTTGCTTGTTGAAAATTAAGAGAAGACTGCGTACTCTTTGCTTCAACATGGCGATACTCGTGTTGGCAATGCATCAGTTGATGGATAACTCGTGTGCACGGGCATGTGGGTTGTTCAATGGTGTGCGCTGAAGATAATGGTCATTACCATGTTCTCTCCTTCTCATGTCGGCAGCGATAAGAACTTGGCAGCGCGATAACGTCACGTGTGTCTCTTATCGGTTTGCAAGCGAGCCATCAGGCATGAAAACTCATCTCAGCCCCTCAAGTAAAGCTCATCTGGAGATATCTTCAAGACGAACATGGACGCGCATTTCATTTGCCCGTTTCTCGCCGTTGCATCTCTCTGAGTATTCGCGAGACTGAGTGGGTCGCTGGGATGGGGTTGGTAATTAGGCGCGGATCTCGGCTCAGCTGAAATGATACTCTACTAGGTAGTTTAGGCAGCATAATCTGACCGTGCCTTCAACTTACCCTGCAAATGTGAGATCTCATGTCAAAATTCACCTCAACTTGCTGCCATGTCATGGAACGATTGATCCTGGTAAGTTTCTGTAAATCTGGAATGCTTCTCTTGCCTCACTGTAAATTTTGGAGCCCTGGTTTCGTTGTGGGACATGATAAAGTTATTAATAACCATACTATGTGATGAGGGTCGCTGTGGATCTCATGATGACCAAGCCATCCTTGCCCATTCACCAGATGGCGACGACAACTTTCCAAAGTCACATGGCTTCACCTGGCGCAACAAAGAGTAAAAGTCATATCGTAGAATGAGATTGAAGGGCAAGCCCTTCAAGGCACCCCATAGGTCCCCACAAACTCTTGTTCTTTCTTCCTTCTTTTATTTTTCTCGATATCGCCCTGTGAGGATATGGCATTGAGATTGATTGCAATGTGGATCATAGCAGGCTTCACGGTTTGATATTCATGACGTTGCCCTCCTCATCACATCTCATTGACTACAACGGCTCATGTACAAATGCATCACGTGAGAGACAACAAAGCCCATCTACCACTCTTCGCTTCTCACGCTGATACTGATGTGTTCGCGACCAGAACTCAGATCACCATTCTGAGTCGATTCACTCACTCGGTGGACCTGTTACACTCAACTGAGGCTTTGTAATACATGAACTTGCTAGGCTATGCGGAAGATTTTCCTTGCCTGTTCAAATGGGCTGCTTGAGCTTCTGCCGATGACCATGGTACCTACTTTAAGCGGCATTGATTGAACATCTGCTGAATCGCAGAAACTTGACATCTCTTGGATTGTCTCGTTCAGGAAAAGCCTTTCTATGACATGGAAGCACCTATCATGCTATGAGCTGAGATAATCATCTCATCTTCATGGACAATGTGGAAAGACATGCCGCGCCACTACCAGAATTCGGGACACTGGAAAAGTCGCACCGGGCTCATCATGAGGTACGTGGCCAGCCTGGAATTCAGTGATGCCTGAACCTCTCCTTCATGGTACGAGATGAGCTTTTCATGGCTTTTATGAATTCCTTTTTGTTGTTATCGAACGATCTCACCAGAGCGCTCTTAGCGATTGCTCGGTGCTGCGAATGAAGATGACGAGGGATGAATCTTGTCAGCGCGTTGGGGTGACTAATTTGAATGAGTAGGTAGAGATCCTCTCCTCATTCCGCTCATTGATTTGATTTGATGAGCAAGAGCATTTCATCCGCGACCAGACCAACTGAAATAGGGATATCGAGAGTAAGAAAGGGGCCCTATACAAAGTCGCGACAAGCATCGACTAGAGTTACAGCAGCTTGATCGCTTGGTTACTGGATGTGTGCAGAGTGCTTTTGCGTGTTTTGACTGGTAGGACTTGTGAAAGGGCCTGAATGACCTTTACTGCGCGGGTTCGAGGATGGCAGGGCTCGGGTCTATTGTTAGACGTGATTATGCATCTCAGTCGAAACACTTAAAGTGTTCACATCACGGTACCTAAGGTAGGAACACATGTATTCGCGTGGCATATGACGAAGTTACAAGAAAGAGGAACGCCTGATGTTTCATGGTGCCTTATGTTAGGTAGCTCCAGCGAAATCACACCCTGCCGTGGACGAATCTTAAAATTTGAGCAAGCTATGCCTGCACTCTCATATAAGCTCCTCTCACTTCTCGTGAGAACATTACCATTCCCGCTTTGTATATTGCCTGTGTAACTCACGGAGCTGCATGAGCACAATGAGAGTCCACGATGCGCTATGAGCATTATGATACCTTAGTAGGTACTGCCTCACAGATCCTGCTTTCTCATTGAGTGATCAAATATGCCCCTTGTCTTGCACTCGCCTCATATGTATCTTGTGCTTATCAATCTTCGCAACGGCAGTCATCGATCGTTTAGAGGTTCGTGAAATGTATCGTCTCCCGAGGAGTGTCGCGTTATGTGTTGACCGATTGAGCTTTCCAATGGTCTCATTGTAATGAGGCTTTCATCACCGTCTCATAGGGGCTGCCACACGCACATGCCCATATGAAAAGTACTATTGAAAATCATTAGTTCTCGGCGGTACATGTCATATTGTAGCTGTGACAGTTCTCACCTCACGAACCCGGCCAGTGTGGCTGAAATGCGCCGCATCTCACTCGGAGCAACATCCATCTCCCAGTACAGACTGTCAGAGTGTACCTCCTTGAGCATAGCCCTATTCAGCGTCGTAGAGGCAATCGTGAACCCCAGACACAGGATAACATCGCAGCGGAATCGGGTGCTGGCATGAGCACCCAACTTTGAGTCCAAGATTGTTGGATAAATAACGTCCACACTACTGTACGTCAAAGACAGTAGACACTAACAGAAGAGATATATCAGAGGAGAGACAGAGATGAGCTGCAGCTTAGTGAGACGGTACCAAGAGGAGTATGAGGGCATCTAGGAAGCTAGATTCATCGCAAAGATGGCTGATGGAGAAGGAGGCGATGAGAACGTAGAGGCTGGATGAAATTATGCGGATGGCGAGATATAACGCGCGAGTTTTGGTGGAAAAGTACTGGGATATGATGGGACAGCCCTGTTTCTCGTCCATCGCGACGGTTGAGGCTGTTGGATAGAATGGAATTACATGCTACTAGGTATCCTGAGGTAGTAGTAGAGAATTTCAATCTGCCATCATCGCAGTTTAAGATTATCTTGGCACTATCCAGCTTGTCGATTTCATAAGACTCTTGTGAGTAACTGACTGAGACAATCTTGCAAGTCTTTCCGAAGAGGGATCAACTCGGGAAGCTGAAGCTATCCGTGCCCGAGTCGAAGCGGTATCCGACGGAGATAGCACACGTCTTCATGCATCCTCATGACGACGCCAATAGGCTCAAGGCACATGCCCCGTCTCTGGTTTTCGAAAGGGGGCCTCGGGCGATATGAAACGGAGAGGCTATGATCGAAGCAGTAATCGTACTCGTAGTCGCAGTTCCACACACCGCAGTCCGAAAGCGGCAACTTCAACGCCACACTGTGACCCTCTTGTCCACAGATACCAGACTACTACTATTACATGTACAGTACAGTAGTATTATCGTATGTACGTTGTTCTGAAGCATGCCACAACCCACAGGCTATCCGCGTATTTGGGGGGCCAGGGACCCCCATGGATGGGTGCCAGAGCCCTATGATTCGCGAGACCAGGGGGGGAGAATACAGTAACTGCCACCAAAAAAGTCCGGTTGCCCCCCCTTTGATAGTACATAGAACAACATCCCTGGCCGGCCCTCTCCGCTACTCCGCATGGCGTTCCCCTAAAACAGCAATTGGAGGTTGAGGTTGGAGCCAATGGAAAGCGATGAAGGAGGTAGCTCTCCACTTTTAGAATAACGAAGAAGAGGCCATGCCCCAGCTTTTGAGGTTGGTCTTGGTTCAAGAGTCCTGGGCTTGTGCTACGAGAGAGGCTTCGAGTCTGTAAGAACAAATAGGTTATGGTATGTCTTTTCATGACAAAAGGTTCGCTTTTTATTAATATTATGAGTACAGCATGTTCCATCATCATTTTCTCTAAGCCGGATATTGTGTCAAGAAGAAGAAGATGGTGGTGATAGTAGTGAATGGGGAGGTGAATAAGATGAAGTGGGAGAAAAAGAAGAAGAAGCAATCGGCGCAGAGGATATGCTCGGATCAGACTTGATCTCAGAGAGCCTCTTTGCAATCTCCGCCGTCGAGCTCTCTGTAGATGACTTTGAGGACGAATTCTTGCACTCGAGACACTGCCGACACTCGAGATTCCGCCGCAGCTGCTCCTCGCACCAGGCCAGGCGGGCGAAGAGGTCCTTTGTCGACTGCCTCCTCTTCCGCGGAGCGGCGGGTGCGCTTGGCTGACAAACGACCTTGAGCTGAACGGAATTGTAGAATTATTGGATATGTCAGCGGGCATGTGAATTATTCTATGAGGTGGATGATGTATGGGGGGGAATGGCGTGACGGAGACTCTTTGTCTCTCTCTGTCTCTCTGTCTCTCTCCCCCGTCCGTGGGTAAAAGACACGCACCTTGATGCACATGGAGCATGGGCTTTTCCGGTTGCACTTCTTTTTGCGCTTCTGGCAGAGGCGGCATGCGAGTTTCCTTGCTTCCTTGGCGGGCTTGTGGGGAGGAAGGGAGTCGGCGGAGGAGCTCATTGTTCCAAAAAAAAATGATGAATGTGAGGTGGAGGATAATCAGTTGGTAGAGGCCGGCTTCAGCTTGTTGTTGAGATTGTTGTAAGGGAGGCGGAGACAGGGCTGGAGAGAGGAAGCTGTCTTGAAAGATGCCATTTATCAGTGAGACGCTCGTCGTCAGATGCAGGCATCTTCACAGTTTGAAGTTAATGTCAAGCTCAAGAGTCGACCAGGCGGAAGTAGTAGTAGTAGTAGTAGCTCGGTAGTCGACCCCGTCAGGCCCATGCAGGATCAGCAGAGACGGCTAGCTCGACAAACTTTGTTCAGGAAGTGGTGCTGGTCCCGGAAACATCGAGTCATGGATCGTCAAGATCGGGAGACATGCAAGTTTGGCTAAAGAAGGAAATCAGTACGACGCTGCCAGGAAGAGTAAGGGGGATCGAGGCATCGGGGCCGTTGTGAGCTGAAGCGGAATCGTGTTACCCTCGACACCCCGAGGGATAGAGAGCAAAGCAGACGGCCGCTCGGGGTCTGCCAAAAGCCCGGCAGCGCGAAGACCATTGATTGGACACGCGGGATCGAGGAGGAGGCAGATAACTATATACAAACTCCGCAATACGGTGTATAAGCACGACGAGGCTGTCCACTGCAAGGAGACGAGACATGTGTTTTGCTCCAGGTTCTTCGAGTGTATTCGTTCTTACAGAGGAATGGTGCCCCCCCTGGATGACGAATAATGGGCGTAGTGGATTTTGCCAGTCTTGATTCGGCGTGTTGATTCGGAGGTTTGCAACATGGGAGATCCGAGAGGCCGGTGCGTTGGCGGATTGCGGCTGTCCGATGCTGGGTGATATATAGTTTGTAAATCGTCAGATCAGCCGCTTGCACTGGTTGAAGTCTGCCAGGGGCTCTGTGAACAAGCCAGCTGAGTATTCTCCTTGGGTCTGATCTGTTGAGAAGATTGAGAGCTTCAATAGAGTTGGTGGTTTGTCTTCACCTATTGTGAACCCCCTGACCAACAAATCAACATACCTGTGGCTCTGGATATATCGACACTCCTCGGACCAAGGACCTCCTGATGGCTGGGCAACCAGACCAGGGCGACCTGAGCCCCGGGTCTCGCTCCCAATCTGCCCACGGGAGCGCCCAGACGTACGTCGAAGGCCAGCAGTCTCCCTCTGTCCACGCCGACACCAAGAAGGAATCGAAGGACCGGACCAATAACAACGACAATGACGACGACGACAACGACGACGACCAAGATGACTCGTCAGAGAACAACAGCACCCACGAGATGGAGCGGCGGCTCAGCATGGTGCAGCAGCTGGCCCGTCAGTACACGCACACCTCGGGCATCGACATCCAGGGCCAGCCCGACTCCATCTTTGGGAACAACGACCCCGAGTCGCCGCTCAACCCCATGAGCAGCAAGTTCAACGGCCGAACCTGGGCCAAGACGGTGGCCAAGTACGCGACGGAGCACGGATCCGGGTTTCGGCGCAGCGGCATCTCGTTTCGCAACATGAACGTCTACGGATACGGGACGGAGACGGACTTCCAGAAGGATGTCGGAAACGTGTGGCTGTCGATTCCGGATCTCGCTCGGCAGGCGCTGAGCAAGACGGGCGGACGGAGGCGGATCGATATCCTGAGGAACCTCGACGGCGTCATCAAGTCGGGCGAGATGCTCGTCGTGTTGGGGCCGCCTGGCGCAGGATGCTCGACGTTTCTCAAGTCGATTGCGGGCGAGACCAACGGCATCTACATCGATGCCGAGACGCAGTTCAACTACCAGGGCATCAGCGCAAAGGAGATGCATACCCAGCATAGGGGCGAAGCCATCTACACGGCCGAAGTCGACGTGCACTTCCCGATGCTGTCGGTTGGCGACACGCTCGCCTTTGCGGCCATGGCGAGATGCCCCCGGAACCTCCCTGCCGGCGTCTCTCGCGACCAGTTTGCGGCTCACTACCGAGACGTCGTGATGGCCATGTACGGCATCAGCCACACAGTCAACACGCGCGTCGGGAACGAGTACATCCGCGGCGTGTCTGGCGGAGAGCGGAAGCGGGTGACGATTGCCGAGGCCTCGCTGTCAAACGCTCCTCTGCAGTGCTGGGACAACTCGACTCGCGGCTTGGATTCGGCAAACGCCATCGAATTCTGCAAGACGCTTCGCCTCCAGTCCGACACCTTTGGCCAGACGAGTGCCGTGTCCATCTATCAGGCGCCGCAGAGCGCGTATGATGTCTTTGACAAGGTCCTCGTGCTGTATGAAGGAAGACAGATCTTCTTTGGTCCCACCGGCAAAGCCAAGGACTATTTCCTCAACCTCGGCTTCGAATGTCCGGCGCGTCAGACCGTTCCTGATTTTCTCACGTCCATGACGGCGCCGACGGAACGAATCGTTCGCGCTGGGTGGGAGAGCCGGGCGCCTCGAACCCCTGACGAGTTCGCAACGTGCTGGAAGAACAGCGACGACTACAAGGCGCTGCAGGCCGAGATCGAGGCCTATAACCAGGAGCATCCCATTGGCGGTGCCGACGCCGAGGCCTTTCGCCAGCACAAGAAGATGACCCAGGCCAAGGGCCAGCGCGTCAAGTCGCCCTACACGCTCTCGTACTCGCAGCAGATCAGGCTCTGCCTGTGGCGAGGCTGGCGACGGTTGATTGGAGACCCCAGCCTGACCATTTTCGCGTGGCTGTCCAACACGGCCCTGGCGCTCATCATCTCGTCGCTGTTCTACAACCTGCAGCCGACGACGGGCAGCTTCTACGGACGCGCGGCGGCTCTCTATGTGGCGATCCTGTCGAATGCCTTTTCGAGCGCGCTCGAGATCCTGACGCAGTATGCGCAGAGGCCGATTGTCGAGAAGCACTCGCGGTATGGCTTCCATCAGCCGTCTGCCGAGGCGTTTTCGTCGGTGCTGTGCGACATGCCGTACAAGATTGGAAACGCCATCTGCTACAACCTGGTGCTGTATTTCATGGCCAACTTGAATCGAACCGCTGGGAACTTCTTTTACTTTCTCTTTGTGGTGTTTCTGATGGTGCTGGCCATGTCTGGCGTCTTTCGATCCATGTGAGTTTCTTCTTCCTCCCCCCCCCCCCCCCCCCCCCCTTTTCCCTCAGACTCTCACACATACTCACCCCCAAACGACAGAGCCGCCCTGTCGCGCACGCTCTCGCAAGCCATGGTCCCCGCCTCGCTGCTCATCCTCGCCATGGTCATCTTCACCGGCTTCGTCATCCCCGTCGACTACATGCTGGGCTGGTGCCGCTGGATCAACTACCTCGACCCCGTGGCCTACGGCTTCGAGGCCCTCATGATCAACGAGTTCAGCGGCCGCCGCTTCGAGTGCAACGCCTTTGTCCCCAGCGCCCTCGTCCCCGGATACGAGAACGTCACGGCCGATCACCGCGCCTGCACCGCCGTCGGGTCCGTCCCGGGGCAGGACTTTGTCAGCGGCGACGCCTACATCAACTCGCAGTACCGGTATTTCCACTCGCACAAGTGGCGCAACGTCGGCATCCTGATTGCCTTTGTGCTCTTCAACCACTTTGTGTACTTTGTTGCTACGGACCTCATCCAGGCGAAGAAGTCCAAGGGCGAGGTCCTCGTCTTCCGCCGCGGCCAGCTCCTGTCCTCCTCGACGACACCCAAGAAGAGCGACACCGAGTCGTCGCTATCAGGCCCCATCCCCGTCGTCGAAAAGGGCGCAAACACTCCTCTGGAGCAGAGCGACGCCATGATTCAGGCCTCGACCAGCGTCTTCCACTGGAGCAACGTCTGCTACGATATCAAGATCAAGGGCGAACCGCGCCGCATCCTCGACCACGTCGACGGCTGGGTCAAGCCTGGCACCCTCACAGCTCTCATGGGCGTGTCTGGCGCCGGTAAAACGACGCTGCTCGACTGTCTGGCCGACCGCATCTCCATGGGCGTCATCACAGGCGAGATGCTGGTCGACGGCAAGATCAGGGACAACTCGTTCCAGCGCAAGACGGGCTACGTGCAGCAGCAGGATCTCCATCTCGAGACGACGACGGTCCGCGAGGCGCTCGAGTTCAGCGCTCTGCTGCGACAGCCCGCGACCACGCCGAGGGCCGAGAAGCTGGCGTATGTCGACGAGGTCATCAAGCTGCTGGACATGCAGGAGTATGCGGATGCCGTCGTCGGCGTGCTGGGCGAGGGGCTGAATGTTGAACAACGGAAGAGACTCACGATTGGCGTCGAACTCGCGGCAAAGCCACCGCTCCTCCTGTTCGTCGACGAGCCGACCTCGGGCCTCGATTCGCAGACGTCCTGGGCCATCCTCGACCTGCTGGAAAAGCTCTCCAAGGCCGGCCAGTCGATCCTCTGCACCATCCACCAACCGTCCGCGATGCTGTTCCAACGCTTCGACCGGCTCCTGTTCCTCGCAAAGGGAGGACGAACTGTCTACTTTGGTGACATTGGTGAAAACTCGTCCGTCATGACGTCGTATTTCGAGCGACACGGCGCCCCCAAGTGTTCCCCTGGCGAGAACCCTGCCGAATGGATGCTGCAGGCCATCGGGGCTGCCCCTGGATCGACAACGGAGGTGGACTGGCACCAGGCCTGGCTCGACAGCAAGGAATATCAGGAAGTCCAGGCTGAGCTCCAGCGCCTCAAGGACGAAGGAAACAGCACCGCCAACAGCCACCACGACGCCAACGACAAGGCCTCGTACGCCGAGTTCGCGGCGCCCTTCTGGTCCCAGTTCCTCATCGTCACGCAGCGCGTCTTCCAGCAGATCTGGCGCACGCCGTCATACATCTACTCCAAGTTCTTCCTCTGCCTCTTCGTCTCGCTCTTCATCGGCCTCGTGTTCCTCAACGCCCCGCTCAGCATCCAGGGCCTGCAGAACCAAATGTTTGCCATCTTCAACATCCTGACCATCTTTGGGCAGCTCGTGCAGCAGCAGATGCCGCACTTTGTGACGCAGCGCTCGCTCTACGAGGTCCGCGAACGGCCCTCCAAGACGTACAGCTGGAAGATCTTCATGCTGTCCCAGGTCGTCGCCGAGATCCCGTGGAACACGCTCATGTCCGTCGTCATGTTCGTCTGCGTCTACTACCCGGTCGGCTTCAACAAGAACGCCGTGCCGGCCGACCAGGTCACCGAGCGAGGCGGCCTCATGTGGCTGCTGTTCTGGCAGTTCCTCATCTTCACGTGCACCTTTGCCCACGCCTGCATCGCCATCACCGACACCGCCGAGGCCGGCGGCAACCTGGCCAACATCCTCTTCATGATGTGCCTCATCTTCTGCGGCGTCCTGGCCAGCCCCGACAGCATGCCCGGCTTCTGGATCTTCATGTACCGCGTCTCGCCCTTTACCTACTGGGTCTCTGCCGTCTTGTCGACCGGCCTGGCCAACACGCACGTCACCTGTTCCAATGTCGAGCTCGTCCACCTCGACCCTCCTTCAGGTCAGACCTGCGGCGAGTTCCTCGACAACTTCATCTCTGCCGCGGGAGGCTATCTCCAGGACAGCAACGCCACCTCCGACTGCAGCTACTGCCCGATTGCCGACACAAACGTCTTCCTCGCGAGCGTCAGCTCGAGCTACTCCCACAGATGGCGCGACTTTGGCATTGGAATGGCGTACATTGCGTTTAACATTGCGGCGTCGCTGTTCTTGTACTGGCTGGTGAGGATGCCCAAGAAATGGGGAAAGAAGAAGGAGTAATACCTCTCGCTCTCTCTCTCTTCCTCCCCCCTACTCTCCCTGAATCAACATTCTCTTGACAAGGTCTGCATCCATCGACTCGACAAGAGCCGCAGATCAGTCGATGCATTGCATGAGATTCTCTTCGAGTTGTTTGTCAAATGCCAACAACAACAACAAACAACTACATCAATACTTTTGGATACTTTCTCCTTCCCTTCTTAGATCATCTTTCTATAGAGACATCTTCCTTTCACTGTTAGAAAAGACGTGCCAAGTAGGCACCCATCGCCAGATTTTCTTTCATATTTTGACGATTCATATGACGTGTCGTCACAACGAAGTCTCCATGAAAATAGTCCATGTTTCTATCATCTGTCATTAATAATGAGTGTCTGCATCTATTTCCTTATCTATACATATATAGACTAAATACATAGTTAGCCATCATCATCATCATCGTTATCATCACCAGAATGACTATCCAAGTGGCTTCACGTCCTCCATCTCAGCCTATGCCCATTGCCCACTCGCTGACTACCTAGAATCTCAGGTCCTCAATATTGTCAATCAAAAAAGTGTAGCTCGCGTTGCGATACGTATCATCCAGAAGCCCGTTGCTGTTTGCCTTAAACTGCAGCAGCTTCTTGTCCTGCTTCCACTGCGGCCAAAAGACGTCTACCTCGGTGCCAATGTTGGGATCCAGGTTATGCACAAAGTTGAGATAGTACGTCCGCCCGCTAATGGTCGGATACTTGTCGTTGGAGTCTTTGAACAGGACGCCAATGTCCGACCCGTGATACGTGCCAAACAGCCCGAGCAGCGGGTTGTACTTGTACGACGAAAAGTACGACCACGTTAGCACCGTCGGCGCAACGCTGGCAAACGTCTGCAGCGAGATGCGGCGGACCAGGTTAAAGACAATGTCGCCCAGTATCGCGGCAATCCTCTTCTTGCCGGGATAGCCTTCAAACAGATACCCCGTGCGGTACGGGCTTCCGTCGCGAGGGTCGCTGCTGTACGTGTTGACAAACTCCGTAACCTGCTCTGTATCAGCGTTGTGGAAGTAGTACGCCGACAGGTACTCGACAATCTTCTCCGTCGTGCTCATGTTGCGCTGCGTCAGGCTGAAGAGCGTGCCCTCGTCCTCCTGCGTCCCGATAATCATGGGCACCTGGTGGAACTTGCCTGCCCGCTGCAGCGCGTCCGGGCTGTCCGTCAGTACCCTGCCGTCCGGCCGGGGCAGATAGGACAGGGCGAGAGAGCTGTACGAGATGATGCCCGGCACCGAGTTGGCGGCGACGGTGAAGACGTCGTTGTCCAGATTGCGGAGGCACGACAGCGAATCGGTGCCCGTGCAATTGGCCGCCACGGCAACGGTATCGTAGATGGCCTGGGCTTTGTCGCTGTCCAGGGGATCAGTGGGCGTCGCGGAGCCAGAGTTCATGATGGCGCCGCGGAACAGCGAATTGCCATTGTAGCTGGCATCGCCGTCAAAGAGGACGAGCTGATCAAATACCGAGATGGCACCGGCAGACTCGCCCCAGATGGTGACCTTGCCCGGGTCACCACCAAAAGCCTCAATATTGTCCGCAACCCACTCGAGGCCCATCCGTTGGTCAAGAAGCCCAGCGTTGCCACTGCCCTCGGCCAAGATCTCCTTGCCCGGCATGAAACCCCAGGCAGCGACGCGGTAGTTGACCGCCACGAAGATAAAGGGCTGGTCGTGCAGCAGGCCCGTCTCAATCAGCTGGGTGGCATTGTAGCCCGCAGTGCTGCCGGCCAGAAAGCCACCGCCAAATATCCAGAACAGCACAGGGAGGCCGGCGCCGGCCCGTACCCCTTTCGGGCGCTGGACGTTGATCGTCAGACAGTCTTCCCCCGATGTGGGTGCCTCACTCTCGCCCGAGGTATCGTTAACGATGGCGCCAGCAACGAGAGCATCAGCGACGTTGGAGAGGCCCTTCAGAGTCAGGATGGGTCCCTGAGGGCATGAACGGGGTGTGCCCGTGGCGTCAAACGTGCCCAGGTCCCGGGACAGCTTTACCGGCGGCCTGAAGCGCAGGTCGCCAATCGGCGCATCGGCATAGGGGATGCCATTGAACGTTTCTACGGTCTCTCCTGCGGTGCCGATGATGGTGCCGGACGGGATGGTGACGCTGGCAATGGCGGCCTCTTCCCGTGCCTCCACGGAGAAGGTGTGTACGGAGGTGTGTACGGCTGCGATGAGCGGCAGCAAGCCAGCCGCGATTGAGAGGATGGCGGCCTTCATTGTTGGAAAAGAGGCAGCGCAATAGAGCTATGGCTGCAGTGAGGCTTTGTGTCCGAAGGATCTACCACAGAAGAGCCACGAGGCGGAAGAGATGATCTTGGCAGTGGTTCCGGACCTGAGAAGCTTTGGCCTTTCTCTTATACGCATTCTGACGACTCCATGTCGTCTTCTCGTTTGGTGTCGTCTGACTGCTTCCTGCTGAATTCGGGTCATGCTTTCGCTCATGACAAGGGTGGTCTCCGTCTATCGTGGCATGACGACGCGATCTGTCGACAACCCGAGTTAGCAATGTACAACGCTTCCCAAGACGAAGGTCGTCATGGCTCTGGCTTCTTAGTCAGGAGATCGTCCATCATGGCGGGTGAGATATGCGGTGAGACAGTTGATTCCCCGTCCGAGACATGTCTTTTTGGTTGTTTGCCATGTCTCGTAACACGAGATCCGTGGTGGTGGGTATCAAGTTCGGAAAGGACGAAAATCGAGATGAGTGTCTGAGACATTCGTAGTAATGGGTCGTCATCGAGGAGGTTCTGACTAAGTCTGGATAGACTGCTTGACGTCCTGCATCAGAACCAGTAAGACGTACCTACCTAGTAGTCAGTGTATGCAATGCTAGGTAGATGCGTCGTCATCTCATCGCCAGGAGGCTGGTCTTAAATTTAAGGTTGTTTCCCCCTCCTGGTGGCGTTGACAGAGGCGTCGGCCAAATCGGCAACTTGAGAGGCACCATTCATCGATCGCTCAACGATATTGGTCAGAGGGAGAGAGGAGTTGTTCAGGATGGGAATCGTGCGCGGAGTCGAAAAAGTTTGATCTCTGTTCAATCGGTTAGCCTGATGCTCCGTTCGGCTGAGGCTGTACTGACCTCGACTGAGTGGAGGATCTTGGCGAGCCATCGACGGATGGCTGTAGTTGAATGACCAGAATCACTCTAAAGTCAGCCACTGTTGAGCGTATTTAGAAGTAGAAGGGCATAGGTAGTAGAGGAAGAGCAGCAGAGAAGGAGAGCCAGAGACGAAGCGAGGTCAATCGCCCGTGACGTCTTTCTGCCTTCATTTGCTTTTCACCGCCCGACTCCGGCCCGGTGCCTCGTTAATCCACCTTCACTTGCGCTGATAAAAGGTTGAGCCATCGCCGTCCAAATCCTTCAGAGTAATGATCAGCCTGCAGCCAAGTTTCGTCTGATACTCAAAACACCGCCCAATTCGAAGAACAAACTCCTGTCGAAATCATCAGTAAGATGAAGCTGATCAGCCATATTACGATTCCCAATGAAGCCGCTACATTTAACCGAATTGACATCATCAGTCGACTCGAACTCACGGAGCAATTGGAATTCGTCTTTCGTAAAGTCCTCTATACCCTGAATGTATCAGAAGTGCGCTTTCACGATTGGCCAAGGTAATCAACAGCCCTCCCCTTATACAAAACAACACATGAACAAACAAACAAACAAACAAACAAACAAGCACGCCGATACTCCGTCGTGAACCGCAGCTCACCGTAAATGTACAGGGTATCTCCTCCTCCTCTTAACCTCTCCATCCGAAACTACCTCCGCCTCGTCAAGTTTTGCAAATTCGCAGAGCTCCTCTGCCTGCTCGCGCTCCTCCTGACGCTGGTGCCCCCTCTGCTCGCGAGGCCGCCGAGATTCCTCAGTGCCCCATTCCGTCGCGGATCTCCAAAAAGTTCAGGTACCGCTGCTTCGTCCACCGCCGCGCCTGCTTCCCCCACACGATCATCGGCAGTGACAGCATCAGAATCACGAACCCCAGAACACCCAGCTCGATAAAGGTGTCCATGACGCCCGTGTCCAACCAGTAGCTCGCCACAAAGGTAAAGATCATGGCCAGCGTGTTGTTGATGACGGCAACGCCCACCATGCCCTCGAGGACCATATCCGGGTAGCAGTCGGCGAGGTACGTCAGGCTCAGGTCGCCCGCGCAGCCGTAGCCAAAGCCTATGAAGCCGAGGCCGACGTACGGGACGGGCCAGTCCCACCCCTTGGCCGAACCGATGCCGAACAACCACATGCCCGTCGGGAAGATGAGGACGCACAAGAACATGAGATAGAGGCGGAACTCGGCCTCCTGGATCCCCCGGTTACGCCGGCTGGCCCACAGCACAAACAGATCGCTGAGGTAGCCTCCGTAAAAACAGCCGAGGATGCTACCGATCAGACAGGGAATGTTCATGTTGCTCACAGCGACGTCCCCATAGTCCCAGGGGTCCTCGGTCCAGTAGTCTTCCTCAATGGTGAGGTAAAAGGACAGCGCAATGTTCTGCATCCCCCACTGCAGCCCGGCGAACCAGACGGCGGGGAAGGTGAAGATGCGCAGCGTGTGCCACAGACGGCCGACGTACTGCCTGGCGCCGACTCCGCGCAGGTTGGGGGCGGGCGTGACGAGGGCGATGCGCTGCCAGTACGACTTGGGGCGCGTGTAGTTGACGGAGAACTGGTCCGTCTCGCGGGCCTCTTCGTCTGACGCGCCGGCCGTGACCTTTTCGTCGCCGCTCGTCTTTTCATCGCCATTCATCGTTGCTTCGCCGCGAATGGCCTTTTCGTTGCTCGTCGGCACAGCCGGCGTTCGGTTCTCCGCCGCCTGCTGGTACCTCTCGCGAGGGAACGACGTCTCTTCCAAGCCAAAGTAAAAGAGCACAAAGTTGAAAGCAGACATGATGGCGCCCAGGTATCCGATCCAGCGCCACCCAAGGCTGCTGTCAGCGACGTAGCCGCCAATCAACGGACCCAGATACGTTCCCACGGAGGTGGCCAGCGTGTACAGACCCATCGACGTGCCGTTCTGGTGCTCGAACCAAATGTCCAGCAGGGACAGCTGCACCACGGCCTCGGCGACGGACTCGGAGGCCCCGACGAAGAGCTGCGTCCAGATGGCATCCTCGGCGGTCTTGAGGCGGCCGAACCATATGTTGCCAATCAGGCCCCAGGTTGCGCCCACGAGATACAAGATTCGGCGGCCGTACAGGTGGACGGCCGGGGAGCTCAGCAGGGTCCAGTAGCCAATGGCGAGGAAGAGGACGCCGGCGCCTGTGTTGAAGACGTCGTAGCTGATGCCATACTCCTCATTGACGCCCGTGCTGGCGGAGCCGGCGACGTTGGACGTTGCCGCCGTCAGGGCGACGGCGAAGCAGACGAGGCCGGTGTGCCATATCTTGCGCGGCAGGCTCCAGTTGAGGGGATCGTTGGGCGACTGGGTGGGCTGCGGGACGAGGACGATGCCGTCGTGCTTCTGGAGGAGGCCGTTGGCGGAGGTGCTGCTGGCGGACTCGTCGATGAAGACGCAGCGCGTGCCGGGGAGCACTTCGTCGATGTCGAGGACGGGCGTGGGCGGCTGAACGTCCATTGGGCGAGGGGGGGAAAGAACTCGAGGAGAGGAAGCTGAGTGGACTCGGGGGCTGGAGGAGGTTCGGGGGGGGCGCGAACTAGAGGGGAGTTCGAGGAGGGGGTCGAACTGGCTCACTGGAGCCTCATGCGGGTGCTGCTGTGGAGAGTGTCAGTTAAGAAGGGAGGAGAAGGAACAAGAGGGAAGAAGAGAGAAGAAGGGAAGAAAAAGGAAGGATATTTTACCTGCCAGACGGGCGAAAAGCGAGACAAGCGGAGGAGGTGACGATAAGAACCGGCACTTTTCCTGCCGTGTCTCGATTTTTTTTTTTCTCTCTCCCCCGTCCCGGTTGGTGGTGGTGTGTCCACACAAATCGGGCTTATCGAATGCAACCTCAAGTGCTGATTTTTTTTTTTTCCTGGTTTATTATCAGTGCATGGATCGTCGGTGGGTTCGTGACGGGAGCTCTAGCGGGGTGTGGATGGTTGGTTGCAGCGCGTTTAGTGGTCGGTTTTAGTGGTCTAGCGGGCTAGTTGTAGCGGGTGCGGGTACCTGCTGGAGGGGGGCGGAACCTGGTTGAGAGCGCCAAGGCGGGTGATGCACCGAGTTCAAGTTGCTTCATGTTGGTACAGTACCTGAGTGCTGCTTTCTCCCTCGGCGGATGAATAGCTAGCTTATCCAGACTCTTTCCTGACAATTATCTGAGTCACTACTATCTTCATCTTCTACCCAGCTACTGCAGACTATAATTCCGGGCCATGATACGGACGACTATTGATATCAGGTTCAATCGCATCGAGATTCACTCTGACGACGTGGCGGGCTCTCCAGGAATGGCAGACAGGGATCTCGCCCAATCAGCGCAGTGGCGCATCGGGAGCTGCGGGCCTTTTTGGGCTAGTCCTGGACGGCGCCCCCGGGGGGGGGATTTTGCTGGGGTTTGACAGACGGGAATCATTTCCATTTGATGTTGTAGATGGTGGTGGTGAAGGTTATTCTCAGGATGGTATTGGATGGAGTTGCGATATGATTTCCTCCTGAGTTGAACCATTGGTCTTGGCTGATTTGATGCTTGAGTTTGGTAGTAATCATATCTGTCTGAAGCGAGTCGAATTGGAGAATGATGTCATGTAGGTAGTAGGTAGCAAGACGTGACTGTATCTCACTCAAGTACTTGTAGGGTAGGTGGCCATCAAGGTGTGCTTTACCGGTATCGTTTTGAAAGCACCATGAACTTAGATCTCCAATCAATCTCTGAAACAGTCACAGTCATCAGAATCATACCTAACCACCACAGTCATCACATTACAATAACTACTAGGCAAGTATTCACAAGAATCATCTACTGGGTACGAAGGTATGCCAGCCCATCAACACCGGCTCACCGAATCGTCAACGTCACTCTCATCATCCCCAAACCGCCCGCCGCTCTGCCGCTGCGCACTCCGAATCGTCGCCATCGCCACGCTCGAGTCCATCATGAACTGGTGCCGCACCTCCTCCTGCCACAGATACCGCTTCCGCTTCCTCGTCTGCCAGTCCCCCATCACCGCCGGCGTCTTGCAAAAGTCCAGCGATGCCTCCTCAAAGTCGACCAGCATCACGCTCTCCCGCGACCGGTCAAACAGGAAATTGCTCGCCGACAGCCCTCCGTTGTACACGACGCCCAGCTTGTGGATCGCGTTCAACGCATTGTCCGCCATCTTGGCAATCATTTCCTTGTCAACTTGCCGGTAGCAGCTCAGAAACGGCCGTCCGCCCCAGCTCAGAAGCAGCAATTCCTTCCAAGGATTTTCGCTGTACCGCCACGGCCGTCCCATATCAAGCAGGCCAAGACAAACGGGCACGCAGTCACCCTGCAGCCCTACCATATGGTCGTAGACGGACTTTTCCATCCACATACTAGCGGAGCTCTTGCCGCCCTTTGCGATAAACGTGTAGCCATGCGACGTCAGCCTCACCTTGAGGGGCGATCGGAAGGTGTTGCCAATCCGCAACTGGACGCAGTCGGGATCCTGTCCTTCTCTGCTGTCGAGCTGTCTCAGGAGGAGGCGCATGAAGTCGCTGTAGTCGAGGTGAGCCGGTCCGTGAAACTCGGCGTTGGGGCAGTGAAGATCGGGGGCTGTCCCCTGTACCAGACCGAGGAGGCAGCTCTGGGAGCAGTACGGCTGGTCCATCAACGGGGGTCGAGGACCACTGAGGCATCGGTCGAGTTCGAGAATGACTCCGTCTCGGCCTGGTACATCATCGAGCCAGCTCCGGATCTTTTCGCTCTCCTTGGGCTCTGTCGTCTTCATCTCAATGTATAAGGGCGATTGCTTGAATCCTTGCCAGCGGTAGACCTTGAATGACGACGGCGACTGTGGCCTTGAAGTACACGTCTTGCGTATTCTATCCAACACGTCATCGTATCCCATCGTCCAGGTGTCCATATACGTGATAGACTCGCACCACGACTCGGGAAGCGGCCTCGCGCGGAGAGCCTGCAGCACCAGCCCAAACACGAGGGCACCCGCCGTCCGCTGAAGCCGTGTAGGGTCGTCGTTGAGAACCTCGCGCTCCGGCACGCACGGCGTGCAGTATATCGTACAAGGATCGTCCTCGGAGATGCGGCAGAAGATAAACGCCTCGCCCGTGCAGACGCACCCGTACTGTATGTCTCTGCTGATCATGTACGAATAGAGCTGCGTGACGGTGGCCGCCACCAGCGTCCTCGATGCAAAAGTGTAGTCGTCGCCCTCCTTGTCAATCACGTCTCGCTCGGGTCGGATCTCGGAGGCCAAACCGCACTTGATCTCGTCGAGTTGTAGTCTGTGCGGCAGCTGATGCACAATGGCGAATATGGGTGTCTTCGTTCCGTGATCCTCCCTGTGACGATATACGCACGATCGGTTGACCCAGATGCCGGCCCTCTTCGCCCTGCGGTGAGAGTTGCGCATCGACAGCTTCAGCTCGCCCGCGTCCTTGTGCCACGACGACTCCAGCATGGGCTCGTACACCTGGCCGAGGTCCTTGTCCGTCTCAATCGTCACCTTCACGTCGTCGCTGAGCCCGAGGCCGTTCCATAGCAGGCCGTCCTCGTACAGCTTGTCCATCAACTCCTGGACCACGTTCTCGATGGCGTAGCGTCCAAAATGCTGCAGCGACGCCTCGCTGTTTACCGGCGTCAGTGTCCGCCTGACGCTGTCCAGCTGCTCAATGGAAGGAAATTGCTGCTCCGTGCAGAATTCCGTCTCGGACGGCAGCTGGCTCCATACGCTTTCTTGCAGCTTGGCAAAGCCGTCCCAGGGAATGATTCGCCGCGGAAACGCCCAGCTGAGCGCTTCCTTCTGTGTGATGAGGGACCGGCTGGGTGTCTTCTGGAACCGCATATGCAGCGCATGGCAGGTCTTGAGGTACTGGGCGAGGTTCTGCGGCAGTCGGTCTCTCTCTCTGGTCGGTTCCCTCTCCCTGATAGGCTGTTGCAGCGATCGCTGGTCAATTTGTCGCTCGATCCGCTTGTACTCACGGTCGAAGAGCTCCTCGTAGCGGACATCGATTTTCTGGCGCTCCCGCTCGTATAGCTCATCACGTTCGCGGGCCAGCTGACGGAGTTTCCGCTGGTAAATCTCGTCACACTCGCGCTGAATGTCCCTGCATTCCTGCTCCCTCTTCTCGCACTCGGCTGCTACAAAATCTTGGAATAGCTCCTCGTCCTCGTCGTGGTCGAACCGCTTTCGATGGCGCGGAAACCCCTGGCGTCGACGCAGCTCCCGCTGCAGGACGCATTTCCGCTTCTTCAGCTCCTTGAAACTGGCGCTTGTCTCTGTCATTCTCGCGGTATCACGGCACTATAAGCTGTAAGATGCATTGGTGAGCACCGACGGGTATCAAGACCTGCAGCCTCCACGATCAGGAGGGCCTTGTTCATTGTTATAAGAGCTGGCCTTGTCTGTGGGCCCGAGCGGTGACAGCTCACAAAATTACAGCTAGGCTGCAAGCGGCTAGGAGGCTGGCGGGATAATATGACGGCTCGTTCGCGATCCCTGCAAGCTGATGGCCGTGAGCTGTCATTGGCGTTGACCCGGTGCTTGTTCAGTTGTGGCCCAGGCCCCATTACCCAGGACGCTCCATTGTTGGCCGTCTGTTGTACCACTTGGCTGGACCGTGATTTCCCTTTTATTGGGATGCTTTCTCCCCGATTCGCTGCTGGCCGCCAGGGGTCGTTCGCCACAGACACAGCAATAGTAACGGCGACAGACTCGAAATAACACGTGTGACACGAGGTTTGCGGTAGATGAGGCGGTGGATACGCCAATGTCCGGGGAACACCGATAGACGGACGTCCATCACAGAGCCCTGAGCCTCGAGGGCGTCGTATTACTACTTGTCGTCAGTTCGTACTGATGGCATCACCAATCTCGCCTACTACTATCGCTTTGATTGCCAGCAGTGAGGCAGCCTTGCTAAGAATAGATGCATGTTTGTGTCGTCCTGCTTCTGCTGCGCTAATCGGATCACCCTTTCCTGCCCCTGCTGTCGACGCTGAAAGAGTACTTACTGGCTGTACTCAACCGCCGTCGTGTACGCATCGTTCTCGTGGAGAGCCCAGTATCCGTCCCAGATTTCCTTTGTAATCGGTCCAACTTGTCCGTCCTTGATCGGCAGTCCATCGAGCTCCGTGATCGGCATCACTCCCCCAGCCGTGCTGCACAGAAACATCTCGTCGCAGCTGTACGCCATCTCGACGGGAACAGCCTCGACGCGGACCTCGATTCCCCGGGCCCTCGCTACCTCCATGACGGTCCTCCGCGTGATCCCGTGCAGTACCCCCCTGTCAGGCGTGTAGATGGCGCCGTTCTTGACTAGCACAATGTTATATCCCGCTCCCTCTGTCAAGTGCGAGTCGCCGTCCGTAAGAAGCGGATAGCTGGCGCCCCGGTCCCGCGCCTCGTGCATGCCGCGCACCATGTCGCCCCATTGCAGGTTCTTGATTGTGGGATCCATGGCCCCTGGCGGCGTCCGGCGGACCGTGCGAGCGACAATGGCGCTGCCGCCGCGATACTGCATGTCCGGGTCCATGAGCCAGACATACGGCAGTAATATCACGTACAGGTTGTTGACAATTTCCTCGGGTTTCGACCCTCGCACCCCCTTGAGCCCACGCGTCACGATGAGCTCAACGTAGGCGTCCCGCATCCCACTCTTTGCAACCATGTCAAACAGGATGGCCTTGAGCTCGTCCCTGGGCAGCGGCAGCTTGAACCTCATCTTGGCGCAGCTGGACTCGAAGCGCGTGATGTGGTCGTCTAGGCGGAAGAACTTGCTATTCCACACCGACGGAACATCATAGCACAGGTCGCCGTGGAGGAAGCCTTGGTCCAGGATCGGGATCCGGGCCTCTGCCAGTGGTGACAGCTCGCCCGCGATCCAGGCGACGCCGCTGGCATATGGATTGTCGCTTGCTTCGAGGGCAGCTTGCCTTTGTCTGTACGCGTCAAAGAGGGAGTTCATCCAAGACATTGTGATGGTGACGGTAATGGTGATGGTGATGAAGCTTGAATGGGTAGAATCAAGGACGTAAGTGCGGAGCCACTCTTATAAATCCATCCTGCCGGATTATATTCATCTGTTTAGCTCAGCATCGTGCTCGACGATCGATCAAGAGGTGCAGTAGCTGCAAATGCGGTGGGTAGCCGCGATGCCTGAACAGGGAATGTCGTCCGCAGGGAGTTGGAGGACGATCGGAGAAGTTGGTCGTTTGCGGGGAAGTGGCAGAAGAGCTTCTAAACAGCTCTAGAATGTTAGCTTAAGCCAAGTTGTCTGGTTGGAGAAGAATCATACCTACCTAGGTAATACATGTAATGAGGGCACAGTCATCCTGGGAATAGTCGGAGATGCTGCGAGTGGCGGAGGAATGTGTGCCGTAGGTTGAAGAGATGACGAAGGCGAGTCAGCCAGTTTCTTTGATGCAAACCGAGGCACTTCAGAAACTCACCTTCATTGACTGACTTTGTTCATGGCAGACAAAGGCAACTCTCTCTCTTCTGACAATTTGTGTGGACGGTGAGTTAGGTATCTTAAGCGAGGGCAACTGTTCGAATTGGCCCAACATTTCATGCTGAGGAAGGCACAGTCGGAGTCACGGGGCCTCGAGTCCATGTGCACACAGCCCTCCCCTTGACCGAGAAATTCCAGACTCTTGCAACGTGCCTCTCATCAACAATCATCGGTGAAGTGCCAGTACTCTTCGGGCCAGTACTCTTCGGTCCGAATTTCTGACACTCGCTTTGCTACCACCTCCAATTGTCAAGCCGTCTTGACCACCACTCTCCAATGGCGAGGTTGCAACACCTGGCAGCAACATGATGGCGAGGTAGGTGACCCCAATTGCTCCATCGTTGTATCACGCAAGAGACACAACAAGCACTGACGGATCGGCTCACCAGGCAACTCGAACCAAGCCAGCTCTCCAGTCGGGCTCAAGAACAGCCGCAACTGTTGTCGAAAGCCCTCAATCGCGGACTATCTGTCTCTTCGACTTGATCGCAAACCTCCCTCAACAATGAAGCTTATGGCCACTCTGCAATAGAACCTCAAGACGTAAGACGATAAGCTGCGTCAGCCGCTTGAGGATACTGGCAGTGCTGCGGTAAACGCAAGTCCCCCAATATTAGCGCTGACAGCTGAAACTATATTCGACTGCTCTAGGACCACAATCTTTAACATAAATATACCATGGCCTGCAAGCAACCTCACCCGAAGAGACCCTTCTTCTCCAGGTATACTCACACGCTGTATCATGTGGCCTTTCAACTCCTATCCTGAGCGAACGGCGGAGGATGTCGACGACGAAACATACGACTACGTCATTGTCGGAGGTAACTTGAGATCGATCTTATTAGCTGAGTATAGGTCCTTCGATTCTGACACTTGGTTTCCACCGGCGGCGCCGGCGGCTGCGTCCTAGCATCTCGTCTCTCCGAAGACCCCAACGTATCCGTCCTTCTACTTGAAAAGGGCTTCGTCAATGATAGCCTCATCGGCCGCATTCCCCTCCTTTCTCTACATCCAAGCATGCCGGGCACCGCAGCCGTGAAGTATCTCAGTCAGCTTTCCACGGCAGTCAACCGGAAGCTCTCCCTCTTCTGGGGAGAGGCCCTCGGAGGGTCGACCCGTATCAATGCAATGGTTCTCACGCGAGGCCCTCCCAGCAACTACAACGACTGGTCCCAGGAGTACGGGCTCAAGAACTGGGCCTGGGAGAAGGTGGAGCCTTACTTCATCAAAAGCGAAAACGCCATCGGCCACCCAAAAGCTCAACATCGAGGCCATCAGGGGCCGGTCGAGAACCGCCAGATGGCCTTGCCATTCTCCTGCTACCCCTTCATCGAGAAGGCCGTTCGCAAGCTGGGATTCCCAGTTTACGACGACTGCAACGATCCGGCCGCGGGTGCGCAGGGATACTTTAGCCTCGACCACACCATCAACGGCAACGGCCGGAGGCTCTCTGCTTACCAGGCATGGCTGAACAAAGACATTGCTACCACTCGAAAATCGCACCTCACCGTCTGCACCGGCGTAACCGTCTCCAAACTCGACATCAACCCCGTATCTCGGAGAGTGGTGGGAGTTCGAATCCACAGGAAAGGGAAGACGGGCAATGGCGATTATTCTGTCAGGGCACGGCGAGAAGTGGTACTATGCGCGGGTGCGTTAGGGACTCCTCCGGTATTGATGCGCAGGTATGCCATTCTACAGATGCCACCTAAGCAACAGCAAGCAACCGGCTAATAAACGACAACCCAGTGGGATCGGACCCAAAGACCAGCTCGATCAACTTGGCATACCCATCATCCAAGAATCGTCTGCGGTGGGCAGCAACCTCATGGACCATATCGCCGTAGCCATCATGTCCAAGCTCCCGGCACGCGACACCATCCACAGCCTCTACAATCCGCTCGTCTTCATCTGGCAGCTGATCCTCTGGATCTTCTTTGGCCGCGGCCTTCTTGCATACTCTTCCACAAGCTCAACCATCTTTCTTCGAACGACTGCCATCGATGACACGACTCTGCAAGTCCAGACTTGCCGCGATGGAATCGACACAATGGATTCCATGAATCCACAAAACGTGCCTGATGTCGAAATTATGGTGATTCCTGTGTCTTGCTACCTCGATGTGAATGTCACCGCCCATCCTCTTATGACTTGGCAGTGCACACTGGTCCAGCCGTTCAGTAAAGGAAGCCTCCGACTGACAAGCACCAATTCCGAACACTTGCCTGAAGTTTTTCATCCGCTTCTTCGAGATGACCGGGACCTTGTGCCCATGCGAAAGGCAATCCGCATGTCGCTGCGTCTTGGCCAGGAATTTGCCCGCTCGGGATACCCTCATCCGGCACCCGTGCTTTACGGACCTGGCATGGACCTGCAATATCTCGATGGCATATTTGGTTACGCAACACAGCTACCAGGCAAACAGCAAGAAAGGAAAGGCGGCATAAAGGAGCTCCCAGACTGGCAAACCATCTCGGACAAAGCCATCGACGACTACGCATATCGTACTTACCAGAGTTCCCTTCACTACGCGTGCACTTGTCGAATGTCTCTTGACCCGACAGATGGCGTCGTGGACCAGAAGCTGCGAGTCTTTGGAATCGATCGCCTCCGCATAGCAGATGCGAGCGTGTTTCCCAAGGTCACGAGTGGACACACAATGGCACCAACCATGATGGTGGCCGAGAGATGTGCCGATTTCATCAAGGAGACGTGGCGGGACAAAGAGTCGCTGGGAATCTGAGCTTGCTGGGATGCAGTCAATATTTGGATGGCTAGCATAGCGGGAGAGAATCGAGTTCTCTCGCACAACCGCTCTGAGGCAGCGTCCTCGTTGGCTCTCCCATTTCCACCGCCCATCCACCGTCATCACCCAGCGTGACCTGTCCCGCTGTCCAGCGTCATGTCGGCGGTTCCTTGACTCCTGGTGACTATTGATGATGTATAATGCGTCACGGGTGACAGTAGCCTCACTAACACGGCGACGTGACGAGACATATGCAACTTTACGACCTGATAGGGGATATTCAGAGTCCGTGACCTGGCACCAACCTGCTCGCTCAACGGACATTGGGAGTCTGACGATGACTAGGTCGGCTTTCTGGTTGGTGAAGGATAAATACAAGCCAGGAGCAGCTATTGAATGTGAAAGCAAGAGGGAAAGAGGACAAGCGCACGATTTGCTGAGAGTATAACACTGGAGGTGAAGGAGAAGACTCTGAGAGGAAAAAGACGACCAGCTACTAGGTAGTATGGAGGCATGAAGAAGGTACGTCCAAAGGGGGGGTTTCGCGGATGGCTCGAGCTCAAAAAGTCTCCGAGCTCTGTGGGACTCACCAATAAGACACTTCTCATTTGAGGCCATTGCTAACCACCTCTTATAGCTTCTGCTGTCGACAGCATTCCTTTTGCAAACCACCCTCAACCTCTCAACACTTTCGATACCTCGCAACAGCGCGTCGACTGTATCCCCTTCAGCCTCTTGACGCCATCTCTTATCACGCTGCTGCTGCAGTCGACAATCGATGTTGCCTCCATGGGCATCAACATCTGCGCCATGTACGAGTAGCAAGCATATTCCATCACGCCACCAATGTGCACGGTCGCCACGTTCCAAGTCGCACGATTCTATCATGGGGTTCAGTGTTGTTGTCCCCATGGTTGACATCGATATCGAAGAAGTGATGGACGAAAGTCTTGCGCACTTACAGTCTCAACATCGCTAGCCCTGGTGGAACTGCGGGTAGCTGGACTCGATTCCGGAAATCTGCGCCATATTCAGGCAGTCGTCGACCTTTTTCAAAGGGCGTCGGAGGCACAGGCAACATAAGTGCTTCTTCGCGATTCCCGACCACCCTAGGTTTGCTCCGCACCCAAGGAGTATTTACAGGTATCGAGCGCACTTATGGACGCCGGAAAGGGGAACGCCGCATGGATAGCCAGCGTACCTCGGCAGGCAGTACGCGGGCGTGCTCCTCGTCAAGCAATGCAAAAGGACAATAAAGTTCAATTCTTATGGAAGCATAGCCGTGGCGGGGCCTTACACATGTCGTCGAGCAGCAGCTCGTGATTTGGAGGCTCAAAGTCGTTTGCGCGTCTTTCCCAAGCTCTCTTGGATGGCCATGCCACTGGATTTCGTCCACCCTCTTTGCAAGCAAGGTCGATTGCGTCTGTTCTCGCCTGTTGGATTGGCATCAAGAGTTGGGCATAAGCTGGCCGGGACGCTATATTCGAAATTATGTCATATGGTGCGATGAATACAGGCTTTGCTTTCCGATGGCACATCGTGAAGCTCTCAGTGCCGCTGCTGCCGTTCGACTCCTAGATCGAAAGACGTCTTGCACGGCTGGGCCTCAAGTGTCTGAAACCCAATTGCTCATGTAAGTCCGCGAATTTGTATGGAGATAACTGCGAATGGGTTGTGTTGACGGAGACATAGTCTGTCGAGTCATGAAGACCGAGAGGGTGTAGGTAGTGTGTGAATGACGCCGTGACCGAAGAGGTCAATCCACCCAATGAGACAAGACCGGGCATCGGGCGGCTTTAGCGGCGGAAGAACGCTGATTGGTTGGCGCCCAAGAAACGTCGGCGGAAGAAAGCTCATTGGTCAGGCTGCTTCAGCTTGGCGATCTCCTGTCCAAGCGTCAAGCCCATGTATGCAGAGCAACAGTCGACACTCATGGAGATAGGTGCAACTAAAGCCGAAATTTGCCTCAACGTCCTTTCGAAAGAACCTGTCAATGTGACAATCTTGTCTCGCATCGATCCGTTGTCAAGCCGGTCATGGCTATAAAGAACGCGCATCCCAACACTGCTTGGAAATGTCGCCCAAAAGAGAACAGCATCACTCGGCAGCACGTTCGACAGTAACAAGACTACTACAATGTCTCAGACGCTTCCCAAGATAGTCACCCGTGCCTTGGGCAAGAATGGACCTCAAGTGCCTCGCCTCGGCCTCGGCCTCATGGGACTGAGCGGACACTACGGCCTGCCAGCCCCGGACGAGGAGCGCCTGGCCTTCTTGGACAAGGCGTATGAAATGGGTGAGACATTTTGGGACACCGGTAGGTCCAGACATCCGAGTTGAGCACGAGGCACCTTTGCTGATAAAGTTCGGTTTGCAAGCCGACATGTATGGCGACTGCGAAGACCTGTTGGGAAAATGGTTCGCGGCCAACCCGGGAAAGCGAGACAATATCTTTCTTTCGACCAAATTCGGCTTGCGGACAGAAGGCAGAAACATCAAAGTGAACTCGTCTCCGGAGTATTGTCGAGAGGCCATCGAAAAGTCTCTCAAACGACTCGGGCTGCCATCTGTCAACCTGTTCTACGTTCATCACCTCGACAAAGTCACCCCGATCGAAAAGACCATGGAGGCCATGGTCGAGCTCAAGAATGAGGGAAAGATCCAGCATATTGGTCTGAGCGAATGTAGTGCCGACTCCCTCAGGCGTGCTTCCGCGATTCACCCCATTGCCTGTGTCCAGATGGAATACAATCCCTTTACCTTGGAGATTGAGTCGCCTCAGCGCCGCTTCCTCGAGACTGCGCGAGAACTCGGAATCGCCGTGGTCGCATACAGCCCACTTGGACGTGGCCTTCTCACGGGAGCCATCCGGTCGAAAGAGGACATCACCAAGGCCGGAGACATGCGCACTATGCTTCCTCGCTTTAGCGGCGAGAATCTGGACAAGAATGTCGCGACCGTTGCAAAGATCAACGAAATCGCAGAGAAGAAGGGCGTCACTCCCTCCCAGTTGACACTGGCTTGGGTCCTTGCGCAGGGTGACGACATTTTCGCCATTCCCGGCACGACAAAGGCAGAGAGGCTGAGGGAAAACCTTGCGGCAATGAGCATCAGCTTGAGCGCCGAGGAGGAGCAAGCCATTCGGAATGTGGCAACGGAAGTGGCAGGCCTTCGTATTCCAGAGGACGTCCCCGGCGTGAACCTGTTCGGAGACACCCCGCCGCTGGAGTCGTGATGGTTCAATCGCAGCCATTTGGCATGCGGCAGCTTTCGTACATGACGTTGCTTTGACTCAGAGCGTTAGAGCTAGCATCAATAAATTGCGATTCATTGGTACCTATTTGACTGTCAAATCCCGTCTGAAACATGGAGGTCCTGTAAAAGTAGCCGCGGCATCGCCGGCATATGCACACGCTCGGCATCGCCGCTTGGTAGGTTGTATGAGTTGTGAATTTCGTGGTCATCAGGTATGGTACTCTGCGTATCACCAAGGCTGGGAGTGATGGGGGCCAAGTCGGGCCAAAAGGATAATGGAGGCCACGATGAAGTCGAAAGATCATTGTTGAGGATGGTCGTCTCCGTTACGCCGCTAGATGCAGCCTCGCTTATTGGCGCATCATCTTGATGGCACTGGCGCACAATGTGAATGTTCCCAACATATGGAAACACAAGTATGAGTGTGTCCTTTTCGTCTCGGACCAAGCACTCCAAAAGCATCAGCTCGCTCGGCTCGCACCAAACGCTGAGATCAAGGCCGTCTGCGGCTGTTGCCTCCATGTTGCCAAGCCTCTTCAGAGCTAGAACGGCGGAGAAGCACAGCACATCATCGTGCTTTTGAGCCATGGATTCCAGGCCTTGAATGGCTCGTTCGACCATCAATAGATCCATTAAGCGCTGATGATCAAAAGCATTGTCGCGACCTAGCCGGTGGCTATCCAGGTGAGCTAGTAGAAGGGCCAGGGCAGCAAGGATAACCTTGAGGGTATTCCCCCGAGTTGAAGCGGACACACGATTAGGGCTGACCGGAATGAGGCACCGGGTAAGGAGCTCACGACTGGCAAACATGGCGGAGAGCTTGGAGTTTGTGTAGTCTTGGGTGCCCTGGCTAGTAGAGCCAATTCCGAGCCGCGGGACGATGTACGGCAGATGAAGCAACAGTACAAGGTTGTAATGATGCAACTGAAGAACAACCTTGGACGTCATATTTTTCAGCTCCGCATTGGTCTGAGCATCCTTCAGTCTCGGAAAAGCCCACCAGTCTGCTGACAGAGATCGCGCCGCCTGCTTCAACGCGTGGTCAATGTCCTTCGTCACATTGTAATGGTCGTAGGTAAGGTCGTTTGCGCAACGATCCCGTTGCATCAGTTCGTTCCTGGATATGATACGACTCGTAAGCTTGGCCTGGACACGCTCAAGCTGTTCTTGAGGCTCTAGGCCATTTAAGTCGTCCATGAAGCTATCGTCTCGGACACATATTGGAAGGCAGAGCACCAACGCCAGGTAGCGCTCCGTGAATATGAGGCGAAACCAGAGAGTCGCCAAGCAGATCGGCATCTGCTTGCTGTGACGCCGCCGGTGCGGGACGTGGAGGCCCAGCAGGTGAGCAATGCCTATCGCTCGGCGAAACACGAGCCAAGCAAGCCGCATCTCGCCCGTCGAGATGTGGTAAAGTCCTTCAAGCATCAATGTCTCTATGCCACCAAAGGAGACGACAAGAGAGTCCTGAGAGGTGACATAACGAGAAGCAGCCTCAAAAAATTGGCCGGCAACGTCACTATTCGACCGATCGAGGCAGAGCGCAGAGATCTCCGATGTGCGATCTGACTGCTGAAGGCAGATTGCGAGCTGAATTAGTCGTCGAGCTAGATCAATCGGGTCGGCGTTGCTCGACATTGGAGAAGCCAAGAGGGAGATTTGTCGAGGGGCTACAGATCGAAAAGGGTCGGTGGACAAGCCCCGGAAGACGTGCATCGACATCATCAGCAGCTTGTTTTGATGCATGATGCGAGTGGTGACGTTGGCGGACGGGAGTATGGACTGCAAGAGCATAGTCACGGAGCTGCACCGCAGAGCACCATTGGTTGGGTGAGGCGGCAGCAGCAAGGCATCGGCCGTATTGACCAGTGATGACGGACGGGGTGTTGAGGTCTGAGTTGGTTGGTTCAAGGTCTCGAGATTATCGTCCGTTGAGTGACTAAAGGAGCTCTGCGTTGGCCTGTGGCCCGGCTTGGGAAGCAATCTGCGTCGAGAGTCGGAAGAGTGTTGTAGTTGTGGGGTTCGTCGGGATGCATGGTTGGTTGATGCACTGCTCTGCAATTCTCTGGGTGGATTTTGGGTTTGCAGGACATGCCCAGAATCACGGATTGAAGCAGCGGGAAGAGTCGACTGACGTACCAGTCGACCAACCAAGTCCTCAAGATGACCCAATTGATGTCCAGCATCTTGAGCGCGAATCGAACGGTCCGCTGCCTCTGTGACTGAAGACGGCTCCTCGACATGCTGCAGGACACACCTGCATCCACGGCGCTCGCAAGCCTCGCAAGCGCTTGAGCCACTCTTTTCGAAGTGGCATCGTGTTTTGCGCCGTTTGCATTCCCAGCAGCTTGTCGTGCCTCGTCGGAATTTGCGTCGCTCGGCTCTGGCAGAGCTAGACGAAGCCGATGAACTCATGTCGATAGAGCCTGGTGGCCTGCAAACGAAGAGTCGTGCTTGCGCTCATTCGGATCCTGGCATCAATAAGGTAGTATGGTTAGTGATGGTCGCACATTGACAAAGAGGTGAGCAAAAGTCCAGAGACTTGGCTCCTTGATCGACTTGAGCGAGAGATAGAACAAAAAGCTCGACTCATGCGTGTCGCTAAAGGTGCACTTTCATCGATGGAGAGGCGAAAGAGCTCAATGTAGGAAGCGGGCAGGAACTCATGAGAATTTTACGTCAGCATTGATCTGGCCAGCATTGATGAGTCAGCCCGTCGTACATACATTGACACGAAGACGAGTGTCTGGCGGAAAGAGGCAAGGTAATGAAGAGCCACGGGATTGTGCCAATGAGCATCAAGTGAGAAATGAATTGAGAAACGACAGGAAAAGAAAAGAAGAGAGGGGGGGACAAACCACAAAAAACCACAAAAAACCACAAATTCTCATTTGGAACCCCATGACTCAACTCACGAGATCAAAGGCAAGTGTCACCGGCTCCCGCTGATCACGTTTTGTCTCCGATTGGCAGAGAGAAGCATGACGTTTCAAACCTTCCGTCAAGATGGCAACAAGTGCAAGAACAAAGCTTTCTGAGTGGCCAGCTTTCATGACGTGTGCCATGGAATTCAACTTCCTCAAGATATCACTTCAGATCTCCAGGGAGGTAAGTCAGTTTTGAGAGCGCTTGTATTTCCAACTAAAGTCTCCTTTCCTTTAGAATAAAATAACTACCCATCAAACGGTATTGTGTGTAGCGGCCTCAAGTACATCTTGTTCATCTCCAAAGGCGCCTTCTTCCAATTGACTTGTTCTCCCCAGGCTACCTACTCGCGCGTATTGGTGATGCTATGGTCTTCCAACATGCTTGCCTGTGCTATATGCATTTCATGCATGTGTGGCTTCGCCTGTCTGCATCAATCTCAACCGTGACTGTAACGAGATTCTGACGTAGAGAGCGCGGTGGAATTGGGCCATCCCGTCAGGGCCAAGTGGACGGACTCCAATGCTTGAGTGATAGAAGAGTGCCTTCGATGTTATTGGAGAGAACAAGAACGTGAATAAAACCAAAACTGACCCAGCCCGTCGTGCAATGGCGAAGCTTGATCTCAGCAGAAAAGGAATCTTGAGTAGCGCTGCTCGTCCCCACGAGAAAAGCTAAGTGCTTGAGCAGCGAATGTCGGGCATACAACCTGCATCGGAATCAGAATCAGGCACCTCGGAATGAAGCGGGCAGCACCGCGGCAGGGGATGCATACAGAGGTAGGTCCTGTACTGTTCTTCGATTCTTCGACAAAGTGTAGACATTTCCACTGCTTAGGAGCTATATGTAGCCCATACGCGACTATACCCTCGGGCAGTCATTCAATCCGGTCAGAGCAGCGTTATAACTGTTGCAATCCACCTGATGCAGCATCTGCAGACCGATGTCGTTGTGCCTGAAACGAACAATTCAAAACCTGAAGATGTTTGCCGACATGAATCATGCGAGCTCCTGAGCCCAATACTCAATGCGTGCTCATATTCTATGTCATGTAGGGACATACCTACCTAGGTACTGTTCGCATTCCCAACGTTGCGAGGCCATACAAACATGTATCAGGTACCAGGTCTTGCCCTGTTCACGTGGTCGCTTGCCGGAACGTCCTGCTCCTGCTCCCACAGAAGCTCAACTGCACCTGTTCAGCCATCGAACTGCACGAGGAGTCGACAAGCATCTTGAAACTCTGCACCTTCAAAGTGTCAAAGTCGTGCTGCAACGGAGACCATCGGACATTGACGTGCCTCACCTCCCAGTTTAGTGCTCTCGACCACAGCTGACGATTTATTCCTTGAGCGGCCGAGACGAACTCCAACATCACTTTCGCGAGCCGCCGAAGTACCATGCAATTTCCAATCACAGTCGAAGCCTGCACGTTGCCGGCTCCAAAGAGGATCCAGTTGCTTGTATCCTTCCGTGTCTTTGCAAAACATTGGAAGATGCTGATCATGTGGAAAACGCAGGGTGAAGGATTCGAATATCGATGCCGATCCTAGCGGAAGAACCGGGTAATTGCTCCTCTGAAAGCTTTCCGCCGCAGGTAGCTATCTTTCTTTGACGTCCTCGGAAAGGCATGAGTCTCTTGTCAAAGGTATGGCACTCGGATTCTGCACGTCAATTGTTCTCATCTCCCTTGACTGTCCACACAACAGTCCGGCCATCTTCTTCGGGGGTGTGAGGACTCGCATCTATTCCCGATCGACATATTCTGCGTCAAGAACTCTATGTTCCATGCTATTGATTGGTGGGCACATACTCTTCTCAATCGCGAGGAAAAATGTGATACAAATGGCGAGTGGAAGAATTCCATTGTTCAAAGCGATACGTGCAGATCAGCACCAACGGTCCTCAGGTGAACCAACTATCAATGAACCATGTTTACCTTATCGAGTTTAAACTTTGGATACTAGATGACTGACGAATGTTCAGCTCAGGAATATATCACTCCACGTCGGCTGCAAGGTGGTCGTAGGCAAGCTCCCGATTGCAAGCGCGGCTACCCTGTTTTGTACGACGAGAGCGAATAACGATATGCCTTCCTGATATGCCAGTCAATATCGTCCTCCGTAGATGCGGCTGTGGCATCCGAGCCTGGCACATCTGCAAACCCGCCCGTCTGAACAGAATTGGAAGCTTACCAGTCACCCTCTGTTCCGGGTTTCCAGAGACCTGTCCACGAGTCACGATAATTATCTCGATGGAAGCGAGCTAGACAAGTATATTGTGCACATCGATTACTAACCGTTCCGTGTCTGTTATCCATCTTTCCCACTATTCAGATGTCTTGTTTATCAGCTGCTCCAAAGACATTTCGGCTTCCAGAAAGTCAAGACACAATCCGGGACCATTGCCAAGACGAGCTACCGGCGAGCATCAAGAAAGTCACAATTCTCAACCTCAGCATGAGCCGTTTCAGCCTACATACATACTATAGTCTTGCGGTAGAAAACGTGCTCACTCGTCTACCCAACCTGGCCGAGTCTGACAAGCCACAGCGTCTTTGTATGTAGCTGTTCCACGCTTTATCCTTACAATGGGAGAAGCAGGAGAGCTGACCGAGCCCCGGTGTCAGCTTGGGCAACTTATGGGTACAAGACAAATGCCACTTTTGCACGCCTAAACCAGGATGTGCGCCTGGGTGAGTGACCGATAGACTTTCTGACTGGGAATAGGCCGAGGCGACTGCAGACATTCTCGCCATCATCGACACAACAATCGCCCCAACAAGCCCGTCGTGCATTCGCATTTCGAGGACTAGAAATCACGGAGAAGTAACTGCGTGCTGAGTAGAGATCCTACAGTCCGGCTTGATTGGTCCGTGTTCACTGAGCATACACCTGAGGCTGCTGCACGATCCCTCTGGACTCTGAGCATTGAGAAGATATCCATGATGGAAAGATGACAGAGAAGCAAGCAAAGATGATATCAGGTTGTTCGCGAGCACAAATTATTGCCGAGGTATGTTTGTGTTGTCGATGAACTACAACAAAGGCTTGTGTACATGGTGCGATGACGCTTGACCGGCATGAAGCAGACAACAAGTGTTCCGATTTTCTCCTCGCTGCCAAGCAATTGACTTTCGAGCATGCTGCAACTGTCGAGTCGTGATCCCTGGATATGGGAAACCTCGCCGCTGCGTCCAGCGATAGATACGACAAGGAGAGAGCATCGATGCTAAGAGGTGAACGGACTCTTGGGGAATTTGTCGCTAATGCCCTATAATCAGTAACCTAGATATAATCTTGAGAACTCGACTGAAGGCTTTGCATCATGGGTCTGCGGTTTCAAACATTGCAATACTGGTGGATGCCTGGGACGGTGAAGGTCTCCGGACACGTGAGGCTATTCTTCCATGGAAGTACAACGATTCGATTCTCGAAGTCTAAAAGGGCCTGCAATAGTTAACATCCCTACGACATACAGATACCGGCCTCCCAGCAAGACTCATCTACCAGCAAAGATCGTTGTTGGCAAGTAGCTGCAACTGATCGGTACGAACGCCGGCGGCACCCCTGATGTTATACGGTCAATAAGCACTGAGCTGCTGTGGCTCTAACCCCCCCTTTCCCGGATGGACACTGGATTGTCGGCGGCTAGCATCAGTCTTTAAGGCTAGCAGAAGGAACATGAGGCGCCGACCCTGATGGTGAGTGATGCACAGGTTATCTGGCCGATGAGTCGGCCAGCGTCATTGTGCTTACCAGTTTCACAACAAGTTTGTCGATTTCATGGCACGTCCTAGGCCGAATTGCGTGCTGACATTGATACAGGGATTGGGGCCTGTCTTGTGGCTACGCTGCTATCTTGAGCAGCCCGAATTATCAAGACCAGGCTCTCAGCTGTATCATGGAAACTACTGAGGCTGACCTTGTTACAAATACTCGAGCGACGAGGATGACAGATCACACACTAGATGACACCACTCGCACGAGGGCCGTATCTAGACGCCCATTAGGATGGATATCCGCCAGGGATCAGAACTCTATGGGTCCCACTCAATCGCCAATCGCCAAGGGTCCTCGTCCTGAAGAATTACTCGAAACGGAAAATGGTCGTTTCCGACCGGCCGACATTGACGCCACCGCAGCCGGCTCGCTCCGCTGAATATGGAGACTCATCCGGCACGGGAAGAAGCGACAATTACTTGGTAGGCCAAGGCTGCCTCGAGCCCCTTTGGAGCACTTCAGGGTGCACAGGTTGAGTTCATCTGGATCGGCTGATTGCCTGATCGTTCAGTGTAGCTTCTACCTGCCGCCACTTCCACTCACCACTAGATACGCGAGTCTGCATACTATATGCCTCAGCCCTCAGCCAAGTATACCACAACGTCAGCGATATTCCAAACGGCCCAACGACCATTTGAGCAATGTGCTCCATATTCAGCCTTCAGTTGGCCAGCTGCTTGCTCGGAAAGAATCGATATGCCACAAGAGTGATTTGGGCATCCGGGTCTCTCAGGTCGGCCTCCTCCCACATCAGAAATCGCTCGAAGCCGGATTTTTCGAGCACCCTCTGGCTGGCAAGATTCTCCGCAGTTGTAAAGGCCGTCATGACCTCCAACGCCTTCCCCTCCCCATCTGGGACGCTTCGTTGATCAACTTCAATATGGACCTCGTCTCGGGGAAGCCTGCACCACATATCCAGCCACGCCCGGGTGAATTCTGTTGCAAGTCCCTGTCCCCAAAATTCCTTGCGAAACATGTACCCCATGGCAGGCCACCCAAACATGGACTTCAACTGATGACAACCTCCGATCCCAATCATCTCCCCAGTGGCCTTGGAACAGATGGCGAAGTTGTAATGTGATTCATCTTTGGGTGGCAGGAAGAGGTCGAGCTTTGGTCGCGTTTCCTCCAGATCTCTGTCTATCCGCCCTTGGGGATGGTTGACCATCACTTCGGGCTGAGTGCGGATCGAGTGCAGGCCATCAAGATCTTGCGCATCAAGAGCCCGGATGATCAAGCGATCCGTCGTGACGGGGATTCGGCTGGAATTGAGCGGCAGCGGACGAGCTGGGAGAGTAGTGTTGACCGTTGCCCATTTTGGCTTTGATGCCGAATTGAGAGACGCCATCGTTGGGATCTTGCCGAGATGCTCTTGATGTGAGTGTTTGTCCTTTTAATGCTCCTGATGTGAGTGTTTGTCCTTTTATATTGGCTATGGCTTAATCGTGAATATGGCTCACGGTATTGCTAGGCATCGCAAGAGCTACCCGATGCGGCTAAACCGGCTCAACCTTTGCCGTCTTATTTGTCCTTCTTAGTTCAGCTCCGTCGAGGCAAGGGTCAACGCAAACGGCACAGTGTAGCGATGAATAGCACTGTCGATCAGGCGGCGAGGCCTCATGGTTAGCATCACACATTAGTAAGCTTGCCTATGGCTCACGATGACCTCCAGCTGACGCTCGCTTCTGTTTAAGCCGGCTGTATTCATCATACGGGAAATTCTTCTCGTCCAATTGCTCACTGAACGCACCGACAGAGCCTGAGACGACCCGCCGATTACTATTCTGCTCATTTGGCACGGAGGATGAGTTCACGTGTTGTTCCTCGAGACTCTGACATTATACCCCATGATGACTCGAAGGAGTTCCCATTCTCACAAAGCAGCGGTAATTCTACGAACCGTCGCGTCCGAGAGCGCAATTTGAGAGGCTGATCAGAAAGTAACAGATAAGTCATTGGTCAGCGATGCGGCCCCCAGCACGCATATCAACCAGAAGCCTCTTGAGTTCGTCACAGTATCACCCGCCAAGGAGAGAGGTGGCAAAAGCATATCCAAGGTTGTTCGCACACAGGTCATGAAAGACTACTTCTGGAAACGACGGAATCATGAAATACCTGACCAGACACCAATCGATCAACCCACGAACCCATCACTGTACAAGGGGCGTTTCCGCCTCAACGCTCAGCCGAACAAGTCGAAGCCCAAACCCGTATCCAAAAAGACAACCGGTCGCTACACGACTTCGAATGACGCCGCCGACAGAGCGCGAAAGGGGCGCATCGTGATGCCCAGGGGCCCAATTACTGACCCGAGTATTTACGATCCAGATGGTTTTTTTGCGAGCACCCCTGTGGGTTTGCTAGGAGGGAGCCTCGATCCTTTCGATTCGTTTGCTCTCAAGCTCAAGCCGGAGAGCTTGAAGTTGATATACTACTGTACGCCCCACGAGCGCAGCATCACAGAGCTTTGGCTGACATCTATACGGGGTTGACAGACAAGCAAAGCTACTCCAAAGACTTTCTCGATCTCAACGTGGGCGGCGGCTACTGCCTCTTTGATGCCCGAGAGCACCGTGCCCTCTTTCACTCGATCTTATATCTCGTCGCCCTCGACTTCAACCTGCGACGCGGCTTCACAGATGATATTGGATGTCTCTATCACTCTTCAGAAGCATTTCGTTTGATCAACGAAAAGATTCGAAACGACATCATCGAAGACGCTACAATTGCGGCTGTTGCTCTGGTTGCTGCGAAAGAGGTATGCTTTCCTTTGTCCATTTTCATCTAGCTGGTACGAGTGGCTTGGCGTTACTGACAGCTCTCACTCGCTGCAGAATCTGGGCGGCATGTTTGATGTTTCAAACATGCACATGCAAGGACTGAGATACATGGTTGACAAAAGAGGAGGGATCGCCAAGGTCCGGGGCATTCATCGCGGAGTCGTTACATGGTAACTCTCTTTCTCACCCCCCACACTCTTCCTGTCTCTAGAGTACATGCGTACACATATGTTCGCACATCCAAACGGACACTTGTAAAACTACGCCGAGGGAAAAGAACTGACACAGTGTACCAAAGGGCCGATTTCTGCAACTCGACGGTCTGGAATTGTCCGCCACAGTTCCCATACCTGACCCCTTCAACGACTCTCGAAGACCCTTCGTTTCCACCCGACCGCCTCGAGCCGGTAGAGACTCTTTCCTTGCACAGACTTTTGACTGTTGAGCAGGATCTCAGCGCCGTCGTGCAATCTCTCTGCAATATCTCCGCCGCAAAAGACGCGAATGCCCACAAGAAGGAAGCAAATCGCGTGTATGACGTCGAATACAGGCTTCATCTGCTACACTTCCGAGTTTCCAACGATGAGGTTGCCTCCAAGGACATGCTTCCTCTTTGTGTGGCACTCAACGTCTACCTCTACCTGGCGATACGAGAGCTCCCTGCCAAGGCCCAACTTATACGGCTGCTGATCGATCGGCTACAAACTTGGCTAAAGGCCGACTCAACAGAGCGATTCATATCTTCAGATGAACAGAAACAGAACTGGAAGCTGTGGACGCTCTTCATTGGATACGGAGCAGCATTGGAAAATGGAAGACAAGAATGGTTCACGCAAGCTCTCAAGGCGGCTTACATCGAGGCTAAGTATCGAGATATGGAACAGCTTCGTGGCATCCTGAAGAAACTCTTATGGCAAGACTCATGGTGCGAACATTACTTCAACAAGCTGAGAGAGGAACTTGCAAGATGAAGCAAGTCAATCGAGACAAGCATCGTCAACCAAGACACAATGGAAAGGGGGCTTGGTGACCTATGCACACAAGCTCAACGGCCGTGGACACATCGATTGGGGCTATGCTTACGAGTGATTTCACGCTTCACTTACGTCGCTCATTTCCAATAGCTCGCATTTCATGGCCAATCTCTCACTCTCCCTGCTTCGTTCTCGTGACGTGCATCCAAAGCTGCGATTGGGAAAAGACGCCGTGGTTGAACACCTTCCAGGGCTTGTCGGGATCGCAAACGGTGAAGTCGAATCGCCGAATCAACTATCAGACGACACACAACTGCTTAGCGCATTGCCTTTTTCTTGTCGGCGCAAATTTGTTAAGAACATACCTCTACGAGAATCTTGTTCAATTCAATGAGGGCAATCGTACGGCCTAGGCAGAGCCATCGGCCATAGCTGAAGATGAGATCCAACGTGCTCTCCATCTCTTTCACCTTCTCCGGAGAATTGTTGAGCCATCGCTCTGGTCGGAATTCCAGGGCGTCCGCACCCCAGATGTCTTCTCGTCGTGTAATGGCCCAGATGCTGTATCCGACTCGAGTTCCTCCCGGGATAAAGACACCGTTCCAGGTATCGCCATGCGGCGGAACTTCCTTTGACATGAGACCCGCGATTGGGGGGAAGATGCGAAGCCCCTCTTTGATCACAGCTTGAAGATATGGAAGTTTTCTGGCCTCATTATCGCTGATGATATCGCCGGCGATATCGGCAGACGCAATTTCTCGTCGAAGTTTATGAAGAATGTCGTGGTTCGAGCACATCTGGAGCATTGTCGATCGAATTGCTGACGCGGTTGTGTCGGATCCGGCGGCGCTATGTCCCAACTCAATTAGCAAGAGCATACAGTACAGGGTTCAGAAACGCGGCGGCATCACAAAGTACGCTCAGCAAGAAATCGGCCGACATACATTTGCAGCAGAATTTCAGACTCGGCTTCCGTTGGAGTGAGGCCGTGTCGGATGAAAGATGCCAGCATATCTCGCGCATCATTGACGTCAAGCTTGAAGCGCTCTGCTGCTACATCTTTCGCAATACTGAGGAACGGAGGGATAGGTCTTAACGTCAACTCTTTCGTGTCCATACAAGAAACGGCGCCACCAGGCATCAACATTGCTCACCTCATGATCCTGCCGAACCCAAGCCGGTCTTTCGTGGATGGAAGCAGCCCCTTAAGTACGGGGGAGTTCAGCAGGGTCAGAAGCCATGGGAAGACAGTAACCACCATGACCATGGGGAGGTTCTTTTCTGTCGTCTGGATATACTCATATACATCCGTATCTGTCTCGACGAATCCGAAGGGCGCGCCATACGCAAGATCCGAGATCACGTCGAGGGTGAAATACTGGACCTTGCGGCCGAGATCGACGGGTGTCTTCTTGTCAGCGTAGCTACCCAGCAGGCGCATGAAGTCGCGAATGTTGCTGTCAATCTTGGGCTCGATGTTATCCACGTCACGACCGACGTACTATAAGCCTCATCAGTCACCACACTGTCAAAAGCCTCCAGCAGATTATGCCTCGGCAGCGAACATACACCAGCAGCCATTTTGGAACGCAAAGCCGAGTGCGCTATCTCATCTCGCGTCGACAAGCAGTTGTTTGAGGTAGGGTTGAAGCGCATGCCGTCATACCAGCTGGAGCGGCGATATTCCGTTTTCACATTGCACATGTGCTTGACAAAGGCTGGGTCATCAGTGACCAGGTCGTTGAGCCCGACTCGAGCGATTGTCCCTGCCAATTGTGAAGCGCTGTCAGCCAATACATTTTTCAGTGAAGCCGGGCATTGACCAGTGCGATGCGATTCTTACTGACCGTATTTTTGAGTCACTTGCCAGAAGTCGAGGTAAGATCTGCCGCTGTTAACAGATGAGAAGAGCCACAAGTTCGAGATTTTGGCCAAAAGCGGTCCGTCGAAATGGCGTAGTCGGAAGTACTGGCATACTGAGGACGATATGAACCACGCAAGGGTCACTGTCAACGTAAACAGAATCGCATCGGCCAGAGAGACATTGCGGAATGAAAGGCTATCGGTGCGGACGAGGAAGGGAAAGTCATAACGAAGTTGCGCTGTCTGGCCGAGCATCGTGGATGAGGCGCAAAAGAGTGGCTCCAGACACGGTTGATGCTACTCCTTCTGAAAGGAAAGGAACACTCCCGCATAAATATCGCTGCAAACGATGCGGCTTTCGCTGCAACCATTTGCGGCACGCTGCGTCCTATTGGCACTGAGTGGACATCCACATATGTACTCCCTGTAGCCCTGCCAAGGTCGATTGTGAGAGCGGCAATGGCACAAGGCAAGGAACTCGGTATGGGACCAGAGGGTCAATAGCCGACAGGACACATTACAACACTCCACCAACCGGGGCACGATTCAGCCAATCCTGAACATGCTCAGCCTCTAGATGTACACCACCTCCGTCAAAGAGGGTGTCGCAATACTCGTGAGTCCAGGGGATGATGCCTGCTGCAATGTCACCTTGACAAGAACTACATTTGTCGTTCTCGATGAAGCGCGAATCAGAGACCCGGCTGCCACCAGGCTAGTCGACAGCGGAACATGTTTTTTTCTTCGGGGTCCACTCGATGGAACAACAACATCAGCAGCCATCCTGCTTTGGTGATCCTCCCCAGAGACAAGGGTGAACGGAAGTGGTTGTCAATACTGTTGATGCGAACTGAAGAGGCGGATTCAGCTCGGGTTCTCCTCACCTGACAATTCGGCGGCAAGCTGGCCGGACCCGTTAATAGCAGGCTTGGGATGGAACCATTTTCGAAGGGACGGTTGAAGTGCAAAAGAGCGATGTTCATCTGCATGAGCCCACCAAGTTAGCGATGCATTCCCTACTAGGTAGTAGGCACCTGTCGACATCAGATCAACCAATTCTCTGAATGACAAAACAGATCTATGCTGACGATGCATGTCGAGCTTGAAGTGTTCGTCGATGGTTCCAATGACGATTTCCGGTCTTGTCACTTCAGCATTTCGGTCGATCCACAGAAGGCTAGCGATTCTCGATCAAGAGGCGACATGCAGACTTGCTTCTGGGAGGGCTGATGTTGAGCGGCAATTTGGTCTTAACAACGGCATTGCCAGATGTGATTAGTCGCGTCCTGGGTCTCGTTGTCAGACCCAGCCCCAGCAGTCGTGTGGGCATTCGCAAGCACTTTAGGTTCCATAATAATAAACGGAACTTCTTACCATGACTTCAGCTCGCATGTGTCCCAAAGCCTCGACAGGTCTGTCCACACGTATCGCCAACATCGAAAGCCCCATCTATCTCCCATTGGGCCAGAGATGAACTCCAAGTGTAATCTCACCTGATGCGAAATGCACTTGTTCGATGGTCCCGGCTGTCAAGGTGCTCTAGTGCTGTCGGGTCTTCCGTCGCATTATTCTCACCTTGTGAACTCTCCATGTATTGGAGACTCTCGCAGAGACTAGACAGTCGGGCCACAGGACGTTGAGGATGGCTGCGTCTGTGTATGTAGTCTTGAAGGCTTCGGAGGCTGCATCACTTCTCTTTATGTGTATTGGTTCGAAGCGGGTAACGGGAGGATGCTACTATTAGTAGATGTCAGTACTTGGCTCCGGAGCTTCAAGTGAACGGAAGGCCAACTCGCTGATAGTCGGCTAATAATGAGTTGATTACCTCCAGTGGATGTGATCGGGATCTCTTTCGTCTGGAGTTGTCGCATCTGACCTTTCAAGTTAAGGAAGAAGTCAGTGGGCGCTGTATTCTCATTGTGGCCTATTGCAAACATGGCCCACTAGGGAAAAGCAAACGGTAGTCCCGCATTAAAATACTCCTGGCTGTAGATCGGCAAGGGGAAGTGGGCAACATATGTGTGTAGAAGGGCACAATGATCGCGACATGATGCTGAGACATAAGCGGGTTAATTTCTGAGGGCGGTAGGGGTTCGTTCGTTCGGCCGAGTGGTCAGGTAACAACAACTGGAATGACCGTTGTGAGGTGTGACTAGAAGCTCCCGTAAGCACAGAGCGATCTTGCCACAACTGATGTGGGTGGTATCGATGAAGGAAGGGTATCGCGTAACAGAGGCATTGACAGATGCCATCATGCCCTCTGCGAGTACATACGAGTCATCAGGAGCACTGACAGGCGAACGCCGGCGCGGTAATCGTGTTCGGCGGCTGATGGCGCTTGGGCGGCTCCAAACAAGAGGTCGACGACGGGAAAGGGTGGAGTATCATCAACAAATGCCTGATTGGGAAATAAACCGTCAGCGGCTCTCGTAGTATGAATTGGGCATACGATACATTTTCGACATATATGGCACTCAAATGCCCGTAGGAGGACGGCAATCATCCAGAGTCCCTCGAACGCCAATCGACCTGCACCGCTCAGAAAGCATCTTCACCTGAAGTTTTTCGAACGACAGACCGTCCGTGTACGAGAAGTGAAGAATCCGAAAGCACAATTGCGTCAGCCAACTGGCAGCGAAGATGCATCTCATTCTCACCGGTGCCACAGGGCTCATTGGCTCGAGCGTCCTGGACGCCATGCTCAGAACGACTGAGATCACAAAAATCTCCATCCTAAGTCGCAGGCCAGTCGCCATGGCGGAAGACGCCAAAGATGCTAGGGTGAATGTCATCATTCACAAGGACTTTTCGAGATACAACTCAGAGGTACTCAGCAAGCTTCAGGGCGCGAGTGGTGCGGTCTGGGCTCTTGGTGTCAGCCAAACGAAAGTTTCCAAGGAGTAAGTTGACCGCGGTGCGCATTTGTATGAGGGAAGGAAAACCAACGTACCGCGAAAACAGGGAGTTCATCAAGATTACAAAAGACTACCCTCTTGCGGGGGCGGAGGCATTCTCGTCACTTGCCCCAAACAATGGTCCGTTTCGATTCGTGTTTGTGTCTGGCCAAGGCTCAACCCAGACCCCGGGTCGATTTGCCAGTCTCTACAGTAGAACCAAGGGTGAGGTTGAGGCTGCATTGTCTCAAATGCGCATCACATATCCCCGCCTCCTGGTCGACGCGGTGGGGCCCGGGTTCGTCGACAGCAAGAACCACGCGGCAATCCAGCCGTATCTCCCAGATCAGGGTTTGTTTGTTGACGGGAGTAAGATGTTGCTGAGAAAGCCGATCGAGGTCGGCGCCAAGTGGTTGCATTGTCCGAGCGAGCCAATGGGACGATTCTTGGTCGGTATGGCATTAGGAAAGTACGAAGCTCGGTTGCAAGCGGGGGATGTTCAGTTCGAGACGTTGAATGGCGGGTTGAGGATCATCAAGAATGTGGCGCTGAAACAGTTGGTTAGTCAAGAGGACTAGAGGGAGGATGACTGGGTATGCCGGGACTTGACTCACAAGTGGATATCGAGAGACTGTCGAGGGAAGGGAAGCAACTAAAGGCATTGCCGAACAAACGATGTGGAAGAAGATTGAAGGCATTGTCGAAGTTGAACGGTCGGTGGATGACGTTGCGAATATTGGATTGGCATTCCTGCTGGCTGGTGAGCAAGGATTCTCGAAGTTCAACAGACAAAAAGAACTGGCGGCAAATGCTGATGCTGTGAGCCATGTCGGTCATTCGCCCGTCTGAGCTCCGTATCGGGTATGCGATGGCTTGCAAGCGGTGGATATTGCACGGCAATGGTTGATCACGGCCGGCTTGATAGACCAGCGACGAGGGAGAATGATGGCTGAAGAGCATAAGTGCAATGAAGGAGGACTATTGAAGGGAGTTTAAAGAGACCAAACTACATTTGTGTCGCTGCGAGTTGTGCGTGGTCTGTGAAGCGAGTTTGGCGAGGCGCGTTTCAGAGCCACGCAGCAGGAAAGAGCAAGCAGAAGGAAGGAGCAAGCAGCACCTGCACATTGAAGAGACTGACCGCATCACAAGACCTCGTTGGGCAATGAAGGTGGAATTTGGAATGAAATGAATTGAAAAATACTTGCAACTGGATTCGCATCGTTCATCGACATACTGGAAGTGCAGCTAAATTGGGCGGCAGTCGCGAAAGATGCATCGTGAGATTCATTCACATCAAATCGTATCGCTGCTCGGGAATGAGCTGCAATTGGTAGGCGACGTGCCGGCTGGCCAATACACAATATGACAGCAAAATTCAGAAGACTGACTCATTGATTTCCTGTAGTACGATATCACTGATGGCGACCTCTTTGCACAGAAGCCGCGGGAGTGTGCACCATGGCAAGAAGATGCCCGACGAACGTCTCTTTCTCTGCATGCGTCTGCTACACAGTTCATCTCAGTCCGACTGCTCCACTGTTCCTTGAGCTCACGACGCTTGCCGCCAACTATTTAGTAGTAAGTAGTTCGACGAGCATCAGCGTGAAATTCGGCTTGTTGGTCCCTGTCGTGAGCGCGCGTCTCAGTGGTACTGATGCCGACACTCTGACGTCAAACTTGTGGTGTCGTCGCATCACCGCCCGTCCCTGGAAGATGGAGAGTCCTGCGAAGGAGAGATCTTACACAGCTTCTATGTGCACTGTCATGGACTCAGTACTTTCAATTACAAAGTTTCACTAAATAGTGAAGCATTGATCGAAGGCATACAACTGTCCCCCTAGCTGTTCAACTGATTCAGTTCTGGAGTTGAGTTGACGTGCAGTCGTTACCCATGGGAGGCTCCATACACTGTTGGGTGTCTACCTACATAATGCGCTGCAGCTTAGCGAGCTTCAGAAGCGTGCGGCTTGCAGTCCCCTGTAACGATGCGCTACAGAATTAAGGTTTAGGCCGAGATCTCCGCACCCCACGTCATCGATGATGCAAATGAGATCCTCAGTTTATAAACAGACGAGAATTTCCAGCTCGGCAATGTCCGTTTGGCTCCTCTTATCTGATCAACTATTGAAAATAGCAATATTTTCCTTATTGCCATCTTGAAAGTTCCAATTTAAATCGACAACAACACCATGTATATCAACAAGCTCACCGCCGCAGGGCTGGCTCTCGCCAGCGTCACAATGAGTACGACATCCCCTCGCTTAACCACCTACCAAACCTTGGCTGGTGCAGCCCCAACCCAACAAATCTCCTACAACCAAGAAATGAGCAGCCCATTGACTAACGCAAACCATCTCTACCTTAGCCGGCGACACCGTTGCCAAGGGCCGCGTCCTCGACTTTGCGGTCGAAAAGTGCCTCGACAGCGACGGCAACGTACGCTGCTCCAAGCCGTTCCCCGTCAAGGAAGGCGGCTGCTACAAGCTCGAGTGGTCGACCAAGGGCGCTCTTTCACACACGACGATTGAGGTCAAGGATGCGGGAAGCGGCGAGATGGTCTACTACAGAGATACGGATGGCAAGTGGAAGCCCAAGAAGAATGAGCTGGTATATCTGGACTTCAAGCCCAAAATTTGGGGGCAAGGGAACGAGACTGTTGATTACGAGGTGACGAGGTGCGATGATGATAACGAGTTGTGAGCAACTGCGATATGGCTGTAATCAGATTGAACACATCTTAGATATTCACATGGGTGTTTTTCGAAAACTATACGATGTATTATGCTACGAACGCTATTTGGGGACCGTCTGCCGCGACACCAACCAGTCATGGTCTTGCGGGAGGTTCTTTGTCAAAGAATACTTGCAATACCAGTGTCGATGCTGGGAAGCAGGATGTCAAGCGCCCAATTGAGCTTTTACAGAGATGTCACGCATGCGTATTGCACTATTGCAGCTTGAACGCTTCCAGTTACGTCCGCCCGCAAGGCTGAGATCCAAGACTTGCAATCCAATAAGTACTAGACTGCGCGAATCATATTGTGAGCGGATCGGACTCCCAGACTTGGCTGACTCATGTTGAGAGAGTCACCAATAAGATGGTGACTGGCAGTTGCTCAGGATCGCGATTGGTCACCCAAAGCACCAAAGTTGGCTGCACAAGTACATACTGCTAAGTCTCCCTCTCGGCCTAAATGTTAAGCATAACCGTTGGCGCCGCTGCGGTTCGGAACCAATAACGAAATCTCCTTCACAGGTGATGAGAACTGGTCCCGTTTTTCAGGGTCTGTATTAAAAGCTGTCTTCTAGGAAGGTCATACCTAGGTAGCTAGTATGCTGCTGTCCAAACACGGCCAGCATATTCTGGATCTCATTCAATACGGAGTACCTATGCGCCCTTATTCCATCTATTCCGCATCTCTAGAAGGCCCCAGTTTCTTCTCGAGGTGGACCAGCCGGCAAATAACCAAACGTGGCAATTCGAGGAACTCTTTCTCGTCGTTCTCTCTCAAGATTATGTCAGACGCCGCGATGTAGCTCATAGCAAATGCGTTCCACGCCTTCTTCTGGATCTGCATGCTCTGTAACGGCCTGGGGAAGAAAGGCTCGTTGAACCAGATTGCCCTAGAGGCGTTTGCCAGACCTTCATTATCCATGGTCATGGGCCGGACGCGGTGGAAGTCGAGGAGCCACAGCTTGGTGGTGCGCCGAGTAGCCTCCTGACGAGCCGCCCATGAGCGTCCTCCATTTGTCGAAGATGCTGTGCCTGGACTTCCGGTACTATGACTGGACGAAACAGGAATCTCATCCCGGCTTGTCATCTCACAAGAGCCGCCCAGGACGAACTTGACGCCGCGACCATCCACCTTGGCACCCCAATGCAGGAGAGCCATAGAAACGGCCACCTTTCGGGCCATGACCTCGACATCCATATTGATCTTGAGCATCTGGCGGAGATTCATGGACCGACACTTCTCCAGAAGAAACAATGTCGTCTGGCAACCACATCCTTTTCGGCCAAGGTAAAGGCGCGCCACACAGTCGGCGTTGCTGCTGCTTGCCTCGGCCAAGGCCTTGAATGTTGGTTCCCCCAACTTTGACACCAGGGCCCGGCGAATAGGGTCTGGAAGCAGCCGGATCTGCTCTGCCACAAGAGCGTTCTCCGAGGCACGGGACCTGGGGCCAGCCTTCATTGCCAGCTGCTGCCACCCGTCAAGATTGCTCGAGATGTCTTCCAGATCAAGGAAGAGGCTTTCGGGTACATTTACTGCAGTAAAGCCCCATTCTTGGAACTGCCCCCAGATGTTGTTGTGCAAATCTTGATGATAATCCAAGTCTCCAATACGCCGGCGTTGTGAAGTCGGGGATGTAGGGGGCACCACCTCGGTGGAATCGGTGTCACTTGGTATCGAGGACAAGGTGAATACCGAGGTCAAATCAGTTGATAAGTTTGCCAGGCGAATAATCGACCCTTCGTTTACGGGAGCAGTGTCGGGAGGAGATTCGGTCACTCTCTCGAGGAACGCAGCAATCTGAAGCCATTCTGGGAAATATGGCGATATCATCGGCAGATGGTGAGTTCCTGGGGCACAAAGAGCCTGAAGACGATTTGAACAGGCCCGGTCTTTCATTCTGGCACTTTGTGTCGCGGGGCGGCCTGAATATAGGGACCCAGGCGAATCAAGGCAATAAAGAATAGACAAGTGGGATCTAGGTTAGAGAAGAGTAAAGCCAAAGGAATAGACACCTCTGGAAGTCATGGAATTGGGGGGATTGGCAACATAAAGATGGTGGTTCCGAGGGGACAAAGTGCGAGGATATCGAACTCGGACGAGATGAGGACAGGGCTACTTTATATGGCGAAGAGAACTCAACGCTGATGAAACTCTCTCAAGCTACCATAGGCCAGCAACGAAATAACAACTTTGTCCGAGCTACAACATACCTCGTTTAAACTAGCTCACAGTCCCTTGGTGCTGTTCTGGGATTTGTTCCACGTGGCGGAGGCGCCATCTGTTAAGGTTGAGAGCTTACTCGTTACTTTACACCCAAGGTACGGATAGCAGTGGATTAATGAAGTACTCACATCGTAAAGATCAGGTGCCTTCTCTGATCAGAGAAGTCACCAGAAGCGTGGCAGGATGCGCGCCTACAGAGTTGACAGAAATAATCGCGTAGTGCAAGGTTAAGGGCAAAGTACATACCTGATTCATATGAGTGCCACATGGGCGAGGGAAGTAAATTTAACACACCTGCAAGATCTGTATTCCGGGGCTCGGGTTGCAGAGACCAACAAATGACATTAGCAAGCAGGTAGTCAAACCCATGGAAAGCGACTGTACTTGCCTAAGCGCATCCAGTGTCAAACGGGATAGGGTTGCCGATACCTAGAGAGTGATAGCATTTTCGTAGGAGTCAATGGAGGCGATGGATTGGAGAAACATACCTGATGGGTGAAGTAGCATCTGATATATCTCGGTTATCGGGTCCTAGATAGGTACATAGCAGAAAGCACAAAGAGGCCCAGAAGAGGAGAGTAAACATACCTGGTCAATGTGGGCTGGACCGCAGACCGTTATCACGACCAACCTACAAACGTGACAGCAAGGCACACACATACCAAAGTGCACGGATTGGGGTTTCACATACCTTTTCAAATCCAGTTTTCTTCGTGGCCAATGGTCGAGATCTGTAAGGTTGACAGCATGGAGCAGGGCAAAGACATGAAATGAGGAGGACACATACCTGCCGATTTTCAATATTGGATGAGACCCGGTTCATTGGCCCTATGTAGACGACAGCTCAAAGCTCATAACATCCAGTTGGAGAAGAGAATGGAACATACCTGCTGGGTGACAGTATAGACTGCGGCCTGATTGCTGAAGCCTATGAAGACGACAGTGACGAGTTCACAACAGAGCCGGGGAAAGAGGAGAGCACATACCTGCTGAGTCTCCGTGGCATCCGAGGTCGGTTCGCCAAAGCGTGAGAGATGGGGAGTCAGCAAAGGCAAAATAAAATCTGGAGGAAAGGAATGTACATACCGTTTCTAGTGCTCCTCATGATCAGGTTGTCTGAATGGCCAGGCCGAGGGGGAAAGGCCCCCCTTATATAGATGCACAATCTGCAGGGGCGGAGACTTGACAGCTCAACTTTCCCGCAGACCATCGCAGCCTTGGACTCGGATACTTGTGTGTGATGGGGTGCGGTGATAGCTTGAAATTTGTTTCCGGGAACCAACATGAGCGGCAACATTTGTGTTGCTGGAGATCGTGAGAACATAGTCTTGGGCATCCTATGTCGGAAAGCGATGTTGAGCGTCCGCAGGAAGTATGCGTTTCGATGACGAGGGAGAGATCAGAGTTCTGCAGAAGTCACCGGGTGGCACCACGCACGATTTGCCTCGAAGTCTTGCAGGTGACGCCGAGTCGAGAGTATCCTGGGTATAAGCCGCCAAGGTAAGTCGCCGGTAGGTCTCCGGAATCGATTGTCGCGAAAGGGTCTGAAAAAACCACTTCAGCTGTCAGTATTCTCTCTTCACATTGCAACAGGGACATGCAGTAACGAAGGGGCCGAAGCATACACAACAGAACAGTTGCTGCTGTCCAAAGCCACGGACTGGGTTGGAAATCTCGAGAACCGCAGCGAAAGCCCACGGAGACTTCGTGATCAAACTCACCTATTGCGTGGCTAGTCAAGAGAACGTCGCCACTGTACGGCTACCCAACAGTTGGGAAGCACGTTGGGGTCGTTCTTTCACCGCCAAATGAAGCATGACTGCTCGAATATCGCCGTGGTGTGGATTTGTTTCCGTAGAATGTCCGCGTAAAACGATGTCTCCGCAATGTCTCGCAGGTGATGGACGGAGCTGTTCGGTCTTGAGCAAAGCTCCGCATGTTGACTTCCACAGGGAAATTGATGATGGAAAATTGGCAACAGAACATTTGGCAAAGAAGTGTCAGAGAATCAAGTCTTGTGCGGGAGAATCAAATCGATATGAGGGTGCAGGCATCGTGAGAGGAAGGAGTTCCTTCTCGATGTGGTCTGCAACAAATGGGCACCTTGATGGCCTCTATCATTGACATCACAGACTCCATGATAGGGCATCCCCTCCAGTCACTTCCTTCCGTTGCTGCCAGGTTCCTTATCAGATGATTCATCCTTGATCACATCCCATATTGAAGGCAGGCGGGAGTTCCAAAATTCCTCAAACATACCTCAGTAAGTACCTAGGTAGGTAGCTACCAGCAAACATCTAGCTCTTCTCAGCGACTTCAACAATTCTTCCTCACTCTATAGCATTATTCTCGATGTACACTGGAATATTCCACGGGGGCGAAACCTTGTGTAGACCGAGGATGGGGAGTTTGAATGCCGGAAATTGGACAAAAGATACCAGCCTCCTGCCCTACCTACTTAGGTACCTACCCTAGGAAAGGGGCCAATCACAGAGAAAATTCTTCGAAGGCAACTGACATTGTTGAGTGCATCTTCCGATGCTGCGATCTTTTAGACAATGGATAGAGAGCTCTGGTGCAGATGCGCAGTTCAACTGCCATCGTCAGCTGGAGTCGCGACCTCCTCGGATTCCATTTGGCATCGGTGTCCACACGACCCAGCCTAAAATCACCACAACGACATGGTAACGCCACCCCAAAGATGAAACACTGAGGGAGAGAAAGCAAAGGAATGCAACACAGGCGATTCAGTCACTTCATCTCCTTCTCGTCCACCGATCACTGCTCAGCTGGCACAGAACCAACCATGATGAGCCAACAATGCATTAATAGCCACCATCCTCTCACTCAGATCTGAGTGATACTCTTAACCAGATCGAGCCGCCCTGAACGCGGGTCCATGCATGAAACAACCCTCCTATGACACCTGGCATGTGTACATGATGATGGCTCGTCGTAACATGAGCCATCCCTATGCCCCATTATATGCACATTGCTCATCATGCGGGTTATAGCAGCTTCCTACTTCGTCTCATGATGGACATGTTCTCGTTTGGCATCATGTTCGGGACACTGGTATTCTGAACCACCTGCCGACGCTTCTCTTCAGCCTCGGATTCGTCTTCCCGAACTCATGGGGAGATACAAGACATTTGTCCAACAGTGTTGCCGCCCTACACCGGCCGGTCATTGTAAACGTCGGGACGATCTACAAGATAATTGTCACCGTTACCGCGATGCAATGCAAGCTAACGAGCCCCATCCACTCCCTTGGGACCCCAGCACGGTCCAACTACAGGTTAATCCCACCAGCCTCGATCAAGGGGCCAGAACCGGGATCGCCGCCACCCACTCGTGCATCGCAGCCTGCTGTTAGTGACACAGGGGTTGCTCTTGTGTAACCTGAGCGTTGGGGGCGGCGGGGTTACCCTGCTGGCTGCATGATCGCCTCCAGGTCCAAGCTCCCGTTGACCCTCATGGCGAGTCTTACAAGCGACCAACGACATTGAAAGGACACAGACATGCACTTCAACTGAACCATGGTCCTGGATTCGGACGAAAGTGGGTTCGTAGGATAAGGGTGATCTGTGCTGACAGTAAAACCTGGTCCTCAAGGTACGGTATGTAGATCGATACGGCAAGGGTCCAGCCACTGATCAAACGCGAAATTGCCTGAAGTTTCCAAGCGTGTACATGGTGCCTGGCAAAAATGCAGAAGCATCAGGTTGATGGATACAGAACTTGCCCAAGTGATTGTAGTATTTCCCCTTTGCGCCAACAAAAAACAGCAAAACACCAAGCTGGATACTCAGATTCTCCCCCTCCAGGCCGTCCAAACAGGACTGATGCAAAGCAAGCCAGGCAAACGACTCCAAGCGAACCATTCCAAACAGAAACATATCACGCAAAATCGCTTCACAGGAGCATTCACTTTTGAGAGAGAAAAAAAAAAAAAAAAAAAAAAAAAAAAAACCAAAGCCAAACACAAAGTAACTGGGATCAAACGCCAATGGGAGGCGAATCTGCCAGAATGTGAACTTTCCGAGTGGCTCGAACCACTTCAGGATTTGCGCCGAGGTAGCGCTCCGATTTGAAACTTAATTCCAGATGCGTCAGTCGGTTGCAACCGAGACTGTAGGAGGCTGGTGGCTTGGGCGACTCACCTCCAATTGAGATTGGCCTTGACAACACATTTGATGCCCTCAATGTACTTTCGGACCTCAACATCAGCCTCCCTGCCCCAGCTCGGAAGGCTTGCCTCGGCTTTGTCCCATCGCTCATAGCGGCGCTCGAGGAGCCTGCCGACTGTGTTGAATGCCTTTTGTGCCGACATGCCGTTCCGTCGACAGACTGTGACCATGTTGTGCGGTACGCCCTCTGCCTGCGCGGGTTCAGTATGTCATGAGTCTGAAGCCGAGGTAACAAAAGAACCAAGAAGAAGAAAAAATCCCACCTGTTCCTTGCGATAGGAGAGAATATCGTTTGATCTGTGGCCGTGTTAGACCACAACGCTACTTGGTGAAGGGATAACAATGTGAGCTCACATGGCCACCATATCCTGGCCAAGATTCTCCAGCTCCTGGATAATGGGATGCTCAAACACCTCATCCGGCACTCGGAGGCGATGTGCGTATTCAACAAGGTAGTATAGAGGCCTGCATCCAGCAGACTCTCGGCGAATCATGGCAATTTCCTCCAGTGTCGGGATCTTTCCAGAGAATTGATGATCGATTTGGGTGAGAGCGCCTCGGCAGTATCCCTGCATGGCAAGGGCAAATCTTCTCTGCACGCCTTTTGGTGTTCTCTGCAACGCGAAGCGTCAGCAAAACGCAAGACGGGCAAGAGGGATGAGATTGGGGGGTCAACAGACTAGAGCCATTCTCTCAACGACCGTGTCGTGAAACTGCACGATGCGAAGCCGGTCTTGAGAGTTCAAATTCGCCGTATTGCCCAACATGGGCATCATGAGGCTCTCCATGACGCGTTGAGATTCTTCCGGCTCGTTGCGAAGATGCCCATTATCAAACACTATGAGGGAGTGAGTATCACGCTGCAGTGCATCGAAGTTGAAGCTTAGGGGGGAGTTGAACCCACTGTCATCGTATGGAAATACCTATATCGCGAAGTTGGAATGACCTTCGATTAACACAGCACAATACAATGGTTAGTCATGGCTTATGCTTACCCAGTTCCCCCAATCGCAGATGGTACGAAATCTCGCTCGAGAGGCAAAGGGAGCGGCAATGGCACAAAAGTATGAAAAGTCGCATTTGTTCACTCTCTTCCTCATGCTCGGCTCGAAAGAGCAGAACCTTGCAATAACATCACGTCAACACATGGCGTCATGTAGGATGTTGAAAGCAGAGGAAAGCCAATCACCTCGCAAGCCCTTCTTCAGACTCCAACTTAACCGATTGGTAGTGAGGATTGATGCGAGGCGGCTGCTTGAGGAACGTCTGGAACATGTCAGGAAGGAGCACCGTGATCTGCTCCGGTTCCATTCTGTCAATGGAAGGCATGGTGATGTTGTTGCCGTTGGCGTAAGCGTTGGATCAGAGGAGATGTGCTTCTGCAACTGATGGCTATGGGAAGAGAGACAGGGCATGAGCATGGTGAAGCTGCCTATTCCTAACGTTATATACGATTTGGAATACATAGGTATGCTGCGTTCGGGCTATAGTCCTTCGATATATAGTCGTATATGCCAACGCATGCATTGTGTCCGTCTAGATGCGTCCGAGCGCTACGCCGGCGTCTGTATCACAGATGGTTGAGAGACAGGGGAACAGTGGCAAGCTAGGGAAGAAAGGGAAGCCCGATTTCCTCATTCGAGTACCGACTCGGTACGGATGCGATCCTCTGAGTAAGCGCTGCATAAAAAGCGGGTTGAAAGGGAGCATTGCGATAAGCTCAGGCGTCCGTGGGTTGTCCGGGAAGTCGACCATGCCGGCATGAAGGTTTGAAGTTGGCGGTTGGATCGAGCAATGTTACCATCATAATGGCGCTTTGGCCTCTTTTGAGGACGTGCATCCGGAGGAGCTCCCTCGGCTAACTTGGCGGGAGGACCCTGCTCCATCAACTTGCAGATCGATGCAGAAGCCAAGGTATGTGACATGGGCGACGTACATACGGCCTTCGGCAAAAGAAGTAATAAATCGACGCGGGGTTTTCTTTGCCGCCCTTGTGATGATCGTAGGAGTGATGGAGCTGCAGAGTACTTCCACTTTGGTAGTCACTGAGAGCCATGTGAACAAGCCGTATGTCACTCACTTACCCGGTGTCTCAGTTGACTGACTGGCTGAAAGCGTTGTCGTGGGTTTGTCGCGGCTGTTAGCCATGCCTACTTGTCCAAGATGTGAAGACGCTGATTCGGCTCAGGCGGCGACAGAATCTCAGGTAGGAGAAGGGCGCGCCGGCACGGAACACTGTCAGTTGACGTCTGTTGGCCAGACCTGCCGGTTCGGGCAGTGGGAGGAGCAGGGGGATCAGATCGGACGGCGCTAAAATCAAGAGATGGGATGGGAATCCTCCGTAGGACCAGATGATGGCCGTCCGTGGTGGTTTCGGACTGAAGCCCGAAGGATCGGATGCTGCATTGACGAGAGAATTAGCCAAATGCGGTGACTGTACGTAGACGACGGTGGTTCAAGCCAGACGATGTTGGCGTTGGTGGTGCCAACATAAAGGGCAGGGGGACTGGAACTGACGGTGGGCAGGGAGAATTGGATACCGAAGAGGGGATGAACGTCCTCGTGCCGTTTCTATGGCTCGCTGCTGAGACCTGCATCGCTGGCGATGAGCAGACAGAAAGACTGGTGCTCGCCGACATCACCGGTGATGTTAGTCGGGTTGCGAGAGGCACGAGCCGACATCTACCTCCTATTGATTCGGGGGCAGGGCGGGCCAATGGAACGTCTGTTGGCTGTGTGGGGAGAGCGTATAAGCGTGTGTGGCCGCAAACGAGCACGCATACCTCCAGTTGCATCGAGATGGTAAGAGGCTGTATAAAGTGAGGGTGTTGTCGACGCGGCGAGAGGGAAATTCGATGAGCGACGAGACTGTCGTTCGATTTTTCAGCGTACATCATTGCATTATCTGAGCGGCACAAGCGAGACCTTGCTTGTTGGCATCACGTCTGCTCCTACTCTGCAACGCAGTGTCGAATCAGCATCACGATGGCTTTCCATAGAGTGGGAAACTACACATTCCAGTGGACAGACCTTCACTTACCTCGAGAGAAGACGGACCCCCTGCGCCACGAGTACGACACACTGGGGCACAATGCGGTCAAGAGGCTGCAGCAAATTGCGCGGCAAAGAAAGGGAGAGGCATCCGTCAAGCCCACCCTCTGTCCCGGCGGCTTCGACATGTATGCCGTTCTCCGCGATTACCATGACCAAGACGACGTCTTGAACCGGCTGTGGAACGAGGTTCATACAGTTCCTGACTGGGTGGACTGGGCGCAGATTGAACGTGGGCAAAAGTTCTTTTACCGCTACGCTCCCGCCAACCTGATGGGTTTCATGCTGCAGGCATTCGTGGGCGAGAACTCTTCGGTACCTGGCGTCGTCGAAGTCTTGGTGCGAACAGGCGGGTTCTCGACGAAGGTACTGCTGCGTCGACTACTCGAGACCTTCCAGCATCTTCTTCAGGTGACGGCCAACTTAGAGTCAATTCAACCGGGGGGCCAAGGCCACACAACGACGGTTCGAGTGCGGCTGCTCCATGCTGCTGTGAGAGAGCGAATCCTGCGTCTGGTCAAGAGTCGACCTGACTACTTTGACGTGGCCAAGTTCGGAGTGCCTGTCAATGTTCTGGACTCGATCCATTCCATTTGTGTGTACTCTTGTGGCCACATGTGGCTCCAACTTCCGCAGATGGGGGTGTTTCCCACTGAGCAGGAAAAGACCGACTACATCGCGCTGTTTCGCTATGTTGGATATCTGCTAGCCACTCCTCACGAATACTTCTCGAGCGTGGCGCAGGCCAAGGCCACGATGGAGAGCATGCTGCTGCACGAGCTGCAAGTCACCGAGACGTCGCGGATCGTGGGCCACAATATGATCGAGTGCATCAAGGACCGGGCTCCATTACGCGTGTCGGTAGGCTTCATAGAGGCTGGGAGTCGAATCCTCAACGGCGATGAGCTTTGTGATTCCTTGGGCTTGGGGAAGCCTGGATTTCTGGCATACGGTTGCTGGAGAGGCCATTGCTGGTTCGTTCAGAGTCTAGCTCTTGTGCAAAGATGGGTTCCAGGGGCCGACGAGGCGGTGGTGCGATACTTTAGAAACACGCTGTATGAGACGCTTGTCAATAGCAAGAGGGAACTCAGGGGAAGATCGGAGATGGACTTTAGGCACGTCCCGCAGATGGGCAAGCGGATTGGCAAAGAGGGCAGCGAACTGCCGAAATTCACCGGCTCACTTGTAGATCGACCGCTGGAGATGTTTTACCTGGCGGTGTTTGGATTGGGATGCGTACTTTGGCTGGGAGTCGTAGGTGCGATACTGCGGATGCATTTGTTGATGCTGTCGTGAACTCGAGGAGTCTTGGTAGGTAAGGTACTACTGTAGGTAGGTTGTCGCTGTCTGAATGGAAAGAGTGTACAGTAGGTAGTTGGTGTTTCAGATGGAAAGTATGGTCGCACGTGATGCAGTCACGAGTCACAGTTCAAGCAATCTTATCGATACCCAGAAATCGTCATCAGCGTTACTTAGAGAATCATCCTTCATCAACGTTCAGCTAGGTACGCATTGGAGAGAGATTCGCTCTGTGTGCTTGGCTCAATCTCATCAAGTTCAATCTTGCCTCTAGGTTATGTCCCTGTTGAAGCCATCACCGCTGCAGGACAGTAAGGCGAGGCAGAATACGACGTCATGCTGCAAACAACCAGGGCTTGCTATCCGCGTATGTGCTGAGTCAGCATCCTTGACCACCTCCACTGATGTCCCCGAGCCTGAACGAGAGATGAAGAGCTGAAACGCGAGTCGGCGAACTGCTTCTTGTTGGTAAATTGAGTTCAATTTGCAGCCGCGACCAAGAAACAAACAACCTTGTACTGTGATTGCCCGCCGCGGCTACACGCGCCACTAGAAGTGTTGTTTTTCAGCCCTGTTTGCGCCACTGGAGATTGTAGTTGCCTTATTCCCGCCTTGTCTGAGAGGGGAGAGGGTGGGATGAGTTTCTCCCACTTGACACTACGCTCCTTTCGAGCTAGTCGCCAAGGCTCACTAGGCTCGGACCGGACTAGCCACGGCCTGAACGGTCCAGTGGCTTGGCAGCTTGCGACCTAATAATAATTCCAGCCGTTGGTGTGCCGCTAGCGAACCGCATTAAAATCTGACAGCGCCATTGCCGATCCACGGGAGCACGTTGTTGCGCGCCGAAGAGTAAGCGAGACCCTCGGGATACGGCACCTTGGGCGTCGCTTGGGGGCGAATACGGGGTAGCGAGGAGGTCAGTGTACAAGTACACTTCTTCCCAAGCCCGCCGCTGGCTGACATTGTCTAGCCGAGTCAAGTGGGATAAAAAAGAACAAAAAAAAAAGGCGAAGTTGCCAAGCGCAGAAGGAGGGAAAAATCGGCAGAACAAGCAGAGAGAAAGTGGTGAGGCGGGACGGGTGTGGCGGGATGAGAAGGATTCCAACCATCTGAAGTGCTAGCGCAACAGAGCCTCATGAGCTTTGACTGCAGACTGAAAAGAACGCAAGAGAAGCGTGGAAAGAATAGGGGCAACTATCCACGAACTACATGTATCGAGCATGTTATCGCCCAGTGATCTTGATGCTTGATTGCTGTGACAAGGCAGTCAAAATGGCATGTTACTTGTATGTATGTAGGTAGGTAGGTACTTCTGGGCTTCTTTGAATGTCCGTTTAGTAAGCAATGCGTTAGCAATGGTTTAAAAAAGACGACAGGGAAAAGAAGCCGGCCGGCCTGATGAATGTCGTTTGTTTCCAGGTCGGCGATCCAGGGGTGTTTTGGGCTGGACGAACGAACCATGGCTTACAGACGACGATGACCTCGTAATTTGTTAGCCTAATAGGGCTCAGTCCACCCAGCCCCTGCCTCTGCAAGCACAGGGGATATCACAGCCTAGCTGGTGGATACAAATTACATTTGATCACGTTGTGATTAATGGGTTCCGGAGCAAAAGCCAGGATATTCACCAAGGCGGGATGCCGGGATGGACAGTCATACTAGTAGTCATACTAGGCGCGAGAGGAACTGCGAAGCCATAGAGAGGAGAGTCAACGAGACTCCCGTGACAGTTCCTTCACTGACAGATACAAAGAGATGCAGAGCGGAGATCACAACGAGGTTGTGATACCCCAGAACCCAGCAGAACGGACGATATATTAATTCCAGAAGACACCATCCATGCGGACCATTCATGTCTCTATTCCTCACACACACACACACAGGGCTGACTGGTTCCAACAGGCCTGCCAGCAGGGCTCCAAGAGGCAAAACACGCCTGATCCTTTGGGGTATAAGATTCAGCGGCCCCAGTCTGTATTAATAGATGCCGCCGCTCTGAATGGCTGCCGGCTTAGCCTGATGCCCAGTTTGTCGTAGTCAGCGCATTTTCTTCCACCATCAATTATCCCGGTTGTGAGAACCCGCCTCCACCTCTGGCTTGTTTATCTTGGAATTGTTTCCTCTTTGCTCTTTGCAGCCCGATGCTTGCTTGCTGATGCTGATGCTGCCCCGTTTTAGAGTGGCACCGCTCTCGTCCGGGGAATCTGACAGGCATTTTTTTCTCTCTCTCTTCTCTCGGGTCTCTGCGTGTCTCTCCTCCCTCTGGCTGACTGACTGACCCGCCCACTCTCTGCTCTTCTTCTCTTCCTCTTCCTCTTGTCTCGAACTCTTCTCCTCTTTTTAATTCTCCATTTCCTTGGTTCCTCTTCTTTCTTCTTGCTGTTCTTTCGTTTTTCCTTTTGTCTGTTGCTCGAGTCATTTGGGCGGTGAACGGGCATCGCTGAGCTAAGCTGCCACCTCTGCTTTTGCTCCAGCTCTAGTGCCAGCTTCTGCTTCTGCTTCTGGTGTCGCCATCTCGTCCTCTTCTATCAACCTAATTCCGCCAATTCTCCAGAGCCATGACAAGGTCGTGGAGCGTCGCCCTGCTGGCGGCCAGCAGCCTGATCGGCACCGCCAGCAGCACGTCCATGTTCGCCTTCTACACAGGGTCGCAGAAGGGCGTCCAGATCGGCATGCAGGACCCCAATACGGGCGAAATCTGGGTCAACAACTGCAACGCCAACATCAATGGCGCACCATTGTTTCCGACATCGCCTCACATTGTGCTGCCAACAAACCACAAGCCCAAGAAGGGGGGCAGCATCGCGGCCACGGGCTGGTGGGACTCACAGCATGTCATCGTGAGTTACCTATCATGGCCCTGAGGGCATGGGCAGCTTGAGCATCGGCTAACCACACGCAGGCCTCCGTGTTCTGGCACTCAGAAGACGGCGACATCGTCAACGGCTACTACCAGTGCGATGGCGAGTCCGGCAACTTTGTCTTGCAGGGCGAGTACGTAATCTCTCAGACGGCCAACATCCCGTCCTCTGACATCCACCCCAACACGGGTCTGGCTGTCGAGCTGCTGGGAAGCACCGAGGGCTATCGCGTGTTTTACCACGACAAGGACAGCCAGGTGCACTCTCTGTCTTACACCAACAAGATCAACTGGAACTACTATGGCACCGTGTCCCAGGATCCCTCCTTCGGCATGGCCCTGGCATCTGCCCATTCGTCTGACAACAACATCACCGTCGTCTTCCCGAAGAGCACCAAGGATATTGAGGTGTCTCGCCTGAACAAGGACGGAACCTATCATATCTGTAAGTCGTCTTCTTTGTCTTTTCTCTCTTGTCCGAAATGTTTCCGACGTTTCATTGGTTCAGCAAGAATGTTTCAATGTTTCAACGCTTCACGAACCCCCATTTACCTACCTAATCCAGAGCTGACACAAACCCCCCCCTGCAGCCACGTTTCCCGAGACAATCCAGAACATCCCCACAAACAACACAGCGCCCTCCAAGATCGACATCAACCCAAAGGTGCCTGCCAAGTTCACTCTCCCCGCCTGGAACGGCAAGCCAGGCGGCTTGGGCGTCGCCATCGACAACGACTACACCCGCAGTGTCTTCTGGATTGGCACCGACAAGAAGCTGCATGAGGCTGCCAACATCAACTTTGAGTGGCAGATGATGCCCAACCAGTCCACGCAAGCCTGGCCCCTGGCTGACGAAGCCAACGCCGACTTGGCCGTTACCTACAACTTCGACTCGAGCGAGGCGTGGGTATACTATGTGTCCAACAACACCGTCATTCAGGCCTACCGCGGCTCCAACGGTACCTGGAGCAAGGCCTCCGTGGTGCCAACCTCGACCACCGTCCCCGGCAGCGGCGATGGCGGTTCCGACTCCGGCCCCGACTCGGGAGACGGCGACGGCGACAGCAGCCCCAGCACCGGACTCTCGCCGGGAGCCAAGGCCGGCATCGGCATCGGCGTCAGCGTGGGAGCCATCGGCGTTGGACTGCTCGGCCTGTTCTTCTTCCTCCGCCGACGACGCCAACGTGCCGCTGCCGCCGCCGCCGAGGCGGACAAGGAGCAGCCCACCACCAACATGGGTCAATACCAAGCCCCCAGCGAGCAGGCTCTGTACATGGCTGACGGGTCGTTAGCACCGGCATACACGCCGCAAACGCCGTACGACGCCCACGACCCTTCCAAGAAGGGCACGCCCGCCATGACCATGAGCAGCATGCACAGCAGCAACGTGGTGTCGCCGCTCGTCGAGATGGAGCAGCCGCCCACGATTCACGAGCTGCCTCCTACAAACTTTACTTATGAGCTCCCTGCCGATAACGTGGAGCGCAGGTGACTCCTGGGGAACGGCGCGGATGGCCAACAGTAGAAATGGGGTTCTCTTATGTCTTATGTTTCTTGGTTTCAATGTCATTTTATCATATACCTTATGTCTCCTTTGGGTTACCAAGCATCTTTTAGAGCAAAACGAGTCTTGAATAAGCATTAGCGATTTGTTTGTTGAGAAAACCACGCATCTATTCATAATTATATCTACACTTCTTTTCTCTGCTCTAATCACTGTATGACTGGGGTGCCCCTTCGCATGTATGTACATACATGCTTGGTTTAGTGCTTATTTCACTGCCGCGGCAAAGGCAGCGGCTTTTTGGCCCCCGAGTTCCAGGTAGAATGAAGTGTCAGCGAAGGTGTTGTCGTAGCCGACGAACTTTTCGTTGGTGGGGAGTTGATTCGTCTTTAGGCAAGGCAGACTTTGGGTTCCTACACAAGTAAGAGAACGTTAGAATTGGTCAGCTGTAGTTGCAAGTGGATGATGAGACAAACCTTCGTTGATCTCGTCAAACATGGCGTTGAAGGCAAACAACGGCTTGACTGGCAGGGACGTGATGGCGTCGGCCTGCATCGAGTAAAAAGAGCCATTGTATCGCGGGAAGTAGTCAAAGTTGGCCGGCGTTGTGACGCCGTTGAGGTGGTAGGCAGAGGTGCCGGGCCAGATTAGGGGAGCATGGTCGATGCCGAGGGACTGGAGGGTTCTTTTTGTCGCGTTAGTTGACAAGTTTCGACACCCCGAACTGATCAGAACTGCCAGTTCCAGAAAGTAAAGATAGCACTCACTGAGAGTCGGGTATCTGCGTCGTCGTGTGGTAACCGTTCTTATACCCTCCCTCGCTATAACTGCCCACCGTCCACGGACTAATCAGATTGGCCGCCTTGTACGCCGACGCAAACCCCGTATTGGCCCTGACTTCCGCCCCAAAGGTTGACGGCACGCCGTATCCAACGTACGCCCCAGCGCCCTTGAGCTGCGTGGCAATGTTGGCGCCGTCCGTGACGTTGATGTGGACCGTCGGGAAGCCGACGCCAAAGACCATGACGGCGGGCTTGCCGTTGTGATGGAGGTAGGCGGGCGAGGAGGTGTAGGGCTTCACCTTGGTGTTGTAGTCGGCCAGGATCTGGGCGGCGACGCTGCCGGTGGCCGAGTTGCCGCCCGAGGCGTCGTATTCCACCATGAAGCCTCGGCCGTACTTGACGGCGGCGGCTTCGACTTGATTGAGGATCTGTTGATGTTAGCTGGGAGTCCCATCTGGACGGTTGAGTCCGCTTTGCTTGTGTATATACTCGGCTCAATGCGGATGGGAACTGTGCGATTGACTCACCGTGATGAAGGAGGCATCGTCCAAGTGACTCAAGAATCGCTGCACAATGACTCCGTCAAGTCCATACTGCTGCATCCACTTGAAATGCAAATCGACAACTCCCTCGCAGGTATTGTCATACAGCTGCACCGGCTGCCCATTGGGTGCCGTCAGGGTGGAAGCGAAGAGGCAGTTTGCCGGATACTGGCTGACATCGGGCACAAACTCGAATTCGACTATTGACTGTTAGAGACTGTCTTCTCCTCTTCAGTTGGTGACCAGACATACCATTTCCAGGACCGGGAGTTCCGCCGTTTGGAGACCAGTGGTTGTTGACGCCCGCCGCTGGCTTGCGGAACCAGCCCTGGTAGCCGTACAGCCATTTCCCCTTTAGTGTTGAAGTATCAACCGCCGCCGCTCTGGCATGTTCTTCATGAGCCCTCGCGTGGTTGTCGTGGATGTGTGCTGTTACGGTGGCTACAGCAGCCAGCAGCAGTGAGGGCAAAGAAGCACGCATCGTGATGGCTCTTTCTACGCAGAGGAAGAGAAATGCACTCCTCGATCTTAGTTACAGCCAGGAATCAGCGGTTTCAGCTTCGGCATTGAGTCTGAGCGCCGGTCTTATATATATTTACGTTCCTTTGACCATTCAACTGCCTCGACTCTAACACGTCCGTGGACACGGAGTCTATCAATATAGTAATCCAGAGATTAAAACTACCGGTGAGCCACCCGACTTGTTTCGACGCCGTCGTCAGCATGGCGCGGCATCTGCATTGCAAGGGAAAAAAGGCCCGATGAAACCTCGCGGATATCAACCCCTGTCAACAGCAAGAAAACAGCGACTTCAACAAAACACTGAAGACGAACAATGGCTGGACACGTCCTCGGTAGATGTCGGCAGTGCTGTCTGGATTGCATAGAGTAGGTACGTGTAATTATGGGGTTGAATGCTACGCTGATGGTAGGTGGGCACAAGTGATCAGATGCGTGTAACATTGCTTTTGGTGTATTAGTTGTTGTCGGATGATCTGTGCCGGGCGGATGTTGTCTGCGCTTTTCCGTCGGATGAGCGAGTATAAGATATATAGGCTATCTATTGCTTACCTGGTAGGCTATCTATTGCTTACCTGGTAGGCTATCTATTGCTTACCTGGTAGGCTATCTATTCAGGTTGCTTCTCACGCCATGCGCCCGGTGAAGGATTTGAGAGTAACAACATGAGAATCCTCAAGTATCTAAAGACTCAAGAACTCTTCAATTCAATACTTCTACCAATCGAGCCTGAATTCAACGTAAAAGCCGCTTCCGCTTGAGGCAAGTTTCGCTTCGGCGGCGACTTGTGCCCAGTCAACCTCCTCAAGTCACGCTTTTCCGCTTGACAGTAGCGGTCAGAAAACTAAACACTTTCTGATGAGAAGATCATATATAGGTTTCCATTCGAGGTGGAGAAAGATTGTGTCCCCCCAATGCTCACTGCGGCTTACGAGTATGGTCATGAAATAGGAAGCTGCCCAGAAGGATAACTACTTGTCGTTGATCAGACCATATCATAGAACGACGGACTATCGCTAGAGATCGTCGGGTCTGCGTTGATGCCCTATGTGGAAGCTGGTCTTTGCTAATAAGACTCTACATGGTATATGCATATGTTGCTTTGTGGAGGGACAGACCTATAGGATATTTTGAAGTGGCACAGGGAGGTAATGATGATCCAAGGTAACGCTAGATTTCTCGACAAGCACCCTAAACTCCGATGGCTGAGATAGCTTGTCAAACCTCAGGTGAGTGGTGTGCAGAAGTTCTATGCTTGAACCTCAATAGGTAGTCATGTGTCTTTCATGGATTGTCCGCACATCCCACACAGCTGCCGTTACTCATTCTCCCCAGTCTTTTCAGCATCTGAGGCCGGAATGGCAATCTCTTCCAGCCAAATTGCCTTCCCCTCCTCATCCAGTTCCCCCATAGTGAATGCCTCTACCTTTGTCATTGTGCCATCCTTGCCCGTTCCCCTCGCCGTATGTCTCTCGGCAAACATGTTTCCGTCGCGTAGAAAGTGATGGCACTCGATAGCAACAGAATTTGTCCTGGCGCGTATCGCTTGGATGTAGGGGACGAACTTTTCCCATGACATCCGGTTCTGGTTGACGGTGATGATGGAATCTTTGGTGTAGAGATTGAGGAGACTGTTCTCGACATCGGAATCAGAACAGTTAAAGGCGGTATAGATTGCGGCAGCAAAACTGTCTTTGTTTGTAAAGGGACTCGGCTTTGACATGCTGCCTGTGATAAGAATGTCTGTGAGTCGAATGATCGTATTTGCTATCTGATGAACAGGTTGGGTAACTTCTCCTCCTGTCTTAGATACAGAGAATTCCAGTACTTGTCAGCTTACGCGCTGATTCAATCCGCACAGTGCTTCTTCTTTTTAGTTTGCTCTTTGTGATCAACATCGAGTGATACTGCTTACTCTGATCATACCTAGTCATTAACTACACAAAACAATAGAACGTGAAATTCAAGCGCATGTCTAGCTCAAGGTTATTATGACCAACCTAATCGGCTGGCTATCGCCAAAATCAGCTCATGGCAGCTGCAGATCCCCCTTCGTCACTAGCTCGGATAATCGAAGAATGTAGTTTCCAATCCTCTTCGGATATGCCTTGAGGACAGAAGCCTCCATTTCTTGCCATGTCTTGGTCTCCGCATCGAGCTTTGCCCAGGTGCGAATGTACTGCTTGGTTGCCTCCAAGTTGTCGAGCCCAAAGCCATCAGTGGACAAGCGATGAGAGGGCACGACGACCTTGGGATGGAGCTTTGCGACTTCGTCGACGGCTTCAATCCATTTATGACGGAGCTCAGGCGTTGTGTTTTCCGCAAGGTACTGATAACACCCGCCATATACAACATCTCCTCCAACAATAAGATCTAGGGAGGGCACGTGAAGCACGGTTGACGAGGCAGTATCACCACCCACAACCTCAACAGCGCGGAACTCGTGGCCATCCACATTGAAGCTGTCCTTTCCCTTGGGGAGAGCCTCTACCGTGAGATTAGGCTTTGGACCCTCCTGAAGCTCTGGGAAAGTTGGAACCCAAAAGCCGTCCCAGAAGGCAGGGGAAAGCTGTTCCTGCATGTGCTCATATGTGCCCTGCGTTGCACGAATGACAGCTTCAGGAAACCGCTCCTGTATGACACCAGCGGCAAAGAAGTGATCGCCGTGGCCGTGAGTGATGTAGATGGTGCTCAGTTTGCGGCCCTCGATGATCTCGGCAATCCAGTCAGCCACGGGTTCGGCGCGAGATCGAACGGTGGGAGTGTCGACCAAGACGGCCTCTCTGGGGGTCGTGATGAGTGTGAAAGTGGTAGGATTGAAGATGACGGGGTCTGTAAAGTTTTGGCCGGCGAGGTTGGCCGGGACGGGAGAGTCCCAGTATGTGTAGGCCTGGATGTGGTGGCCTTGGGCAATTGGAGTCGCGGACATGATGTTTGTGAGTTGATGACTTGTTGGCTGGCTGAGATGGTTGCTATGATTGAGTCAACATCTTGGTCAGGCTTTGAGCTTTTTAAAATGCTTTGAACTCTTCGATCCTCATCTCAACAGAACAGCGGAATGTTCCGTGTGGTTGTCAATTCGGATCGGGGATTAGTGATATCTAGCCCAGTGCGTAAAGCGAAGGAACGAGCCATTATATCCTCGCCATGAGAAGGTTATAGAGCATCATCGCCACTTTTCAATTGAGCCTGTTCAGTGGCACGAACAGCTCGTATGTGCGCGTGCAGTTGACTATTCAGCTGGCGTATGTATATGCCGAGGCCGGACGGGACTTTCCTGCTCGCGATGAGGAATCATCTGGGTTCACTAAACATTATTTCTAATCAGCTGCAATATGTGTGTGAGCCGCTCCATACAAATATCACGGTGACATGGTGCTCATCCGTACTGTATGAATGTCATGTACAGACAGCGTATATATTGACGACGATGCGAACGATGACTTGAAAGCATAACGCTGGTGTCGTCTTCTGCAAGCGACTGCTCGAGTCGTGACCTCGATGAGAGGAATGTGCGCTCGTTGGCATCTGACAATGACGAAGCGTTTGGTTTCGATGTCGAACGGCGTCGGCAGCTTGGGTACGGTCTTGCTGTACGCACCCGACAGGCTTCTCCTTGTTATTTGGCTGCTTCGAAGACACAGCAGTCGAATAAGGTGTCGCGAGACGGGTTATCATTATTCCTTCAGCAGGCGGCGTCGGCTGGAAGTCTCGAAAGGAACTGCAATGCCCAGCCCGAAAGTGTCATATGTGTTAGCATCTCGAAGCAGCACCAACATTACTCGTGTTTTGACATCGTCAACCCTTGTCATTCGACATCTTGTATCGTCGTAAGCCATGAGCGGGTTCCATGCCGAGAGCGATGGATCCGCTTGTGATCCAATGAACGAATCTTGGTGCCCCATGAAATGCATACTTGCAAGGTCGATGCACAATCGAATGCGCTTTCTCTCCCGACGATTCACCAAACCGGTCGACTCGGTAGTCCACAGGAAGGCAGAGGTCTGAAGGGGCAGAGGCTTGCGAGAGCCAGTCAAGAAAGCCAGAGGAAGTTGGGGAGGGTTGGCTCGATCATCGATGTCGTCAATGTATCGCCGTCTCGTACCGAGGCTTGGTGCTGTGCAGGCCGGGTCTCATCAGAGGCGGCAGTGTACAAGTCTCAATCAATATGCCGTAGAAGCGATGACGAGCTGAGAGGATCTGTTCTGGAAGGCGCCTTTCCTATCGCTGCTCGTCCATCGTCAGCATCTGCGATAGCCTCAGTTCGGCGCTTCGTGGGAATCATGATACCTTCATCTTTCATCTGCTCGTTCGCGCTGCCTTCAAGCCTAGCCATCAACCTGGCACTGGCCATTCATCAACCTCAAAAAGCGGCGGTGCGATGCTTTGTATCGCTGCGACATGAAGCGAAGGAAGATGTTGGAAGCTGATAAAGATGATTGGAAGTTGATCAGCCTTTGAAGTTTGGACCCAAGAGACCTGAAACGTTAACGCGCACGGTGAAGGCGATCAGTCCTACAGTGGACGGTCCCAGCTGTAGGCGGCTAATCAGGGCACCTTGGCACTGCAGCTTGATGTCTGGTGCCTGAAAATCCACTAACTCTCGCGGACAGCGGACCGTTAAGCGCTGGAAACGCCCTATGTAAAAAGGTAGATGAGTGAGACTGTGAAAGTGGTTGTTGTGCATTTTCAACTCCCAAGCTAAGTGTCACCATCAGGATGAAACTCTCGTGAATGATGCCTTATGAGAGTTGAAGCTGAATGCTATAAGTTCTGGCATACACAACAGAATACTTTGTGAGAGTTGAAACTGACTTTTACTTCATAGCTGTCAGGACATTTAGCATACTTCATCGAGAGTGTCGTTTGCTTAGGTATGTGTGGACTGTGGCTTGAACGGCAACAGAATGATCCATTTACGCCACGCCGTTCCTTGACGTCAGAAATGAAGAGAGGTGAGCTACATAGCTGAATCAGACTCCAGACTCTGAAAGTAGTATGATTGATGAACAATACTCCGTTAGCTGAAGTGTTGTTCATGAGTCACACTTGTAAAACCATTCTACACATACAAGTCAAGGCAGTCGGAATGCAACAGCAAGTCACTACTGTCGCCAAGATGCTGTCACGGAGAGCGCTCGCCAACATCCAGCCTAACGACATCAAAAACATCATGGCCAAGGGCTCATCCAATGCCTATGATGCTCATACTAATCCATCGGGCATGATATCTCTCGGAGTAGCAGAAAACAGACTCATGTGAGACCTGTCCTGAAACGAATCGCGAAATTGAAATTCAATACTCATCATCTCGCAACAGGCACGATGAGATCGCAGCTCACATCAACTCTCATCTGTCCATCACCAAGCGATGCCTGACTTACGGCGACGGGTCAGTTGGCTCCGACCAGCTGAGGCAGAGCATCGCCAGTTTCATGAACAGAACGGCATTTCGCCCCAGAACACCCGTAGAGATGAAGCACGTCACGGTCCTTTCAGGCGTCTCATCCATCATCGACTGTCTCGCCTTCAGCCTCTGTGAGGCTGGAGAGGGAGTTTTGCTTGGGCGTCCGACATATGTAGGATTCATCAGCGACCTCGTGAGCCGTGCGGGAGTGAAACCCGTTCTCGTCGACTTTGAGCGCCGATCAAAGTCTGTTCATCCCTTGTCGATGGAGGCTGTCGAGTGCTATGAGAATGCCTTGGTTGAATCTGCGCGAAATGGGACACCGGTGAGAGCGCTGCTTTTGTGTCACCCTCACAATCCTTTCGGATTATGCTATGAAACTCAGGTGCTTGAGGCGTATCTGGACCTGTGCGCAAAACACAGTATTCATTTCATCAGGTATGTCCTTGATCCAGACATATGAGACAAGTGTGCTCAGACATCTGCCAGCGACGAAGTGTACGCCAATTCTATTTTTGCTAGCACAGACTTTCCCTCGCCCCCATCTTTCACATCTGTCCTCTCACTAGACATCACAAAGCACATCGACCCCTCAATGGTTCATTGTTTGTACGGCATGAGCAAGGTAAGTCTGTTTAAACCAAGCACTACTTCATGTCATTTCTCACCATACAGCTGTAGGATTTCTGCTCCAATGGCATCAGACTAGGGGCCTTCGTCTCCCAAGATAATCCCGATTTGCAGGCATCCATGCGCGCGATATCGTGAGCAGCTCATAGCCATTGCCCTTGAGTACCTAGTAGTTCGTGATGAACACTAAATCTGATGATGACGCAGAAAATTTGCTTGGCCATCCTCTTTGGCGGACGCTGCATGGTGTGGCATTTTGACGGATGAGGCCTTTCTCCAGACATATCTCGAGACCCTGGCCAAAAGATTGTCTGCCGCGTACGAGCACTGCATCGCGCTGCTGAAGCGGCACAACATCCCATATGTACCGGCGTAGGTCATCACAATCGTCACGAGTGGCGCAGGTGTCTGACTTATCACAGTCATGCTGGACCATTCATCTGGATTGACCTTTCGAAATATCTCTCTTCGCACTCAGTCGAAGCAGAACGACAGTTGGCGTGGAAGATGATTCAGAACAAAGTATGGCTGGCAACCGGAGAGGCATATCGCTCGGAGCGGCCAGGCTGCTTTCGCATCACTTTCGCTGTTGACAAGGCCGAGCTTGAACTGGGGATGCAGAGGTCAGTTCATGCCCCCATTATGAGAAGCCTCCTAAATACTAATGAGTCTGCCGTAGAGTGGTAGAATGTCTGGAGTGAAACTTGTTTCCTTTCCCTCATTCTTCCCTTCTCTCATCGTCGGTCCCCAAGTCGCTTCCTCGGAAGTGGGGATCAATGCCATCAATTGCTGTCTCGTGCTTGGCTCCTCTTGATCTTATGCAGGCGTCCATTGTACGCAAAGGTAGGAGGTCTTCATCTGGACTCACTACCTAGGTAACAGAGGCCCACGCGGGAGATATCTGTGCCTTTGGGGCTCCCGCCTGACTACCCTCGAAGGTATCTGAAGGTGAACGGTGCGGCTTGTTTCTTGAGGTCAATGGTGACCTTGGATCCGTATTGTCGCACAGCAGCCTAGGAAGGAGAGGCGACTCGAAGTCGAAGTAAGACCTCGCATTGAAATTGTGATACATGGCACCAACTTCTGCGCTCATGGCACGCCAGAAGTTGCTTGACCAATTCGACTTCCAAGTAATGGACCTGAGCTACCTCAAAGAGATTGTTTTACAGGCATGAATCAGGGCTAGAGTACGTGATTTTACAGAGTATATAATGTGACCCTCTGTCCAGAGACTTCTGCCTCTCTCAGCAGCTTGACATTCTCTCTCCGAAGCAAGACTTTAAGCAACGAGGAGCACCCAATACTAATGAATGAAAACACCATCATCAGAATCATGGCAAGGGCATACCGAGGTTCATCTTGTGGACGGAAGAAATATGGGCTCCAAATATTACCCAGCTGGGCAAGAAGATTGATGATGGCCGTCGCAGCAGCCCTCTTCTCGGGCGTCTGGTTGAGAGTACTCGCAGCCCACGAATATACCATGGCGTTGGCTGCAAAGGCGCCAGAGCAGTAGAGGAAAGATGCAAAGTAGCGCGCTCCAATGTTGAGCGTTGCCGTGGAGATGATGAAGCCTACAGCTGCAACGGCCATTGGGATCGAGATGTGGTAGCTTCGTTCGTTGCGGCGGTCGCTCGAGTAAGCAACTGCAAACGATACGGCGGCGCCAAAGAGGTATGGAGGGGCCGTGAGGACGAGGGTGATGGTCTGTGAGCCAATGTGAAAGCCGCTGACGATGGTCGGGAAGAAGTAGTTGAAGCCGTAGGCAGTGTGGTTTGAGCAAAGGAGGAGCACCTGAAGACACACTAGGTAAGCAATGCAACATATATGTGTTAAGTATGATAAAAAGGTGACTCACAAATATCCAAGTCCTGGTATCTTTGAGGGCCAGGCGCACGCCGTACCAAACAGACCGGTCAGCCTCTGGGAGGGACACACGATCAAGAGCCATTCTCTTTGCAGCCAGCTCGCGCTCTTCCTTTGTGAAGAGCCATTTGCCGCTTCCAGTCTTGGACTCTATGTAGTCAGGCAGAAGGAAGAAGGCGACCAAGGCGGCAAGGAAACTGCCCGCGCCGTCGATGATGAAGAGCCACTGCCAGCCTGCGATGTCTCTGGCTCCATCAAGACCTGAGAAGACACCGGCCGCAATCAAGCCCGAGAACGCGGTTGCTAGAACAAGGCCAGAGTACAAGACGGCAGTGCGTAGAGCTAGTTCTTTCCTTGTGTACCAGCAGGATAAGAGATAGAAGGCCTGTCGGTAAGCAGAGGTCAGCACGTCTCTTTTTCGTCTTTCTAGAGGCATTCAGTCATAACTCACACCGGGGAAGAAAGGAGCTTCAACGATTCCGAGAAAGAACCGAACTGTAACCAGGCCTCCATAACTTGTTACTGCTGCTGTGGAGGCTGACACGCATGACCAGATAGCGACACAGGTAGGAAGATAAATGCTAGGCCTGATGCGGGTGATGAGCATGTTGGAGGGGAGCTGGGCAAGCATATATCTGTCTCCGGATTAGACTCATTACGATCAGAGTAGGAAGGAACTCGAGCACGGACTGACCCAACATTCAGGATGGATACAGCAGTATTGAAGTCGTCGTTCTTTAATCCGAGGTCCTTCTCAAAGGAGTTCAGCCTAGCTTGACTATGACGCTCCGTTAGCACATAGTAGAGCATCGTTGGCTCATGTAAGGAACATACGAGATGTTGTTTCGGTCGAGGTAGTTGAACAAGTATAGAACCCATACCACAGGCAGCAGGGTCATGTCAAGTTTACGGACCAGTCTCCGTTCGCGGGCTCGCCATTCCGTTGTTTCAACGAGTTCCTCTTGAGAAAGCTGGCCCTTTTCGGTGTTGATGTCAGGCATCGTCTCCAAGTGCTCGTGATCGGGGGCATTGTCCTTGACGGGAGTTGTCAAGTCACCCTTGGAGACTGTGTTTGAGCTCATGGTTGAGTCTCGAGTTGAGTAAATTGTGATGAAGGTAGCCGCATCGACAGGATAAACCGTATCTATGAGAGGCGCCGGGACCGAGAAGGGTCATCAGGAGTCAAGCATGAAACACTCGATGCATCGTGGGCAATATATACACGTCCAGTCCTACACGAACAAGATGAAGAGCAAACAAGGCAAGGTCCAGCCCCGGACCGGCAGACCTTCGACGTGGGGACCCCAGAAATTACCCCAGACATTAAACTTTCTTCGGCCCTGAAATCGAAGAAATTCCTGGGGTCTAGCGCTGGTGATGAAATAGGGGGGCGAACCGTTGTCTGGCGCTCACCGAAAGAAACGCCGATCGGCGTTGCGAACTGGCCGATCGGAGAGCAAACGCCGGTTCGGCCATCCGTCCGGCGAGCGATTGCTCCTCAATGCTGAACTGTAGATCTGATGATCATTCTGACGCTAGACATATATATAACTGTACACATTACAACTCTGAGACAAGAGATCAGCAGGATTCAACAACGATTCTTTTCAGAAATAGCAGTTAGGACCTTACCGACTCACCACCTCGCCTCCGCCAACCTCGCCAATTCGCCAAACATGACTTACACAAACGGAGATGCAAACGGGCAGAATGGACACGCCGGCAGTCCCATTCCCGCTGCATCCCGGCTTCGAAAGATGCTCAAGGAAAGCGACGAATTGATCGTCATGCCCGGTGTTTATGATGGATTCAGCGCGCGGATTGCGCTGGAAGTTGGATTTGATGGCCTCTACATGGTAAGCACCCCCTCAAGCTGTAGCTGGGCGAAGCTGTGATCATGCCTTGTTTGTGCTTGTTTCATGACGTTAATGCGGCGCATAGACTGGCGCCGGAACATGTGCTTCCAAGCTGGGACAGCCAGATCTGGGCTTCGCCTCCCTCAACGACATGAGAGAGCATGCCGAAATGATTGCCAACCTGGACCCGCGCGTCCCTCTGATTGCTGACGCTGACACGGGCTACGGCGGCCCCAACATGGTTGCTCGCACGGTGGCGCAGTACCATCGCAGTGGTGTCGCCGGTCTGCACATTGAGGACCAGATCCAGACCAAGCGCTGCGGGCACCTCGGAGGCAAAGAGGTTGTCAGCGTTGACGTATTTCGGCAGCGCATCAGTGCTGCCGCTGCCGCTCGGGACAGGCTAGGGTCTGACATTGTCATCATTGCCCGGACAGATGCCCTGCAGACCGATGGCTTCGAGGAGGCCATCCGTAGGCTCAAGGCTGCAGTCGCTGCCGGTGCTGATGTTGCGTTCCTCGAGGGCGTCACCACCAAGGAAGAGGCCCGAGAGGTGTGCCGGTCGCTTGCGCCAACCCCCGTTCTCTTGAACATGGTCGAAAACGGAGCTACACCATCCTGGACTGTGGCCGAAGCGAAAGAGCTGGGCTTCAGGATCATGATTTTCCCCTTCGCAGCTCTTGCTCCAGCATATGATGCTATTCGCAGCACATACTTGCGACTGAAGGAGACGGGCGCCACGGGGATAGATCCGACTTTTACCCCCAAGAAGCTGTTCACGGTGGTAGGCTTGAAGGAGGCGACTGCGGTGGATGTGGCAGCTGGAGGGCAGCTGTACGAAAGGGTGTAATACTAGACTGAGTCATGAATAGTGTCGAAAATCATTGCGAGCTTTATCCTGGCCATCCCAAGTTGAATCCGTCTGCAAGGCTACTCAAATGATCAAACATCATAGCATCTTGCATGTCTTCGGAACTAAATAGCGGCTGTGCGTTCGGCGTTAGTGGGAAATGAGTGCAATTTGCGACCAACTGTCATCAACTTATCTTGTGTTTCTTCAGAGCCTTCATTGTGGCCGTCTCCATCCGATTGGAAATGCTTCCGCCATTCCCAAAGCGAGTCGTAAACAATGCTCATGCTAAGGCGGTTTCGCACACGCAAGCGCAGGTCGTCGATGGATTCGCCGCTGATTACTCGAGGATCTGGTAGAGAGCAGAAGAATCCAATGACGTCGCTGAGGCGGCCGGGAAGATCATTGTTCGCAACTGACATCTTTCGAAGTGAAGATATGGCAGCGTCAAGCAGTCTCTTGCCCGCTTCGACATCCAGAAGCTTTTCGAAATACCCATTCATCATCACCTTTAGGATAATGAAAGCCGCAGAGACAAACACTTGGTAACAGAAGAATGGGCAGTAGTGAAACAGTCCAATCTCCTGATTATCCATCTCGAGACACTGCTCAATGAGGGAATAAGCAGTGTGGTATAACACGATGATGCGGTCGGCGTATCCATCGACACTGGAGTCGTCAAAGAGGTAGAATGAGTGGAGATGAAGGCGGGCGGCGGCGAGATAGTAACGAGTTACGGCTGCGCTATCATTAGCATCCAGTAACTGGCTGTCTTGAGAGGGGGCAAATCCGTTATTACGCGTCATATTGATGGCCTCGCGCTCCAAGTCGACAAGGGACGCGTTGAGGAGTTTATACAGCGACAGCCGCTCACGTGCTGACATGAATCCGGCAGGGTCGAGGGCGTTGGACGTCAGCGCTTGAGACACTCTGTATCTGAACTGCTCGATGCGAAGATGCCATCTCAGAGAGATGTCGTGAGGTGACGACATTGACTCTGGCGCAACCGTGAGGGACCAGTCGTGCATTTGGATCGTAGCTGGCAGACCGCATCCGACACTTACACTATGAGAAAGACTGTAAGACATGTGCAGCTCAATAGCAATATAAAGACGTGCTCTCGAAAAACAGCGACCTTACCTTTGTGCGACAATATTACAAGCTTCCCAGGTCTTGACCCATTCCGAGTACTCATACACGCTGAGATGGAGAGGAACCTTGACAAAATCCTCTGCGTTGAGCGCGCGGTGCAGCCCCATTTGCGTTCCCATCTGCACCATCATGCCCGCCAGCATATAAGTTGGATCCGCAGTGCTGCTGCTCGTCGGGAAAGGCCAAGTGCAGATGATCACCAGACTCTGCACTACGCGAAGTGAATATGGAATGGAACGGAGGGTTTTCCACAAAAGGTCAGTGACACTTCTCGCGAGCTTGGCCAGCAGCGTAGGATGGCTCTGGAGCCTCCGGGCGGCGACAGCAATGACGGACCAGAACAGCAGCTCGCAAGATTCATAGTACTCGTGAAGCGAAGTGGCCGAATCTAGGAACGGTAGATACGGGTGATAGTGAAGTATGTAACTGGGTGTGGTGTCAGCTTCTTCCATCTCGAGAAGATGCTACCCTCCTTTATCTGCTCACATGAGATACAGCTCGTCAATCTCTTCGACGGTAAGTTCCACATTGCCCAGCTTCCTGGCCCTTGGAATCGTGATGATTGATTTGCGCGGCTCCTGTGGTTGGTCAATGACAGGCTGCGTGGTAAGACCCGGGAGACGAGAGCTTTCTCTTGGATCTGGTGATGGCCTAGACGCGCCAGATACCGATGACAGGGCAACCTCGCTGACACGCGCCTCGGCTAGAAGCACCAAGTAGATGAGCATGTTAGCTTTTTCACTTTCGGGCAAGCAGGAGACGCTGATTTCTCTGTTGAAAGGGCTCGATGCACGAACAGGGAGCTGCTGGAGGTAGAACGGGCCACTCGAGCACAGCATTGCTGGCTTCGCGAGTGGCTAGTTGTCGTCTGAGCTCTCGGACTTCATTTTCTAGCTCAAAAGACTTCCTAGAAATGAGAATTTTGGATGTCAGACAGCCACCTTCATCTTGGGACAGGGAACGTTGTTCATGCAGAGCTACTTGCCTTCTCTTCCGCGTCCTGCGGAAATCGGTGTCTACTTTGCATGAAAGACTGAGCCTCTGGCACCGTGAGCACGTACTGGGGGCGCCGTCATTGGCGACCAGGTCACATCGAAGCTGCAGTATCAAGCGTGTAAGCCCAATTTGTGCGCGAGATATAATGAAAATTCGATGCTAGCAATACTTTCTGCTGCTTGCACTCATTGCAGGCTCTGCGTCTCGACTGCTTGGTTGGCTCGCCGTTTCGTGGCTCAGCTCGGGCTGTGGGAACAGTGGGCGCGACTTCATGTTGAGAAGACATTTGGCAGGCATTCGGCAGCCCGACTCGGCACACGCCCGCGCCTGAAGAGCGTTTTTTTCCAGAACTCCGTGAGAGGATCGATGAGATTTCTTGCTTCCTGGAGATTGACAGAGGAAAATAAGCATTCATGGATTATTGCTGAGTTCGGGCAGGCGGATACCTGGGATGGCTCAAGGTCGCTGGACGGCACGTGACCCCACGTTGCTCCTGCCATTCAACTCTAGCACACTTGACCTTATTGGCTACCCTATAATTGGCCATTTTATTCCTGTGAGATGCTTTACTTTCTTGGATACCGACTAGGTAGCTTCTTGACTTCTGAATCTGCGGACTCCAATTCAAGTGTTCAAGTGGTAATTGAGAACATGGAAGCGGCTGAAATAGCGTTACCAAGACAAAGCCCAGTCTTGCTCTTACGAGGGCAGTAAGCGAGCAAGAATAAAACGTCAACCACAGAAAGCAGTTTCATTGCTACGACATCAAAACAAAAGTCATGATGCAAACGGCCTCTATGATTTGATGACCTCTGGTGCTTGAATTACGATTCAATAATGGAAGCTAATATGTTAGTCCCATTGTTGTCTGTCGAGTCTACTGTGGTGACTTCGCCTCTCGGAAGTGAGTTCAAAGATGCTTTTCGGGCTGTGATCGACCGGGTATGGATGTCTCTCTGATGTCACTTCTCTTAACATTGGGAATTTTTAGAAATTTTGAATGTTTCTTATCTTTTGATCTCTGAAAGAGACAGAGAGCAGACATCATGTTGCCAAATAAACTAATACTCGGACTGGCCAGTTCCAGCCATTGAATGTAATAAAGCCGGAAACAACAACGCAAACAAATGATGAGGATGAAGGAAGCAATTTTACAATATCTAATAACGTCGAAATTCTAAGCCATCTGTATATCTATCTGCTTTACTGGTAAATTCAAATGGGAACAAAAGGTGATATATCGTTCCCTGAGCGATGAGGTATACTCTGGACCATCTCGACCGTCTCGTCAACGCCCAAGCCACGACAGATGTGTGTTATTCGGCGAAGAATGAACGTCAGTGTGTAGTAGGAGTCCTTTCCCGGAGATCTCGCGTTTACTCCTTGAAAGGGGGGGTTCTTCCGTTGTCAACGGGAAACGGAATGTTAAGGTATGGTATGGATGTAGGGATAGGGCCAGAAGGTATGAGGGTTGTAGGTTCAGGCACTGGATCATCATTCTTGCACTGCTCATGGTGTCAGTCTGACTGAAAAGACATGCCGTTGGGTGAGGTAGTGGGATGGGCGGAATGCTTTGTCGACTTACCCAGAGGTACCTGGAGTTGCAGCTGGCTGAGCAGTATGGGTAGAGAAGGACGTTGAACGAGGGCTTGCACTTGTTCAGGCAAACGTCTCGAGCTGACTTGCACGCGGCGAACTTCTCTCTTTTGTCGACTGAGCTCGCAGGAAGGGCAGCAGCCAGGGGAAGAAGAACGAGAAGAGCAGACAGTTGCATCTTGGGAGATTGATTTGGTTGTGTGGTTGTGGTGGTTGTTGTCAAGTTGTCGTTGTTGGTGATGAGGGCAAAGGGGCATTCGAGAGGAGCGGAGGGAGAGCCATGGATTTATAGGCCAATGGAAACGAGTGAAGGTCAACAGAGAGTATCATTTGCGTCAGTCAGGGCGTTGAATTGTAGATAGGTAGAAACCGGGTTCGATCTTGGTTCTAGACGTGGAGGGCCTGTGAAGGGATTGTACGGTGGTTTGAGCGTCTGCGAAGTAAGAGTGTTGGTTGGACTCGTTATCATAGTTGACGAGCTCGGTCTATAGTTAGGACTAGCCGTTGTTGCATGTAATCCAGATGTCATTTCAGTGGTGGAGTTTATTGTACCTTGAGACTGGGGGAAGGTGGAAAATCGACTGACGATTCTATCCGGTCTATGTCGATGATCCTTGTTCCTCACCGTATCGTACCAAACGTGCACTGGCTCAAATCACTGAGTCGCGGGGCCCCGGGCACCTGGGGAATCACCCCGGATTTCGATGCTCAAGTGTCTACATACCTACATGCGACGGGATTCTCTTCCTCCAATATCACCAAGTTTCAGTCTGAATACAGATGCCTGATATTGCCTCTGCCCATCTGATCTATAACCCCCTGGCCTTACAGATTGTCCATTCTTCTATGCTGTCATTCTAGGTAGTGCAGCGGGCAAGTGTTCTTCTGCCCAGCAGCTCGGAGGCCTATTTCACGATCGTGGGGTTAGTTATCGTCTGTTATCTGGTCGATGAGGCATTTTAGCAATGCCGTACGCAAAGACGATTTTGGAATAATATCGAACGGTAGTGACTGATGTAAGTGTCCGCTATTGTCTGTGTAGTCTCGTCCGCACGGATCGTTTGGTGGTGGTTGTAGCCATGTAGTGTGAAAGTCGTCATGCCGCAAGGACAGCCTGTGAACAGAGGCTGTGCTGGGGCCACTTAACACAATCGCGTGGCTTTCGTTCACAATCTGAGGCCCTTCCAGTTGCCACAATCAATCCGGTGGCGAAGAGGCCATTAACAGGCTGCTCGAGCAAGGACGAGGTTTCGACAACGGCGCAGGCGAGCATGATGGTCTGCCTTGTAGCCAATAGCTTAGTCACACAAACAGAAGGAGTCTCTGAGGTCCCCCAGAGAGCGCTTCGGCGGGACTTCTGAGGGCTAAGAAGAGTGGGATAGTAGATTCATATGATCAGGACGGGGGATAGTCAGCCGATTGACTATCCTAGGTAGTTGTCGAGTGGTCAGTGCGAAGACTCCTAACCCCCGGGCGTTCAACTGCCAGTGTTATACGCCAAAAGTCTTGTTGCTCAAAAACTTTGGATTGGCCTATATAAGAGCAGAGGCATGTCTTCCACTCGGGCGCCTGGAGAGCACAGTTCGCTGCCATATGCTCACGATTTGAAACTCATCAACCACAGGGAAAGGACACCGGATCATGTCTTGGTTGCGTGGTCTCGCCTGCTTTACAGATTTGCCACCGCCCTATCTAATGAGGAGCCTCGTGAGGCATTAAGTGGGTTGTATATTTCATAAAGATGAGATATATATTAGACACTGTAGATATTCGTGAATTCGAAATAATGCCACAACGAATGTTGCATGTTGAGGCGTGGTGTCAGCGGCCAAAGCATACAATTGCTGGGAGTCGATGGTTCGATCCGCAAAGCCTCCGAATGCGATTTTAAGCTATGCACGCAGGAATTGGTTTTGGTGCATGATCGCCCTTCACGGACAGCCTAGAATATCGAGGTTAGGCCAGCTGGCTCGCAGCGTCAGATCAAGACTCCCTCATTTCTTCATTTGCGCAAGGTAGGCCTCGACGTTCATCTCCCGCAGTCGGTTCGCCTTCTCTTCCACTTGCTTCTCGTTGTCCAGCTGATACGCCTTCATTTTCTCGAGGTATTCGGGAATAAAGGCGCCGAGGCATCTGATTGCGAGGAGGGCTGCATTGGTCGAGTTGTTGATGCCAACCGTGGCTGTCGGTACACCGCGCTATACGCTCGTCAGCTTCACGTACAAGGAAGAGGAAAGGGATCCAAAAAGTTTATGTGCACTTACCGGCATCTGAACAATCGAGTAGAGAGAATCGACACCATCGAGGTGTGTGGCCTTGACGGGAACGCCAATGACGGGGAGCGGCGTGTAGGCCGACACCATTCCAGGCAAATGAGCTGCTCCTCCAGCTGCGGCGATGATGACCTTGATGCCGCGAGCAGCGGCTTTCGTGGCGACATCAGCCATCTTGGCCGGCGTGCGATGCGCCGATGTGATGTCAACTTCCCAGGGCACGCCAAACTGGTTCAGGATGTCGATGCCAGCCTTAAGCACAGGAAGGTCTGAGTCCGAGCCCATTGTAACAAGGACCAGCGGCGCCTGAGCGGGCTTGGAAACCGCCTGGTCTGGCCGCAATGCCTTGGTGCGCGATTGTAGCCTCTCCTGTCTGATGTCGCTGGCCATGTCCACCAGCGGTTTCGCAAACTCTTCGAGCTCCGCTATGCTGGCCACCAAGCCAGTAACTGTGATGTGTCCAATCTTTCGGCTGGGCTTGGACTCTTTGCCATAAAGGTGGACGTAAACAGCCATCTTGTCTCCGTACATGGACTTGGCTTTCTCGACAAGCGGGAGGTGGGAGTCGGGATTGGCGCCTCCGAGAATGTTGATCATGATACTCGAAGCAACGTACGGCTCAATTTTGGGCGGGAGAGTCTGGTCGAGGATCGAGGTGAGCTGTGCCTTGTACTGTGACCTAATATACAGCCTTGTTAGAGCAGTAACCAACAGGGCAACGGGTGAATACGTACATGTATGGAACCGCTTCAATGAACAGATGACCAGAGTTGTGCGGTCGCGGGGCAATCTCGTTGACGAGGATCTGGTTGTCCTGGGTGACAAACATCTCAACAGCGAAGATGCCTCTTCCCCAAAGCTTGTCGACGACGTCGCCGGCGACCTTCTGTGCCTGCTCGCAGGCAGAAGCAGGAGTGGTCCGAGGAGGCAGGTAGACTCGTGAGCAAATGTTGTCTTCATGTACCGTCTCGACGGCGGGATACGGCAGCAGGCGCTTGGTCTGGCCGTCGTCGTCTTCCGTGCGAATCACGAGGACAGACAGCTCGCATTGGAACGGGACAAACTTTTCAGCATAGCAGCTAAACTTGCCAAACTCGGCGACAGCATGTTCGAGGTCGGCTTCGCCAGAGATCTTCATGTTCCCTCGGCCGTCGTAAGAGTCCTTCCTGGCCTTGAGCATCCAGGGATAGCCGAATTTGGCAGACACGGCTTTGAGAGAGGCGAGCATGGCATCGCCAGATCCCTCAATAGCCACCGACTCAGCGACGGGAATTCCCTTGCTGGCCAGGTAGGCCTTCTGCTCGTACTTGTCCTGGATCAGTCGAATCGTCTTCCATGACGGGCACACGGCCACCTTTGTAGTCGTCGCAATCTCTTCCAGCACCGTCGTGTCCACGTGCTCGGTCTCGACGCTGAGGACGCTGCAGTGGGAGGCCAGCTCCTTGATCTTCTCCGCGTCTTTGTACGAGCCATTGATGTTGCGGTTGTTGTGGTTGACCTGCTTCGCGGGGGCATTCTCGGCGTCGAGGATGGCGATTTCGACATCGAGGGGAGCCGCGGCCTGGCACAGCATCCGGCCCAGCTGGCCGCCTCCCAAAAGGCCGATGACGGGTTTCGGGCTCATCTTGAACGTCGAGAGAGAGCTGGAAGCGTGTGACTCGGCTTCGTTTGCTCAAGTGAGCGACGGCTCGGTGATTTCCGCAGGAGTTCGGCGAAGTCGTGGAAAAAGCGCAGCGATGAGACACTCGGAAGAATTTGATGTCCTAACAAGATAGCACGAAAACATTTAGCAGATCTAATACCCCACCAGGTACGATGCCCCGCCTCACCAATTTGTCCATGACTCGCAAGATACGAAATCACTCGCAGCAGATCATCACAAGGTCAGGTACGAAGAAGAAGGTTAAAGGATACTTACATCCGCTGCATGTATGCAAATTCTGTCGGGACGCGTACAAAATGAGGACACAACCGATCATGGGAGCAAAAGTACCTGTGAGTACAGAGTCCGATAACGTCAAAGTGTTATCGTTATCGGCTATCGATATTGCGCATCGAGTGCCCCGCGAAAATGTGCGGGTGCTTATCTTATCTGTCGATCAACCAAGATCAAACATCACGCTCCATGCAACGTCTGATGGCTCACGCAATGACGTCATAAGCCCAATTGCAAATCCTCGTCTCCGTTCCACGACTACCCTGTTTTGACTAACTTCTTGTCAAGCGACAGCATCTGTAGTGTGGAATAGATATCTGGCTGTCAATATTACGCTGCCAACTTATTCTTCTTGTTATCGCTGTTCAGACTGCCTTCCCTTCAGCTTATATCAGTGGCTTTCCGTGGTGAGCTCTCGTTAAAGTATTTTAATGATTGATAAAGCATTCGCTGCACGCACTCTGCTTCCATAGGTAGCACCTGGTCAGATAGCATTTCTACTTGAGGATTGAGAACTCTGAAGGCTCTTTGGTGCCGCTCTACATTGTCCCAAGGCCCGTTGCTCGTCAACTGACACTCTTTGGCCCCTTTTGGTATGTGTGGCCCATCTTTGAGTGGCAAGCCATCGCACACTGCACTCTTCGAGATAATCAGCAGTCAATTGCGCTTAGCATTAGGAAGCATTCTCAAGCCTTGATGCCGCCTGGCTGCCTCGCTCGAGCTAATTTTTCCGTGACAACTTCCGCAGATCCTCTCGCGAGATCAACGCATGACACCAGAGAGTCTTGGTGTTCCGGTTCCTCTCAATACAATCCCTACTTTTGACCAACTTGAACAACCGGACTGGATCTCTAATTACTTGATGCCTTTGGTCGCTCCTTGGATTGTGTTGTTCAAAATGAAGCATTCCTCCTCTCCAAACCAGTACACACGATGGTATGGAGGCGTAGCAAGCCTGAATAGGAGAGCTCCCGCTGAGGCACCGCCGGGAAGAAGAACTCAATTTGAGACAGGCGTGGGAATGCTCATTCCTTGTGCCTCGCAGCTTCTGTGGTGTGATGCCGGACATAGCCAGGTTTCTTGCTTACATAATCTCCAAGTCACCACATCTCCTGCCCTCTTGTTCCTTCCTGCACAACATCTTCCCCTCTCTTCCACACCCCTCCTGCATAGCACGTCAAAAAGCTCTCTTCCATTCGTCAAGTCATCAAATACGGAAATGTGCTCAATTTATCGAGAGAGAATTCACTCTTACTGTGCCGTTGACCTTTTCGTTTGTTCGACTCCCCCTTGGTGTAGCGCGCCCCTTTCCTCTCCTCCCTACGCCATGGGTTGAGCCGGCAAGGTCTCTAGAGAAGCTCTCAGAATGCAGATGCTGCGGATGATCTTTGGCCATTTACAGACAGATACGACGGAAGCGAGAGGGAACAAATACGACGGAAGCGAAGGAGGACAAATACGACGGAAGCGAAGGAGGCATATTCCTGACCTGTTCATGCCCAGATACTGCCGTTCTTCGTCTTTCAACGGCTCGTCTCCTTCGAAAGTTGTCGTCGACATTGGCTCCAAAGATCTTCTAGCTTGTGACTTGGGCAGTAAAATATCTTGGAATCACTCTTGGAATTACGTTCTCGATTAATTCTCTAGTGCTAGGTCGAATCCAAAACGTTTCTACTTGTATACGCCGTGACTTCGTCCTTGGAGGCATGGAAGCATTTTGGAGAAAAGTCGCCAATTCTGATGGCCTTCTCTGCGCTTTGGTACGCAGGTGCCCCTGTACTAACCTTCTTTGCTTTGCACGAATGGTACGGCAGTCAACAGAATGTCTTAAGAAAGGCTTGCATAGGGGGCCTATTTCTCGTCATACTCCCACCAGATTGCCCTCCTAACCATTCTCCGCGGTTTGAATCGCAACTACTGAGTCATCTACCGCATTTCTAGCTTTCTCGTCGTTTTCTCGAGCCTCTCACGTCAATTCATCTTTCAGAATTGTCGATCAAATGAGATGTCTCAGCAGTTTCCTTGGGCTCTTTAGGTCGCATCTCCGGACAGTCCTGTCCGACCTGCGGCTGAGTGCGCTTCTCGCCCCTCCAATTACTAGGTGTACAGGTTCATTGAGGATGATGAGGGCCAACGGTACGTAGATTCAAACTTACAGGTCACGGATACTTTTCCCAATGCCGTCGATGCATCAACCCTTTACTATGTCGGCCTTGGGAATTTTTGTTACTGACAATGATACATTTAGCGCAACGATGTGATGATCTACCTCTCCAGCGAGGAATGCCCTCGTCAATCTCATTCTCAAAGTCGAATACCTTGAACAGAGTAATGGAGCTACTCGTCAGAACTGCCTGTCCGGACTTGACGGTGAACACGACAGATACACAACGTTTAGTCAGAGGCTTTGCTACTGCGTCCTCCATTTGATGGTTCGAATATCCTCGAGCCCCTCGTCTGCGGTCATTCTCGACACCTCACCTAGAGGTTACAAATCGATCGACGAACCGGCGAATTTGCATCGGTCGGTCGATTCTAGAAAGCCAATGCATACAATGCCCACAGTCCATCAGTCTGATTCTCTGTGTTACTGCCCATCGTCTCTCGTCATGGTTCGTTAGACTGAGGGGTTGCTGCTAACGTACGTGCAACATACAGGGAGGAATTTCACCCTGAAATCTCACGATGTCTGAGATGCCGGACGGGCTACTATGCACAGATCGATACGACCCGAACCTACACGGCGGCAGCTCCAGAATCACGCACACTCGTACTGGATACCACCAGCATTGGCTCATAGCTAGTGATCAACAACGCCCTTTCAATTTTAAACAGCTGGATATCATATAACTACTTGTCCACATTGTCATATATGGATCTGAGAACAACATCATTGATCCATGCACCACTGGACCAGTCGTCCCAGACGATGAAAGTAATGGTACGGCTCTCGCCCTTGTGAAGCCAGAAGCCGTTCTGGTCAAAGTATCCCCTCACAGTGGAGGGGTAGTCGACCCACACCCATGCCGCAACACCCTTGGTGGCGGTGATCTTGAACTGGGCCGTCTTTCCTCGAAGCGACTTGGTCATGGCCAGGCCTGGGTCGGCAATGCTGCTCAATCGGAGGCTTTGAGGGTGAAAGAACTTGGAGTGGGTATATTCACCGGCCTTGACGGAAATTGAGAGTAGCGCATTCGACAACGGGTTCTTGCAGGCGAAAAAGGTTGACAAGGCAGGATATGTGACCAGCCGGGTGGCATTGATGGGCTGCACGTCGAAGTTGACCTTGAACGATCCATCGCGAGCAGGCTTCACGTGGACAGGAGGACCAACATCCAGCGCATTGCCCTTCCAGTCGACCCACTGGAAGGTGGCAGTTCCGGAAACTTTCTCCCACAGATCCGAAACAACCCACACCTCCAGGACATCGGTGGCCTCGTCGTAAAACGGCCAGACAATGACGGGATTGAAGATGTCCTTGGCCGCATAGTAGGCCACCTTTTGGCGCAAGTTGTGCTCCGTACTGGACCAGGTCGGGCCGACCCAGATGTCGTTGAACTGCCAGTACAAAGAGCCCATCTGTCTGTTGGGAAGACCAGATCCGCGTCGGTAAAACGCAATTTGGGCCTGATAGTAGTCGGCCTGGAAAACCTGCGAGGTCCACGTCCAGGCGGTGAAGTTGGCCACGGGATCCTCCAGTTGGGGCAAGGGGTACCACAGCTTAATGCTGTCGGTAAACTGGTTTATGCCGTTGGCGGAGGACGAGAAAAAGTCGCTGCCGCCGCTCAGATGACGGTTGTGGTGGCGGACATATGACGAGTCAAAGTTGAACTCGCTTTCAGGAATGGCATCCCTCCAGGAGTAGACGGACGGCATAGAGGGGAAGCCAAACTCGTCGGCGAAACGACCAACTGGGTAGCCGCTGTACTGGAATGCGATGCTACCGTCATAGTTATAGAAGTCGGTGTCATGGTAGATTGCATCGGGGCTCTCCATGTAGTCATATCGCGAGGTCTGAGGACTGACGGAGTTGAAGTCAAGCGAAGTGTATCCGTGGTAGGTGGAAGAGGGGATATAGCTGATGGAGTGGGTGTTGGCGTACACACACTTGGCAAGGTGCTGTTGGAAGATGGTCTCATAGTCCTCCAGCTGGGTGTTATTCCGGGGATTGAGCCACCAGCCATAGATGAGGTACTCGAGCTCGTTGCCTCCAGCCCACAGAGCCAAACTGGGGTGGTGGTTCACACGGCGGGTGTTGTAGTAGGCCTCGGCTTCATACTCAGCCAGGAAGTCGGGCGTGGCAGGGAAGTAGGCGACGGAGAATTGGAATTCGGACCAAAGCAGCAAACCCATCTCGTCGGCCAGGTCATACGCCCAGTCAGGCAGATAGGCTCCGGAGGCCCAGATTCGCATCATGTTAAAATGGGAGTTGATGGCGAGCTCGAACGTCTCCTTGATCTTGGTCTGGTTCACACGGGGCCAGAAGACGTCGGGAGGGACAAAGTTGGAGCCCTTGGCATACATCTCGTGGCCGTTGATCTCGAATTTCCAGCTGGCTCCCGGAGCGACGCCCTTGGCTTTGTCTGCCTCAGTGATGGCATTGAGGTTGAGGACAATGGTTCGAAAGCCGACGCGCTTGGTGACGGTGGCATGCTTGGAGACTCCTGCACTGATGAGAGACAGCGTCGCGGTGTACAATGGCTGCTCTCCGTAGCCGGAGGGCCACCACAGGTCAACCTTGGTGTTGATGGCGGTGCTGCCGGTGATAGTACCGTCACTCTGGGTGATGCCGACCAGGTTGGCCTCCTTGAGCGTGTGGCCCTTGCTGTCGACGATCTTGACGTGGAACTGTGAGCCTTTGGGCAAGGTACCGATGTAATCGATACTAGCATTGAAGACCCAAGGCTTGGACTGATCGGGCGACAGATTGGGCATTTGACCTTGGCGATAGATGTCGATGGCCGTGTTCGTGATGTACACGGGATCCGTCTTGCCCTTTTGCACAATGTACGCCGGGCGCCATGGACCAGCTGGAGCAAACTGCGGGCCCCAGTCCCAGCCGAAGTCGCTCTCCTGCTTTCGCATATAGACTCGGCCTTGAAACTCCTGTCCGCCGTAGCCATTGGCAGAATTGACAGTGGCTGAACATCGACAAAACATGTAAGCGGAGAGACTTTCACACGACACAGGCATGGAGATCAACGTACACAGATCGCCCCGCTGGGAAATGTCGAGCACAATCTTGCTCGCGGACCCGAAATTCAAGCTGAGGACAGGATCGCCCTTGCACTTGGGCAGGATGTCAGAGACATCAAAGGTGTATTTGCGGAACTGGTTCTTGGTGTCGCCGACTTTCTGGCCGCAGAGCTTGATCTCACAAAAGGTGTCGAGACCCTCGAATACGAGCCATGAAGTCAACTCTTCTCCAGACTTACTAATGCGTTTCTTGTTAGCTTTGAGGCTCAAAACTGCCGCCCAGCCGCCACACAACCACTTACAGTCCCTTGATCGGCCCGGACGTGTATGTCCAGTTCATTCGCTGGACCCAGAACTGGTTCCACTCGTTGAAGCCATATATGGGATCGTCAATGACGCCAGCAGCCAGCAGGTCTATGTGGGCATACGAGGGAAGCTTGCCGGGCACGGTGGCGTTGACGCCGTTGCTGACCGTCCACGAAACATCGCTGAGATTGAATATACTCTGCGCGGTGACGCAGCTCGCCGCAAGCCAGAGCGCTGCTAAGAACCGCCCCATTGTGCTCAGTATCTTGTAATTGGACTCTTTCACCACGAGAGGTGGTCCATCTGCAACTGCCTTGGTTCTGGAACCATCATACTTCAACAATGACAGCACCTCGCCAAGTCTATATACGACCAAGCCGACTCCCAGGCGGATAAACAACGACCAGACAGGGCACAGTTTCCGTCAAATAACAGCAACGTACAGTCAACGTACCACCAACATGCCTTGGGGGTCATCTCTTCATGCTCTCTCGCCTCGCCTCAACTCTCAACTTGGCACAGTACAGTTTCCGTATCAGTAATCAGAGATCGACAACAGGCTGGAACACAGAGCAATACACAAAGATACGCAACCACGAGCTCTCTTGGTGCTTCTCTGATACCGATTATCTCTCCGCCTTGAGGGTGTCCCAATCTCAACCCCTGGGCAGGCTACTACCGGAGCCGATGACAGATGGCCAAGCCGAAGAGGATTTACGATGTTGGCATAAGCATACATGCACTAGCCCCGGCCTCCACACTTTATGATTATGGTTATATTGACGAAGTCTTGGGGACACGGAAAACAACAAAGCTTGCTTTTATGCTCGAGCACGATGATATTGTCTGCGATTACGACTGGAGCCGCTAGGCTCTAGCATTTCCATGGTGAATAGCCGTGCCTCATCATCGCCCTGAGCTTTTCCGAAATGATGAGTCCACTTTTCATCGGCTTCCCCCAGACCAACTTGGCCCTTTGTGAACTTTCGTGGGGGGAAGCTTGTGTGGAGAACATGACAGGCTAGCTAGAGAGGTGTCGGCTAGCACCAGCTTGTCATCGACGAGTAAGACCACTCGAGAATGCTATTCAAAGCCAGGGGTCTGAGTTGGAATAAAACCACCTGCCTATGGGCTCTGCCATGTTACTACCACGATATTCTACCTCGGGCTCCGATCTCATGGGAGAGCAGAAAGAATGACGCTCACGGTTCATCCAGCGGGGCAGATCATGGGGTAATGAAATCGCGGGGAATGCATGGGGGAGATTACTGATGCTAGATGGATTCCTGAGGGGTAGGCTGAACCAATTCTCCATTAGGAAGGTTGAACGCGGGGAAGACGACAAACAGGAAAGGCGGACAAGACGTTGATACGAGTTGACGAGGGTTTGCTCGGCAGTAGCTCCAGGGCAGCAAAGCGTGTCCAGCCAGAGCATGCGAACTAAACTCTCGCAGTAATGGCCAATGGAGCTTCTTTCGGATGGACTTGAGGGCTGGAAACAGATATGAGCCGTCTCCGGAAGTCAATCATAAGCCCCCTTGCCAAATGGCGATATTATATCCGCTGACACTAGGTAGGTAAGAGTCTCTCTGTCATGGCACGAGCCGGGGTCACCTCCACCAGCACGAAGCAAGTGGAGAGACAAACAACCTCAACTGCATGTGCTGGGTCGTTGAAAGCTGCGGTTGTGGAGAGCTGACCAGGCCTTGCAAAGTTCCGGGTCGACTCGAACGAGACTATTTACTCTGCTCCGTCCACTAGTCTTTTGCAGCTTTCTCCGTGCTTTGCCGCGAGAATCTCGCCAAATTCCGAGAAGCCATACGACGTACGGCGGCAAGGTGGAGAGGGCGGCGTGTATAAAGCGTTTGTCTTCTCGTCGCTCGGGAGGCTTGAAGTCTGATAAGGAGCTCAGACGACAGGATTAGTCGAGGTTTTACGGCACAAGGTCTTCTCACCATCATCATGGCATCGGCTGTTGCCTTCTCCCTGGCGGTGTCGGCGCTGCTGCAGCCCGTCCTTGGCACTAATACAGGCACGGTTCACTGTGCCGATGCCTCGTACGAACCGGGCTCCGTTTACTTCACGAACAAGTGTTACACCGACATCCAGAACTGCATAACCAAGCTGTCGGCCGATCCGTCACTGGTTGACTGCAGTGGCGACAACATCAGCATGCAGCAGCAGGCCAATACGGGAGCTGTCGGCTCAGCCCAAAACAGCGATGTGAGCGTCTCCTTCAAGAGCATGGTCGACCTTTGCCTCCTGAGCGGCTCAACCAGCGGAACATGGGGTTGGAGTGACAACCAGTGGTACTGGCTGTGGACCAGCGGCAGCTGCTACACCGGTGAGGCCGGAAACGGCGCCATCAAGACGCGGCCTGCCCCCTATTGTCTGCAAGACCGGGACTCCACCCTGCCCGACTGCTATCCTCAGCCCAAGCCCGGCGGTGGCCCGCTAAGGGTGCTCAAGATGGCCAAAACGACCAATGGCTTCACGAAGTCGGCGCGAGGCTGGAACACGTACGGAGCCCAGGCTCTGACCAACGGCTCCACGCTCATTCCCTCCTTCGCTGGTCAGTCCGGCCTGTATTATACGCAAAAGTTCGTGGAGACTCAATGCGGAGTCTTGGCAAACTCCAAGTTCAAGGCTGCTGGTTACGATATGTGCAGTCTTGACTCCGGCTGGCAGTCGTTTGATACGGTCGATGATCATGGCCGCATCATCTACAACTCGACGCGCTTCAACATGCCCCAGCTTGGTCCCTGGCTGCATAAGAAGGGTCTTAAGCTCGGCCTATATATCAGTGAGTCTTGCCATTCCTATTTGCCCCTTCATCCCTCTCTCCCATTCTGACTCTTGCAGCACCGGGAGTCCCATGCCAAGCTGCCAACTCGACGATTTTGGGCACCGACATCAAGGTTGGAGACACGTTCAACGGCAACTTTGACCAGATTCTGTGCCAGTTTGACTACAACAAGGAAGGTGTCCAGCAGTGGCACGATTCTGTTGTGGCTCTGTGGGCTTCGTGGGGCGTTGACATGATCAAGGTCAGTTGAGATGCAATCACGGCTATATGAGGGAGCTTCAGCTGACAAGAATAAAACAGCTGGACTATATTACGTGAGTCAATATGCCTTGTGCTCAAGGATTGAATAAGACTAACATCATTCAACAGCCCTGGTTCCCCACAGAATGGCGCCATGCTGGGCTGTCAGAACTCCGACGCCGTTGTCGCCTACCAGAAGGCCATTGCCAAGTCGGGGCGTGACATCCGCCTGAACATCTCGTGGAAACTCTGTCGCAACGAGACCTGGCTGCCCGTGTGGAGCCGCCTGGCCGAGTCTATGCGTACCGACCAGGACATCAACAACTACGGGCACGAGACCTTTTTGGCCTGGCAGGTTGCTCAGCGCGCCATTGAGAATTACCGGCAATACATTAGCCTCCAGCTTCAGCGCAACGTGCCCCTGACCATCTACCCGGACATGGACAACCTGTTTGCCGCCAACGCCGAGAAGCTGACGGGCGTCAACGACACGATGCGAACCACTGTCATGAACCACTGGCTTGGTGCTGGCGCCAACCTGATCCTGGGCAACGACTTGACCCAGACGGACGCGCTCGGCTACAAGCTGCTGACGAGCCCCCAGTCCACGACTGCCGCCAACTTCTTTGCCAAGTATCCCATGCAGCCGCGGAACCCTCGAACCGGCAACAATCTGGCCCAACAGCTGCAGTCGTGGATCGCCGGGCCGAGTGACAATGGAAAGGAGGCGTACGTTCTGATTGCCAACTACGGACCAGACCAGGGCTCCGGCGGCTTCAACACGCATCTTTACGGACGACAGACTGTTACTGTGTCCCTGGCCACTCTTGGTCTTAGCTGCTCAGAGTGGAAATTTACCGATGTGTGGTCGGGCAACTCTACTCGCGTCAAAAACTACTATACGGCCTACTTAACGGAGGGAGAGTCCCAGCTGCTTCACTTGACCAAGGTCTAAGCGGAATGGGTCGCGGATAGAATTGGGTTTATTATATAGCAGTTCATTAAATTGACGGGGCATTCCACATTCGCTATTGAGCTAAAGGTACGAGAAGGCATAAGACGAGTTGGGGTGTTTACTGGGGGGGCTGCAGGTTCTGCTTTGCCTGGATCTTGGGGACTGCGCCGAATCGCTGGTTGCCCTGATCAAAGATCTGACATACGTTAGCATGCATGCAATAGTGTACTTTGATGATTGGGCGTTACTTACCGCATAGACCGACTTGAGGAATACGTCACCCAGAATGTCAAAGGGGTTGCTTCCCCTCGACTGAACACCGCCGTACCAGTTGCTGTCGTCCGCAGGAGCAAAAGCCAGGTCCTCGGGCTGGATGACAAACTGCGTGTTTCCAACCGAGACCTTGAGCTCGGGCAGACTCGAAGCATCGGTGTTGATGGGGAAGACGTAGCCCTGCTGGTTATCGTCGTACTTGGCGCCAGGGATGGCCTTGTACAGCGCCTCGCAGACCTCGTCGGAGACCAGAGCGAGGGTGGTTCCAGTGTCGGCAATGGCGGTGTTACCCTCCTGAGAAATGTCCTTGCCGTTGATGGTAGTCTTAGTGGAAGGGAACATCCAGAAGCCCTGCGAGTTGTCGACATCCGTCCAGGCAATCTCCTGGCCCGAGGCGGACACGAGGTCCTGGTCGATGTAGCCAAAGGTGTAGAAAGACTCTGCGTTTTCGTCGCGCTCGCTGTAGAAGGCGGCGGTAAAGAGCTGGGCGTCGCTGGGGATATCGTCCTGCTGGATCATGTTGGCGACGGGCGTGTTGGCGGGCGTCGGGCGGCCGTCCGTCTGGACGGTGTTGATCTGCGGCCAGGCGAGACCGAGGAGGCCATCGCCGGTGCCCTGGGCGAACTGGGGCGCGAGCTTGGAGGCGAGTTCAATGGTCTGGTTCTTGATGGAGAGACCGCCGAGGGTGACGGTGTCGGAGCCGCAGGTGCCCGAGGCGGAGCTGCCGTCGCCGTAGGAGATTTGCCATGTCTGGTCCTTTAGGGGCTTGAACGTGGACGACTTTTTGGGGTCGAAGATGGCGTGGTTTTCTTGAAGATGCTTGCTCAGTTCTGTAGAGAAGACCTGTGGACGCAATGTCATGTCAGTCACTTCAGTTGTGGTATTGCGGAGACGGGGCGTCTTACCCAGAGATCGGATGAGCCGGTGTCAAAGTCGAGCATAAGCTTCTGCCCAGGAGTTCCGATGGTCACCTCGCAAAGGTATTCAGAGTCATTCTGCTGGTCCTCAGCATCGACCTCTCCCGTCTTACTGCCGCCCGCATCGACCGTCCCATCCTCCTTGACCTTCTTGGCGAGCACCTTCTGCCTCGTGACTCTCCCGCCGACGGCGGCCTTGAAGTCTGGGTGGGCGAGGCCGCGCTGGTGGATGCGGTGCTGCTGGAAGTAAGGGCCGGGCTTGGTGGGCTCGAAGCCAAAGCGGTTGAGGAGGTAGACGTAGGACTTGGGGCCGTGACGCTTGTAGTTCTTGTTGCGCACGGCGGTGATTTTCTGGAGGCCGCGGTCGAGCCTGAACTTTGCCTGGGCCTGGAGGATGGCTTCCATTTTGGACGGGAGCTGTGTGTCTGCCTGTCTGTTTTGATGGGGTTGAGGCTGGTTGTTGAGTCTGTGTGGGAATTGGTTGATGGAGTTTGGGATTCTGTTCCCGGGAATAGTGGGAGGAGTTGAGGCCGATTTATACACAGCAGTGAGGGCAGGTTTACGTAGGCCTGTCTTGATTCCACCGTCGTTTCAAAGAATGTCTGCGTATATCAGATCGTCACAATATCAACCAGTTATCAGCCATATGATGATACTCAACGCGCGTGTCGCTGTAACATCGATCGTGTGTCCCTTGACAGCTGACGCGTGTGTCTCACAGCAGGTTGAATGATGCACGGGTTTGCCTCTTCCGTCAGTGTGACGCTACACAGGCAATGCGCAGCAGCTGTCGTCCGCAAGATCCTGGCACAACCCCTGGAATGGCAGATGCAAAGCTATGCAGAGGGAACCGATACTGTGAAAAAGCTGCAGAAGCAGGAAAAACAACAGAGAGCAGCTTGTAGCTGCATCTCATGATTGGAGAGGCCTCGAGGTTTCTGGAGTCGAGGGGCTGCATGAAGTGCGTGCGGAGACGATGCGTGCCGAGTGCCGAGTTGGTGCGTGGATTTTGGGTGGCCTCGAGGGCCGGGCCGTGGACTTTATCCGGCCTGGCTGCCTGCCTACCTTCTTACCTACCTATGGACGAAGTGATACGATACGGCATTCCAGAGGCGAATTTCTTGTCGATGGAGCATGATAATAATAGAAGCCGATGATGTCTTCTTGGGTTTCAGTTTTTCAGCCTTGATGCTGGCATTGGCCAAGTTGGTCTGCATCGCCGTCGCGGACATGACGCTATTCCCAGCGGCCAGCGTGTCCCATTCGCGCTGCATCAACGGCTGCCGTCATCGTCGTTTCAGCAGATAGACCACAATCGAGGCCGGAAGTGGAGATCGGGGGAGATGCAGCAATGCCCTCATACGGCACCGGTGGCCGGCACTAGGAGGCGGAAGTCAAGCATACAAAGAGAAGTTATGCAGTAGCTTGCGGGTCATCGGATGACGAGTCGCAGGTTATCGTCCCTTGAAGTGATGGCGATGCGTCTCGCTGATGGAGTGCAGATACAACGTCGATATCAAGCGTGATGACCTCTTGAGGAGATGACATTACAGGTCAGTTCTGATGGAGATGGCAGATGATTACAGACTCTTGAGCTGCCTGTTTCTGTGTAGCCAGCTTGGACTCTTCATGACAATCGGAATGCATCCTGGTCAACTACGACGACAGAGAGAGAGCTTTACACGTGGTATTTGGCTGACAGCAAGCTGCTTGTAGACATCATTTAGAAGCCCGCCTGCTCTGCCACCATCTGCTCCCACTGCATCCACTGGTTCGGATCCGTCTCAAACGACAGCAGGTTCGGGAAATACTGAACGTCCGAAAACCCCCCTTCCAGATAATCCGCATACGAAAACTTGTCATGGACAGACGGATTCCGCGTCATGGGCCTTGCCTCCGCCTTGTCGCGTCTCGCCCTCGCTTCCGACTCCTTCTTGAGCCGCTGCCATTCTCGGATATCGTGAATATACTGCGGTGCGACTGGCTCCGGAAGGCCCTCTTCCTTTGATGCAGCGACGTAAGAGTTCCAGACCTCGAGGGTCCATTTGCCCAGGGCGACATAGACGGACCCGTTAAACTCCTCCAACACCTGAGGGCAGCGCTCAAAGACAACGCCAATCAACTTCCACGCCTTGTCGACCTCGGGCCGAGCCTTGCGCGCGCGAACCTCGATGAGAAGATACAGCATCGTGTTCCAGAGATAGCTGGTGCCTATCTGCCACGTGAACTTGTCCAGGCCCATGTGTCCTCCTTGAATCAAGTTGGCATACTCGAGCAGCTTCATGGCGTTGAAGAAGGAGACGTCGTGGTCCTCTTGAGAGGCTTTTGCCGACAGATGTGCAAACTGTCGTACATTGTGTGCGAACAGCCTCATTTTGCAGACTGCCGACCGCGCCATGATGGAGATGAAGGTGTCCAGGGGGCTCGACGGGTCGCAGTACCGCAAGTACTTTCTTTCCAGATGATCCTCCACCGCTTCGATGATTCTGTCCTTTCCCGCCAGGGAGATCTCTGGATTGTAGAGCATCTCCCAGCGCAGATCGGTGGGATAGACCTTGGCAAACTTGCACAGCGTCTCCATAACCTCGCACTTGAGCAGACACAGAGTTACCGCCGTGATGCCGTTGCGCTCCTTTGGGAACGAGGTCATTTCGGGATATAGCTCGTCATCGTCGATGTTGATGGGCAACTTCACGTCGCCGCTGGATATCTCGGGAGAGGGCTTCGTGCCCATGACGTCTGCCGTCCGACAGTCGACGTGCGCCAGATGCCACCAGAGACGACGCCGCATCTCCGTCTCAAAGGGCGAGAGGCCAAGGAATGTGCCGTCGCGATGGAGGCCCATTTTACGGGCAAGGCGGATGGCGACGCCAGAGAGGATGTAGAGGGTGTCGCAGCGGTACACATTTCTGACGCAGATCTGGTGTCTGTCAGCATATCTACCAGGCACGAGCAACGGGCTGTGATGTGCTGTACCTACCGTAAAGATGGAAAAGGCTTGAAGAGTCATGAGGTTTGAAGTCGACAGGAATCTGGCATTGACCAAGGCCTGTCGTGTGGCAACTCGATAGCGTTTCATAATGGCTGACAATGGCACTCCGAACAGATTCTGTGCCTCTTCTTCCTTGAGCGAGCTGATTGCGACGAGATACCACGCAAAGACGAGCGATTGCAAGCCCTTGGGCATCTCGAGAGGTCGCTGCAGTGCGTTTGTCATGGTAACCCAGAACGTCGGGAGATGCAGAATCTTCATCATCGGGTCGACGCGGTCTTTGTAAATGTCTCTGAGCCTCGACAGCAGTGGCGTTGAGAGATGGAGTTTGACAAGCGATTCAATCTTTTCGCTCTCTGGCTCAAAGAAGAGCCCCGACTCGTCCAGATTGCCGTCTGGCTCAAGGGGAATCGCTTCTCCGACATCGTTAAAGTTGGTTGACTCTGGATGTTGGAACTAGGTGATAGGTTAGTAGGGAGGCAATGATGGCGATGGAGAAGCCAGGATATGTACTTCATCAGATAAGTTGGACCAGATGGCACTATAATAGTCAATGTATGAGAATCCATTCTTGTTCCATAGGTAGGAAGGTACAATTAGAGGAGAGTGACATACCTATCGAAATATCTCGATGCTCCCTCTTTCATGATAAACTTGGGCTTCTCCTCATTCGCACGACCAGTCTGCAACTTCAGCGGCACAACGTCGCCCCCCATCTCAGGGGTACCGTTCCCGCTGCCGCTTTCCATCTCCGACTCGGATCCTTCTCCATCCTCACAAGGCTCAATCTTGGCTCCATACGCCTTGAGCATCTCCTCATACCGCTTCACCCGCGCATGCAGCGTCTCCTTTGGCGGCTTCGTCCGCTTCCTCTTGCCACGCACCGGCGCGACGAAGCTGCATGCCCGCTCTGCCTTTACGCAGTTGATGCACGGAGCGCGGCGGTCACATTTGACCTTTCGCTGGCGACAGCTCAGACACGAGAAGCTCTTGAGGTTGTCGGCCTCAGACCGAGTCGGGGTGTCGGCCATCTCCAATCTGCGATATCTCCGTCCGTTTCCCTTAGCTTCTTTCGGTGTTGTTTGGGAGAGGCCACTAGACGAGCGCCGAAAAGTCTAGAATGTAATGAGCAAGGAGCCGAGAAAAAAAAAAGGGAGGCCGTTCCGCCTTGTTTTATGTTTGTTAAAGGAAGCATCTCTCTCTGTCTGGCGCTTCGGGGGTCGGAGGAGAAAATTTGCATTTTCGGCCCCGAGCCGCGAATCGGTTCTAGCGTTGCATGATATAAGAGACTACACGAAGAGTCATTGAGATCAACAATTCTCAAATTCTTCAGGAGTTTATAACTTTCAGATACAGATACGTGTATCTCGAGATAATCTGCTTCGACTTGCAGTAATTTCAGGTCCATCATGGCGAACTCGGTATCAGAAGGCGAGGAAAAGTCTCCTACGGCCATGACAGACTCCAGCACAGCCAAGGCGGAAGCGCCTCACCAATATCCATCCAATCAGAAGCGAATCCTCATCATGCTGGCTCTCTACATGGCAATCTTCCTTGTAACACTGGTAAGCCAACAACAGCTCAACTACCTAACAAAGCCTCAGCGTATACCACCCAAAAAAAAGGTCAATATGTTAACGGGCCGTACAGGACCAAAACATTCTTGCAACCGCCATCCCTCGCATCACAGACGAATTCAACTCCCTCAACGACGTCGGCTGGTATGGCACCGCCTACCTCCTCACCATGTGCAGCTTCCAGCTCATGATGGGAAAGGTCTACAAGTTTTACCCAGCAAAGCCCGTCTTCCTCTCCGGCATCATCCTCTTCGAAGTCGGCTCGGCAATTTGCGGCGCGGCTCCGAGCTCAGATGCCTTCATCGTCGGCCGTGCGATTGCGGGACTGGGATCGTCGGGCATGTTCTCTGGACTCATGGTCATCATGTTTAACATCATTCCCCTGCAGCAGCGACCGCTATACCAGGGCTTCTTTGGAGCCGTCTTTGCGGTCGCATCCGTCATTGGCCCCATCATTGGAGGGACATTCACGGATAAAGTGACGTGGCGATGGTGCTTCTACATCAACCTGCCGATAGGGGGCGTCTCCCTGATCGTGACCTTCCTCATCCTGCATCTGCCCAACCAAAAGCTCGATCCAGCAGCAGAGGGATGGCTGGCCAAGATCCAGCAGCTCGACCCCATCGGCAACCTCGCCTTCTTCCCGGGCATCGTGTGCCTGGTCCTGGCCCTTCAGTGGGGAGGCACCGAGTATCCCTGGGACAGCGCCCGCATCATCGTCCTCCTGGTCCTCTGCGGAGTCTTTGTTCTCATCTTCATCGGCATCCAGGTGTGGAAGGGAGAAGAGGCGACTCTACCTCCTCGCATCATGAAGCAGCGCAGTATTGCGGCTGTGGTCTGGTTCGGCTTCTTCAATGGAGGTAGCATGATGGTCGCCATGTATTATCTTCCCATCTGGTTCCAGGCTATCAAGGGCGTCAGCGCCATCGACTCCGGCATCTCGCTGCTTCCCATGGTTCTTGCGACAGTCGTCGGCTCACTGTCCTCCGGCGTCATCATCTCCAGAATCGGCTACTACACTCCCTTCTTCTATCTCAGCACGGCCTTGGCAGCCATTGGCGGAGGACTCTTGTCAATGCTTGAGCCGGGAACGGGACACTCAAAGTGGATTGCGTATCAGTTCCTATTCGGCCTCGGCCTCGGCTTTGGAGCGCAGCAGGCGTTGAACGTTGTCCAGACCGTTCTTGAGAGGTCGGACATTGCCACTGGATCTGCCCTCGTCATGTTCACTCGATTTCTCGGGTCGGCCATCTTCCTGCCAGTCGCACAGAGCGTCTTTCTCAGCACTTTGGTCAAGAAGGTGTCAAACATCTCCAGTATCGATCCAAGCAAGGTTGTTACTGCGGGCGCGACCGACCTGAAGAACCTTGTTCCCGCAGATGATCTCGAGACGCTGCTGTGGGACTACAACGATTCCATCATGCCAGTCTTTTATCTCGTGGCAGCACTGTCGTCAGCAACAATCTTTGGAAGCGTATTTGTTGAGTGGAAGAGCCTGAAAAAGCGTGCAGCCAAGGATGCCGGTATCACCAAAGAGGGCGGTGTAACCGAGGTGGCATGATAAGTTTGCCGTTTGGGGCGATTGAGTTCTCACTCACACTCTATCAAGGTATACATACCAATCATGGGTTGAATGTGACGAAGGCGGGTCGGAGCAATCACTGAAATGATGAGGTAAATGGGATAAAATTAAATGAGACTGAGATGAGATGAGATGGGAAGGACAAGGTGAATGAGAAAGATGGACCAAGATCCAGGGCATGAGATGAGAGGGCGCAGGTTAATGTATGGGGAACCTGGTCAGAGTCAACGAATCACTTCTTTGCTTGCATTAATAGATAGAATAGACAATTCGGTGATGTCATATAGAATGAATGCGATACTACTCCACTTTAACAGCCAGACATCAATAGCTTCTACCAAGGCTCATCTTCATCTAACCAAGGCTCATGCTTCTTGAACCAAGGTTCACTCCCGTTCAACCTCGGATCTCACATTTCCGATCATATCTCCGGTAGAGTTTGCGGCGAAAAGCCGTCATCTTCCTCAGCCTTGCTCGAAGCTTTGCTAATTGATTACGTCGCGCTGGTCATCTCACACTTTGACCTTCTTTCCGAGATAGCCTCGCACTTATTTCTCACCTTTGGAACATCTCCTCTTATTCTGCCTTCATCGGCCTTCTATTATTTGTCAAGTCGCTGACAGCTTCAAGCCACCATCTTTCGTCGGATACATCCTTTACGACTGATCATGTTCGCGAAGCCTGGAAAATACCAATCTGCTCCCTGTGAAGTCGGCCGGAGCTGCTATATAAACATCATCGCCTCTGCTTGTCTGATCTCATCGTTTTGATCAACCTCCTACCAGATTTTGGCCTGTAAATAAGTGTCAAGGTCAACCATTTTCTCTATACATCGCATCTTGGCCATCACCAGCATGACATTTCAGCCGACCACGCTCCCAAGCACAGACGTCCCTCCCGCATCCCTTAGACGAGATGACGTTGCAAGAGAAATCCCCGAGCTTCTGCCATTATATGACCAGTTCCCTCATATCATCTACACCAAATCAGATCCAGTGTACGAGACAATAAGCTCTGCATTCAACCTGTCAATCTCCACTCTGCCACTCGTCGTTGTTCGTCCCCTCGAAGAAAGCCATGTCCAAGCCACAGTCAAGATAGCCCGGGCCACGGGCATACCGCTAGGCATCCGCTCAGGAGGCTCCGAAATGTCGGCGCGAAATTACCGAGATGTTGACAAGGGCATCATCATCGACATGCGCAGCATGTGCTCTGTCAAGGTATCTCATGACAGGGCATCTGCGAACATTGGCGGAGGCACCATTGGAGGTGACTTAGCTGTCGCGCTCTCAAAACAAGGACTGTTCACACCCATCGGATGGCATCCCAGACTTGGCTATGCTGGATGGTCTCTGGCGGGAGGCTACGGTCTCTATTCCTCGTCATACGGCCTTGGCGTCGATCACATCATGGGCGTTCGTCTTGTCCTCGCTGATGGAAGCGTGGTCGACATCGATAAGAGTAACCACCCTGATTTGTTCTGGGCGCTGAGGGGAGCCGGAAATGGTATATGGGGTGTTGTCACGCAGCTCACCATCAAGATCTATCCGGCACCGAAACTTCTGGTCGGCACACTAGAGATACAAAAGGAAAACTGGCCGGCGGTCTTGGATCGATGGGCCAACGATATCGAGCCAAATCTTCCAGACGAGATAGCAGGCGAACTCTACTTTCGGAATCCGACGTTGGACAAGCCGCAAATGATCATCTTCTTTGCCTGGTGCGCAAAGGAAGGCGATGATCTCAAGAAGGGTTGGGAGTACTTTGAGATGATGAAGTCGTTGCCCGGAGCAGTTGTGCAGCGGATTTCAGAGTGTAGGTTCCATGCCCCAAGACATACAAATCCCGTGGTAGGACTTACTGACAAGCTACCATCAAGCCGACTTTGCCTCCTACATTCTGTCAGAGATGACCATCCAGCCAGCATCTTTCCAAACCCGCGGAGTCATCGCCAAAGGCATGACTAACAAGATCGCGCAAGTCATCATCAACAACTGGAAAGATCCGAGCTTTTACATGGGCTTTCCCTGCCATTTCATCCACGGAAAGGCCACCAAGCCAGATCCGACGGCCTGTTTCCCGCTCCGGTACCGTCACAGAATCTTTCCCATTTCTGCTCGTCACGCGGAGCTGCCGAGGACACCGGAGAGAGATGCGCTCGTGGCGGAAGCGTGTGCGCGCGTGTTGGAGGAGCTCAAGGCCACGGGCGATTGCTATGTCGGTGCCGCCTATGAGAACTTGATTCCGCCGATTGATACCGACTTGGAAGCTACGTTTGGCAAAGAGACGCTGGAGAAGCTGAGGGCATTGAAGAAGAAGTATGATCCCGACAATTTCTTCTCCAGAGGGTATCCAGTGCTGTAGCCTGCAATCCGCTGCCTACTCGGTCGCGCGTGAATAGAGCTCTCAATGTCCTCATTTCATCTCAATTCATGCATTGACGTCCCTTCATAGCCCAGCAGAATATAAAGCGGTCTCTCGGGGACAGATCTTGAGATACATATGGAAACGGTGTTGAAAACACATTGCTTGGCAGTTGCGCATTGATATTCTCCAGCTAATGGTTCTCACATAAGATCCATGAGAATAGGCTAATGGTGATCTGCTGCTCATGACAATGCATCCGAAGTGAGGCGAGCCAAGTGCTGGGCCGACTGCAGTGAGTGCCTACTGAAGAAATGTGACAGGTCAAATCAGAAGATGGACTGAAAAATCCCCTTTACGCTCACTCTGGTCGACTCGTGAAGCCTAAAAGTTCTTATCTGACTGGGCATTGTGAGACATGCGGATCTAAAATGACCGCGATTGTACGTGACGGCTCGATTTATTCGAGCTTGAAGCCCTTGACGACCTCTGAATCTCTACACTCTATTACTAGAGAATGAAATGACGTACAACTTTATGTGAAGCTTGTTGTGGGATCTTTTGCCTTGATATGTCCTCAAACAATTGCCTCTCTCGCAGGGTAGGCAGGATCCGATTAGGCTGGATCTAGCAACCGCTCACACAACCTTGCCTTTCCTCTGTATACAAGCAATCTCATCCCAATAGCTTTCAACTAAATGGCAATAATATGTCTTCAGACATCGCAGAACCAAGCCCTTAGAGAGCTTGGTCCGGTCAAGTTGGCCGTTGGTATCTGCCATGCTCAGTGAGCTTGTGATGAGGGACACGGCGCATTAGTTGCCCAGCCCACACAGCAGAGATATCTATATAGTGAATAGCCCATCGAATATCAGATAAAAAGATGCGGAGAGTCGGTCCTTTCTCTGGCATATCGTTTCGGCTGCTCGCCGAACCAGAGAATAGCATTTCTAATACAACACCATAAGCCTATCAACACCGCGTCAATCCTAAGGTGCGCGGATGGCGTCATATCACGACATTCGAACCCGGTTTCTCGCAAAGGCAAGCCGAGAGTATTGGATGTCGCCCAACAGGGAACATATTCAATAATTACACGACCAGATAGTCTTGTGACGTACTTCTCTTGGTACTCTCCTGCGATCTTGATATTCTGTTGCAATGTCTATATATCTACCTATGAGACATACAGAGTACCCGAAGGCCGACTCGGCATATCGAGGCTACCCCCGCAATCTTGCCGATGGTCAGCCATTCATAAAGGATCAGTATATAATTACCTACTTGTGATGAGTGATTTGTAGACTGCCACGAAGAAAATGCCATATTGAAGATGAGTTTCGCAAGTCAGATACCGTACCATCCTCGGTTGTGATACTGCCCCCCACGTTTGCCTCTCCCGCACGGCGGATTCGGGTTCATGATCATCCCCAATCTATGGCGCAATGCGCCTTCACATTCAGCAAACTGCGGGGAGATGCAGACGGCCGCGTCTTGGAAGGCGTTGAGCAGAGATAAGGTGCCATCGGCCTTGTCGCTGCAGCACGCAATCATAGTCTATAATTGAGGACATCAAGGATGCTCAACCGACATAAAAGTGCGATGCTCCGGTACTGGAATTGGCTATCTTGTGGCGTACACCACCAAGAAGAAATACATCTCGCCTTTTGCATTTGCTGGGCGAGGGCAGCTTAGGAAGAGGCGCCTCATTTGTTTCAATGGTCCTTGACTGCCTTCAACAATGGCTTCAGACAGCAAAGCGACCAACATCTCCATCACCACGGAGGAGCTGCCGAGCAGTATACATGACTCTGCGTCTAGCGACAGAGAGCACCTAAGGGAGCACTCGGGATCCGAAGAAGGCGGATATAACGAGGAGAAGAACCCATTTCGAGACTCAGCTGTCGCCCAGCATTGGACTGAAGTCTACGAAAAGTCACAATACGAATGTCGGCACGTCTTTGATCCAACATTAACATGGACCGAGGAGGAAGAGAAACGCCTCGTCAGGAAGCTAGATTGGCGGGTGTGTCTGTGGGCTGTAAGTCACACCTTGGCTCATGGCTGTTGTCACTTATGCTAACGGGCATTGTCACAACTTGTAGTGCGTCATGTTCTTTGGCCTTCAGGTTGATCGCGGAAACCTTGCACAGGCAGTGTCTGATAATATGCTTGATGACTTGGGCCTCACCACAAATGGTAGTATTCACTTATCAGTCCGACATCAAGTACATAGTCACTGACATGGTGATAGACTACAACTACGGAAACAGCGTGTTTAGAATATCATTCCTCGTTGCCGAACTCCCTTCGCAGCTCGTCTCGAAAATGGTCGGCCCCGATCGATGGATCCCTGTACAGATGGTTCTATGGTCTGTTGTTGCCGTATCGCAGTGTGCATTGACTGGCCGCACAAGCTTTCTCTGTACACGCAGTCTTCTGGGTCTCCTGGAGGTTGGTCCATCTCTGATCACAACATGGCTTCTACACCACAGCTGACGAATCCCTAGGGTGGCTTTATTCCAGACATCGTTCTTTGGCTGTCCTACTTTTACACGTCTCGAGAGCTGCCCGTCCGACTGAGCTACTTCTGGACATCCCTCTCAGTCACTGGCATAGTCACCTCGCTTCTCGCCTTTGCCTTGCTCCACCTGCGTGGTGTCCACGGTTGGGCAGGTTGGCGGTGGTTGTTCCTCGTCGAAGGCTTAATCACCCTCGTCGTCGGCCTCGCTTCCTTTTTCCTCATGCCTGCCTCAGCCGTGCAGACCAAGACGTGGTTCCGTCCTAAGGGATGGTTCACAGATCGCGAGGTAGCCATTGTGGTCAACAGAGTATTGAGAGACGACCCTTCGAAGGGTGATATGCACAATCGACAGGCCATTACGCCGAAGCGCCTATGGGAGACACTGAAAGACTTCGACCTCTGGCCGCTGTACATCCTCGGCTTGGTCATCTACATCCCTTCTAGTCCTCCGGCTACCTACATTACACTTACTCTGAGGAAGATTGGGTTCGATCCATTCACCACAAATTTGCTGACTATCCCATCTGTGAGCTTTCCTGAAGCACTTGATTGCCAATGGTCACTAACAGACGCTCTAGAATGTCTTCCACATTATCAACCTCGTTCTCATTACTCGACTTTCGGAATGGCTGAACGAGAGGACATTGGTGTCCATGATACAAGTCCTTTGGACACTTCCTTGTGTGATTGCTCTCCGCTGGTGGCCTGGTGTCATGGTCGATCAATGGGGCACCTACGCACTCGTCACTGTCCTGACATCCTATCCATACTGCCGTATGTGTAAACCCTATCCAATACGCCTGCGATGTCGTTTTCTCACAAGCTTATAGATGCCATTTTGGTTGGCTGGACGTCCAAAAACTCCAACAACGTCGGCACTCGTTCAGTGTCCGCGGCGATATATAACGTAAGTGGTCTGCCCTATGACCTCCAAAGTTCATTTGCTTACTCTCTTTCTTTCAGATGTGTGTTCAACTTGGCAGCGTCGTCTCTGCATATATCTATGTGGACGATGATGCCCCGCTCTATCATCGGGGCAACTTCAACCTCTTCATAATTAACGTGCTTTCCATCGTTCTCTTCCTTCTGACCAAGGTCTATTACATCTGGCGCAACAAGCAGCGCGACAAGGTCTGGAATGCTTTGACTGAGGATGAGAAGAAGGCATACACTGCGAATACAAAGGTGCGAGGCAGTGCGCGGCTGGACTTTAGGTTCGCCCATTAGCATGGATAGTGACAATCGCGATCGGATCGTGCACGTATATAGAATCAAGCTACTGATATTGATGTCTGAGAAAGACAGATCTGTCGCGACTAATGTTTCACCAAGTGCCAGGCTGCTGCCTTGTCCTAAATTCTAATAAGCCTGAACTGCGTGGGACATCTATGTACCATAGTCCCGCAGTATCCACGATTAAACTACTTAATTCCGGGCTGTCCCGTCAGGCTCCATGTTAGGCACAGAGCGATATTCGTCGGCCAACACTCCATGAACGAGATTCTGCCTCAGAGGAGTGAGAGCTCGAACCCGCAGACGCCAGCCGCAAAGACACAGGTAGCTCCTAAAAGCGTGGAGGGTTGTCAGCAAATCACTCACTGCCTCGGTGCAATATCTCAGAGACGACTATACCTGGCCAGCGAAAACAAATCAGATAATTTAGCACCAAAAGATCGTTCCGGGTTGCCTTTGTAGCAATAGTCATCATCCCTTTGGCATTTCGTCGCAATCCTGCCCAACGCATCTCTCACTTGACTCATTGCATACCGCTTGCTCGGCAGTGGAACCAACATATGATTCTCGATGAGCGAAAGGAAATCATGCATAGCATTTGAGCAATGTTCGTTTCGGTGTAGCATCCTGATCCACTACTGGGGTTCAACTAGATGACCAGAAAAGTAGAGTTAAGTGAGCTCACCTGTCTGACAGAGTGTTTGACCTTGGGATAACCAGCATAATAGTAGAAGAACTTATCATCTGAGACCTCATAATTACCCTCCTCTCGTTTCCTCAGTGCTTGGAAATTATCCAACAAATCCCCAGTCGGAGAGCCGAAGTTTTCCTCGCGAATTGCGTGGTAACCGATCAGATACCATGTGACGAATTCCAAGTAGACACATCCTAGAGTCCATACGTCGTAGCTCTGATCGATGCGTACCTTTGATGCCTGCATGACCTCGGGGGGGCGATATGTTCTCGAAAAGTCCACCCGGGTCGCGTCGGTGTAGTGAACAGTATCCGTGGAGTGAAAGCGCATCAAGGTGAAGTCTGCAACAACCAAGTAACATTCACCAGAGTCAGGTTCGCCAAAATAGAGAATGTTCTCGGGTTTGATGTCTCCATGTCGGCCTAACATTCCCGCCCGTGCTTCTTCTGACAACCGCTCGGTGCTACCATGGACTTTGGTCAACGCATCCGAGATATCGAAGCATTGTTGAATGAGCCACATCGAATGGCGTCCTGACTTGGGGTTGTTGAAGGTATTCTTCCAGAACTCCACGAGATTTCCCTGTGCCCAGGGAAAGACGAGGTAGTGTTTGCCACCTCTGCTATACGATAGTAGCAACTTGATAAGATTCTTGTGTTCATTTTCTGCACTGCGAAATCGTATCAGGGCATCTCTTTCTTGTTTAAATTCGTGATACTGGACTTGAACTTTGAATCTCTTCAAAGCCAACCGACGGGTTTTAGAACCGAGATTCTGTATGTCATAAGAGTTAATTCGGCTACTTCGAAGTCATCGGGGTCTTACCAAATCGTTTTCCAAGACTTGATGGTCGGGATGTATCCTGATCTGGGCGATTTCCCCATGCGCTCCGCTCCTTTTCCACTCCAGCTTTTCTAAGAAGGGCATGCGAAAGTTCTTCTTCCATTCGACATGCTTTATTGCCCTGAAGTCAAAAACAGGTGCAATTACCACGTACTGCTTCTCGCAGAAGGTCTCGATCTCGTGCGCGCTCCAGTTCCAGAAAATCTCGGCCTGATGATCGAGCGGCAATGGCAACTTGTCGTCCCGTATGCCAAGCTCAAGGAATACGATAATATGCTCGACCCTCTCTATCATGATGAGGGTTGCGAGTATTTTGAGGCTTGGTTCGCACCCCTCTCCCCGTATCTCTGAGCACATGGCTTCTGCCATCTCACTGCCACAATCGGGTAATTCCCCTAATATGCTGGCTATCGACTCTCGGGATAAGATGGAGTCCAGGTCGCCCAACGGGAGAAATTGCTTGTGTCCTGCATCTCCACTTTCAGGTATAAGCTTGGAACGAAGCTGCTTGCCCGCTATCACCTTCCATGGCTCGTTCATATCGTTTGGTGGTTTAGATTGCGAAGTTGCCATAATTGGTGGCTTTGTGAGGAGCGCATGTTCCTGTTTGTCGTACGGAAAGGTAAGGTAATCAGCCTATGGATGAGGAATCGCATTTGAATCGGTGTTACCTCAAAGGTGGACGTTGATGAGTTCTTTGACAATGTGGGCATTGTTACACTATTCGCTAAGCTACTTTGTGCAGCATAGATAGGCCGCATATAAGCTTCAACTGCCTTACGATATGTCAAGGTTTGCTTTTGGGAGCAAGTAGCTGCAAGTATCTAAAGGTAGATATAGTTGTTGTCCTCTGAGGCGACTATACTGAGAAGGCGTCAAGGCGTCAAGGCGTCCAGACGCCTCCATTTCCCCCATGACTTACAATGGCAATGGAGGATAGTTGCGGTCCTCCGTTCAACACCATCAGGGAAATGAAGCTATACTTGACTCGGCTCATGTTAAGCCACTAACCTCCCAAGGCCTTCCGTCGGCTGGGAAATCGTAAAAAGTGAATGGAAAAGCATGGGGTTTGTAGGTGGGCTTCCATTAGCAGGATTCCATCACCTCGAAGTGAAGGTCGTTGCCTCTGTAGCCTCGGAATCCTCAACTCCCGCGAAGGGTGCAGAATATGCAGATTTCGGTGATGGATCGTCAAGTCAGGCTGCCGAAGAGCCTCACATATCAGCTGAACATGGTGCTTCTTCATCAGCGGCTATGGCCTTGCAATCAATCACGCGCGCATTGGTGCCTTGTCGTTGACAGGGATGCGATTCGTCAAGGCGGCAAGGCAGACTAGGTATGTATAGTGTGGTCGCCACAAGACCTGCGCCCACAGCAATGCCAGGAGATAGAGACGAATGTAGTTAATTCACGGGAGTCCAGCCATCCTGTAGTAGTTGGGCCTTGGACCGCTGAAATCGGTACAGCTTATTGATTCGTTTAGCAGTGCCCCATGTCTGACCCTTAGATGCAACGATACGTGGCATTGCATGGTATGTCTGTGGCGACGGCAAGGAGCCTCATCCCCGACACGCAATATTCTTAATATACCAAAATCCGGAGAACCTCTTCCTTCTTCTACACCAGCTGGCTTGCCATATAACTACGTCATGGGCTTGAGTTCGGAGCCAAATCTCAGATAAAATACCCAATTTCTATCCACGAGGTCAATCTTCCTGTCCACTACTGAGGACGAGAACAAAGATGGGCGACTCCACCGCGATTATTACCTTCGAAGACATTTTTTTCCGTTGTGTCAACAACCCAGATGGAGGGGAGCCGAACCCCAAAGAATGCAGCTTCTTCCTTCCACAGGATGAGGCCGATTCGCTCGTCGTGGAGGACAAAGTTGCCGCAACGTTAGTGAAGCTGCTCGAAATGTCTGCAGAGGATGCCGAGAAATTAGCGGATTACGTCGTCAAATCAGCAAAGAAAGTGTTTCTCACGCTCCTATACACGGACACAATCGAGTTCATCAATGATCTGCAAACCGCCGGCTTCAATGACGAGCATCTTCCAGTGTGCTATACCCAAAACCCATCCGGCGCTCCCACGGGTCATGAAGTGTGCAGTCTACGTCCGGAGCTTCCGTCGACTTCGCGTGTACCTCTGGAGGGCTTCGCCAATTGGGGACTTCGCAAAATTGCGGAATTCGGCCAAAAGCAATGGATATTCCTGTGCCCCGTTTTCGATGACACTGAGTTCATCTACCAGTTCTCCAAGGAACAGCGCCTACCTTTCATGCCTGCGGTGAATCATGGCGAGGGCGCAGGGCATTTTGGTCTTGTCCAGAGGCTTAAACTCCATCCCGCGCATTATCGCACGGGGTCAAGCGTACGCATCGTCGGTAGCCTATGTCTTAGAAAATTCCGCTAACGTTGCTTCAGTCGATCAGGAGTACCGACTGCGACGGCGATGGGCCTATCGAGGTTGCTTTGAAGTATCTGCTTCAGGACGGCCGGCCGGCAGAAAGAGAGAAATTCTATAAAAGGGAGATGGAAACATTGCAGATGATGAACAAGCTGAACAACAGACATTTGATCAAGGCCATCGCGACATACAAGAAGGGATCACAGATGTACTTCCTTTTCCCATGGGCCGACGGGGGCAATCTTGAGGATTTGTTTCACAAGGGCCAGGGGAAACTGGACGAGACACAAGCGAATTGGGCTTTCGCCCAGATGATCGGACTCTCAGCCGGCATTAGCGAACTCAACAGCAGCAAATTTCGCCATGGAGACATCAAACCGTCCAACATTCTCTGTTTTGGCATCGGGGCTGGGACATCGAACGACTGCAGGCTTGTGATTGCTGACGTTGGTCTTGCAAAATTTCACGCAGAATACACTCGAAACCGGAACAAAAGTACAACGACCAGGCACGGCAGCATGACATACGAACCTCCGGAGGTGTTACCAAAGACAGGGAGTGCCATCCTCTCCACGAAGCGCTATGACACATGGTCCTTAGGCTGCGTCTTTCTCGAGTTTCTCATATGGCTTCTCTACGGCGGTAACGGACTTAAAGCCTTCTACGAGGACCTCAACAAAGACCCCAATAACTGCAGGTTCTGGAAGGATTCGTTTTGGCTGGGCCAACGGCGTAGACATCCGGCGGTTTCAAGATGGATCAAACGACTACAGGCCGATCTTCGGCATCCGTCGGCTTTCCGTGACTTGGTCGCCACCATTAAAAAAAGCATGTTGGTCAGGATAGAAGGACGGAAGTCTTCCAAGGACTTGCACCAGGAGCTGCTGAAGATTCAGGACAAAGTTTCGGATGACCCAAAGTATCTTTATAGCTCTGATCTTGAGAGGCTGGCATCGCGGAGAGCACCCGCATCCGGAACAACGGTGGATCAGGGCGTCATCAAGAATCTCGCAATCCAAGTAAGCTACACTTTCTGCGTGAATATCTGAGGAACGGCATGCTGTATACTGTTGACTGACTCGATCGATCTAGTACGTGAGCAACCAGAGAGCCAAAAGCCAATCATTTCTCCAGCGGTTGCTAACAAAGGCTCGCTCGGGACTTGGAGAATGTTTGTAATATCCCAAACCTCATAAGTCTCGAGCTTCTAACCCTGTGTAGCCTGTGAGTGCTACCCATATCATGGCACCTTACCACTATCAAGTACCGAGAATGCTGTTCGACTAACACAAGCCAGCGCTCCAGTAGGCTTTATGATAGATGGCGAAATGCTGCAGAGAACGATTGGGCGATATCCCTTATACGCAAAGTAGGATGGTCAACCCTTAGGCCACCAAAACGTGCGGCGAATACCTGTCAATCTTATCGCATATTTGACTCTGAGGATCCAGTTGCGATATTGCAATCTATCGCGAACCACGTAGGTTGTGGCTCTAATGATTGTTTCTGGTGCCACCTTTTGCGCGTCTGTCATGCAAAAGTCAAGCTTAGCTCGGGAAAACCGGTATCCTACGTCCTCGATGAGGCTTCACACGTCTTCCGCAATGTGTTTGATGACCGCGCTCTCATCTCCATCTACTCAGATCCAGGTTGGCGACCCCGGTACATGGTGTTCCAGCGCTGAGCTAACATGGATTTTGACATTTGCTTTCTTAGCTTCCGGGTTTGCTCCGCCGTATGCACAAGTTGGATTACCCATTCTCCCAAACGCTGGTAGCCCCCAGCAATTTAAGCTTCTGAATGCATGGATCAAGCGGTGCGATGAATCCCATAACTGTCTGCCTCATAAAGAAGGCACGGATGAACGTGTCCTGATGCCTACGAGGGTGATCAAGGTTGGGCTTCGTCGTTTGCGCCTTGTTGAAACGAGCAATGGCATCAGCGGAAAGTATGTCGCTCTAAGCCATTGTTGGGGCAGACTCACGAAGGAGCAGAAGTTTTGCACGTACCAGAGCAATATTGAGGCCCTTAAGAAAGACATTCCATACAAGTCTCTTCCCAAGTCATTCCAAGACGCAGTCAGGGTCACACGTGCTCTGCGCGTCCCGTATCTTTGGATAGATTCCATTTGTATCATTCAAGAGGACGAAGAAGACTGGAAATCTGAAGCTTCCAAGATGGAACAAGTCTTTAGCTCTGCCTACTGCACCATTGCCGCAAGTTCTGCCACTTCTTCCCTTGATGGATTTCTCGGGAAACGAAAGCCGAGGGCTTGCGTCAGCATTCGGACGTCTCACGGTCCTCTATACCTTGCGGAAGCAATTGACGACTTCCACGAACATGTCGAGAAGAGTGTCCTTAGCACAAGGGGATGGGTGTTACAAGAGCGAGCTCTTTCTCGTCGCACCATCTACTTTACGTCAACCCAGGTCTACTGGGAATGTGGTGAGGGCATATTCTGTGAGACTCTTGCCACGCTACAAAAGTAAGGACACAGAAGCGCAATCTAGCCCCTCATTTATCGCTTGTGCAATGGCCAGTTGCTGATTCTTCTCCCGCAGCCCGCATTCACGATTTATCGGCGACGCTCATTTTCCCGCATCTGGCCTCGAATTCTATAAAGATGGACGCATACGGCTCATTCAGCACCTATATGAGGTCTACAGCAAGCTGCAGCTTACAAACGCCGGTGACCGCCCTAAGGCGATACTAGGACTACAGAATCGGCTCGCTTACACTTTTGGATCACGAGCTGACTACGGTGTCCATTGGAATTACCCCGAAAGAACCCTCCTCTGGCGAGCCGAGAGCCCTGGTAAGCTCTGCCGCATATCGTTCCAAACCCAGGATGCAGTCCCTTCTTGGTCTTGGATGGCGTATACCGGCGCGATCACGTATGTGGACATTCCTTTCAAAGAGGTTGATTGGATGGGGAATCCCCAGATTCCTTTTGGGCCTGGAGACCAGAATGGCGAGTGGAACGGCCTGCTTTGTGCGCAAGCCAGGCCACTGCGCATTGACAATGACCAGCTTAGAGAGAGAATGGTTCTTGACTCAGGCGACTCTATGTTCTGCTCAAAGGGATGGAAGTGTGTTGTGGTTGGGAAAAGCAAGACGAGGACGAAGAATGATGCCTTCCTCCATTATGTCTTGTTGGTGCGTCCTTTATCAGGCGCAGCTGAAACTTACGAACGAGTTGGCGTGGCTTCCCTTTTGACCGATCACATCTCTGCAGAGACTGAAGTTGTCTTTCTTGCATAACATCTGGAACTCGGCGTTTGCATTTCTTTGACGAAGTTGTTTTTATCTATGTTCATTCAAATATCATCCAGATTGACCTTGCTTAACAACTCGCTCGCTCTACCTCTAATCGAACACAGCGTTGTTTGCTGTATGTACGACTGATTAGCAAGCTGATCGCCCATCCCCGCGCGAGGTTATCAATCTTATGGTTGTCTTTGAATCGCGTGGCTGACGGATAGATGCGCATCACCTATGGAATCTTAAGGGTTTTGGCAACTTTTCCCGAACATAACCAGGTGTCACGGTGGGTCTATCGCTTTAAACATAGTCCAAAGCAAGAGAACGTCGAGCAAAGTCAAGTGTAACGACAAGGATTGATACAGTATTATTCATCTGTATACTCATCCCGTCCTTGCGGAAATATGATTGGTAATGATGGGATGCGGTATAGCGCATAGAAGTTGTGCCACATCAACCACGTCAGGAGATGTCATGACGGCGAGCGAGCCTTTCCGGAGAAGAAATAACTATGTTATAAGAAGGGCTTGTTCTTGCTCGGAACGTGAAGTTTTGAGGCATGAGTCTCACTTGGAATCAGAGATCTCATCAAGATGCGTCTCAATATCCTATCCGCGCTCGTCGTGTCCGTCACCGGCGCGTCAGTGCTTTCCAACAGACACTCTGATAAAGATTACAAGTTGAGACCCTTTACTCTCAGTCTCGACAGCCGCGTTCCTCGGATGCTTGAATTGGTCAAGAACACGCAACTTCCCGATGCTCCTGAATACCCTGACCTCTCGCCGGATGCTGGGATCCCATTGAGCACTCTGCAGTCATTACGTACCGAATGGCTGACGAAATTTAGCTGGAAGAAAGAGCAAGCTGCCATCAACAAGTTGAGTCAATTGAGTTGCCCTCCTCACGGCGATCATCACTAATTGTGGATCAGATATCCTCAGTTTACTGCAGAGATTGAAGGCCTCACAATCCATTTTGTGCACCAAAAGTCAAGGGCACCAGACGCTATTCCGCTGGTTTTGTTCCATGGCTGGCCGGGGTCGTTTTTGGAGTTTCTTCCCTTAGTCAAGGATCTTACCAGCAAGGCAAAGACACCAGCTGGGAAATCAGTCGCATTTGATGTGATTATTCCCAATCTTCCTGGGTATGGGCCGTCGACGGCGCCTCCAGCCAATTGGACCACCGCAGACACGGCCAGAATCATCAACACTCTCATGACGGAAGTCCTTGGATACAAGACATATGCCACTCATGGGACAGACTGGGGCTGTTCCGTCGCGTATCATCTGTACAGCTCATACAACACTACCGTGCGTGCATCTCAGCTGGTGTTTTTGCCATTCTTCCCATACACGCCCGATCAGCTCACTGATGCGGGTATTGCGTTAAACGAGCTTGAGCAATTTGAAGAGGGAAGCTTCATGGAATGGTATACCAGTGGCCAAGGTTACTTTCAAGAGCAGACGACCAAGGAAAGTGTTTCCGGCGTCTGAGTCAAAAGAGAACAAACAGTTGACAATTGCTTTAGCCCAACACCATTGGCCTGGCGCTATACGACAACCCAGTTGGGCAGCTCGCTTGGATTGGCGAAAAGTTCCTCAACTGTGAGTCCCCTCAGCATGCTAGTGATTGTCATCTCCTAACGTTGCCAAAATCCCAGGGTCTGATCCTCGAGCGGGTACTGATCCTTCGGTCCTGACGCACAATGAGATCCTGGCGGCCGTCTCGCTGTACTACCTCACCAAGTCGTTCAACTCGGCGGGCTTCATCTACTATCAGAACCAAAATGGATTCGCCACCAATTACACCAAGGCCCAAACAGATGCGCCATTGCTGTTCAGCTCATTCAAGTATAACGTCGCGTTCTGGCCGCCTGCGCTGGTGGAGAAGACTGGCAATCTGGTGGTCTACAACAGTGAGTGTGACCCCCGGTTAGTTGACGATTCAACGCTGACTCTTCCTACCTTAGATCACAACTTCGGTGGACACTTTCCTTCGCTTGATAATCCTCCAGCGATGATTGCCGATCTTCGACAAATTGCCGACTATTGGGAGTAGACTGAGGTCTAGTCTGAAGCCACATCCGGGGACACTCATGCTCTGAGCTTATCCGATCATCTGGGACACGCGTATTGCGTTGAGCCAAGCCCCGAAATACACACTACCTAGTCATCTCAAAAAATGCCCGTTGACAGGTTCAAGAAATGCCCAAACCGTTCCCTTGTTCCCTTTCTTGAATCTTCGCGTGTAAAAGCGTAAACGCAGTAAAGTCCGAGATCCGACTAGGTACTCGGCCAACCGGCCATACCTAGTAGTACAGCCACACACAGCCCGTCTGAAGGATTTGGAGGATTCGGATCGTCAGTGAGGACCCAAAAGTCTCGTCCAATGATGTGATGACGCGGCATAGAGAAACGCCTTGACAACGCAGTGGTGTCCCATCTGACCGTAAATGGCTAGGCTGGTGCTCGTTCTCGTTTATGTTGCCGCAATCCGAAGCTACATGTACCCCTTCGCCGCCCTCGTCATCGTTTAAGCACCCTCGCTTGATGTTGTATCAAAGCAGTACTGTATCTACAGCTCCATCACATCAACAATGAACATGACGACAACGCTGCCATTGGTGGGTGGACGTGAGGAGAAGCCGCAGCAGACGCAGACGCAAGCCCAGCAACCACGCAAGAAGCACGCGAAGCTATTCCACAAGAAGAGTCGGACTGGCTGCCAACGATGTCGAATCCGTCGTGTCAAGGTATGTCGGCTCCTCGATAGGCACAAATTTGAATGCCCAAGTGAGCCTGCGTCGCCAACATTGAAACAGTGTGATGAAGCCAAGCCCATCTGCAACAATTGCACACGACTGGACCTCGAGTGCGGCTATGGGCCTCCCGCAAGCTCCCCCGCGAGCGAAGGCGATGCCGTCAGTACCTCGACTGCATTAAGCGTCGAACACGATCTGGTCGATTCGCATGGCATCCTTTACCTTCCCGAAACAGAAGCCCGTCGAAAGCTCGAGCTCGAGCTCTTCTACCACTACGCCACAGAAACAGCCCCGACCCTGGGCACAGAGAAATCCGCCCAAGACTTCATTGGCCCAGCCCTATGCCGCGCGGCACTGCAGTCCGATGCCGTCCTCTACGGACTCTGCATGCTGTCGGCACTTCACAAGGCGTACAAGTCCAATTTCAGCGAGCCGCAGCACATGCAGCATCATTCCACATATCTCAACCTCACCCTCCAGTCGCATCACAAGCACGTGGCTCGCCTAGATATCGACAATGTGGATTATTCCTGCATGGTCTCGAGTACTCTTCGCGTCTATGCCTACGTACAGCTGCAGCGGCGAGAGCTGGAGCCCTATACGCCACCTATAGAGTGGCTGCGCATGTCCAATACCAGCACCATTGTGTTTCGTAAAGCCCTCGCCTTGATTGAGAAGAACCCCGGCTCTCTCAGCGGAAGGTTGACGCTTGAGATATCTCACCATCTGGATGAGAAGCGGAGGCTGGAGCACTCTGACGAACTGCTTTACCTTTTGCGACGCCAAGAGCCACACGAGCTGGAAGAAGAGTGGGATGACGACGTCTACCACGTCTACAGACGCACGCTCAGCTGCTTCGGCTGGGTCTGGAAGCACAGATTCGTCAGCCCTCCACCCCCCGGCATGTCTCGGAGAATATATCTCTTCCCCATGATAGTGGACGCCCAGTTTGTGGATTACGTGGCGCAGAGGCGGCCACGAGCGCTGGTGGTTCTGGCTCATTACTTTACGCTTCTGGCGCTTCACCGCGATTTTTGGTATGTCGGGGATGCTGGGTTCCGTGAGGTGAGGGCGATAGCAGCCGAGGTGCCGGCTGAATGGCAGGGCATGTTAGCACAGCCATTGGAGTTACTGGAGAATCCTTCCTTGTTGTGCAAAATACCAAGTTATAGATAGATAGAGATTTAGTAGGAATAGAGACAGAGCAATAGACGACGATCACGGAGGCCTTGCATCCGGCCAAATCCCACAGGAATGCTGCTACAGGGGGACAGCTTCGCGTAGCTGAGCTGTGGATCCTGGATCTGTCTGATGCAGGGATTGTAAGACTTTAGTTTGCTCCCTGCTTCGTCGAGATCTGCCGTCGTTCTCGTTCGCTCCCCGGTTGACTGCAACGGCGTTCATCCTTCGATCGGCTAGCGGGTCCTGAAATCCCCTGATGGTACTAAAGACGTCAAAGGTAGACAATGACCTCAGCAAACACAAGATATATATAGGTAAAACAATCTCCATGTGTTCTCGACTGCCATCACCACAACTCAAGCTACATTGACAACCTCCAACGCCGTCCATCGACTTGCAACAATGGCCACCGACGCTCTGTCAGCCGCCAAACTGGCCATCTACCTCGTCCTCATCCAACCCGCACTTTTCTGTCTGTGGAAACATGGGAGAACTGGATTCCTGGGCTGGTTCTTTGTTCAGATCTTCTGTGTCCTCCGCATCGCTACCGGCGGCATTGGCCTTCACGGAAACCCAAAAGATGAGGCCGCTCTGATCCTCAGTAGCATTGGTCTTTCTCCTTTACTTCTAGGCATCTCAGGCATCCTATACGAGGGGTAAGTTTCTATCTTGAACCTTGCCTTAAGGGCCTACATTCAACGTTTGACATAGTCGCCGCGCTGTGAATCCTCGCCTCGATCGAAAACGAGACATTATCCTCGAACTCGGCTATCACACCATCGTCAACCTCGGGATGGTACTCATCGTAGTCGCTATTGTCAAGATCATGAAGGGCGATGTGGAGCCGAAATACAAGTCTCTACTCTACGTCGGCCTGGCAGTCTCGTGCGTCTCCTGGGGAATCCTCACGCTCTGGGCAGTGTGGTCGTATCTCATGGCCCGCGAGAATTCTTCGTACGCCAGCATGCAGACTGTCGATAACGGCAAGATCGTACGTCGCCCAAGCACACTCAGCTGATTGACATTCAAGGTTGGCTAATGGGATTCTTCTAGTTGATCAAGGGTGCTTTCGTCGCCCTCCCGTTTGTCGCAATCCGCCTTGCGTACGGTGTCGTGTCCCTGCACCTGCAAGTGACGCACCCCGGTTCCGGATTCCTCACATCTGAGGCTGTTCAGGTCTGCCTCAGCTTCCTACCGGAACTGATTTGCATCTCCATTCTTGTTTTCGTCGGTGTCATCACTCGCTCGTTGAGGCCGGACTTGAAGAAGAGGGAGCAGGAGGCGATCGGACTTGTCTCTGACCAGGAAAATGTGCTACAACAACAAACAGAGTATAAGTGAGTGTGCAGCCCAAAGTTGGGTTAGTTCAAGCGGCCTCCATCATGCTTTCATAATAAATAGCGACAGAATTCCAAAGAGGATTTTTTCAGTAGGGATACCCCTTTGTAAGGTTGTGTTCACGGGATCTTGTAATCGTTACTGTTGTTTGTACTTGTTAGAATTTCGTGGGATCGTTAAATAGAGTCGTTATTTGACGCAAAGTCTCGAGCCTTTCGATGATTTAATATCCTGCCGTATTGGTACCGTGATGGCTTTGTGACGGATGAGAAACGTTCACTATTCTTCTCGCGGCCGGGAGACATATAAGGCGTTTTTCGAGGCTTCAAGTCGGCCAAGGCAGGAGGCAGGCCGAGAGGTGGCAGTGTGGTAGATCGAATCTGACGGACGGGAACTATACGAAGGATCTCGATCGAACCGTGGTGTGACTCTTTCTGGACTTCATGTCAACTAGGTACTTTGCAGTGGATGGGGTTCACTTACTCGTGGTACAGCATTCAATGGCCTCAGTAGAATTTCTGGAGGCTATGCTGACACCCATTCTTTACCGCAACGGCTTGCAGAGTCATCTTTTGCTACGTCAAATCAGCCACGATGTTCCCTGAGTATGGCCACAACAAAGACACTTCGGTGACGGATGTCTCTCTTTCGATATAGACAACGCACGACTTTTCAACGGTATTTGTGAACCAGGCTATTGTTGTACAGACGGAAAGCGCGTGTTTTGCCGAGTTGTCTGATATGCGGGGGCCTTCGTTCGGCATGGACGGGAAGATGGAGCTGGGAAGCTTGACGGCGTGCTGGCTTTCGAAACATGGATCGACTTTTTGTGATCAGTTACTGTTCCTCGTGCAAGTAAGGGGTGAAAATAATCAGCTGGGAATGAAGGCGCCTTGTCAAGGCGGGACCATCTGTCGTGCATCGTGTTCGCGGGTCGAGGATCGCTTCCTGGAAGTGCTTTGGAGGAGATCCTCGTGGCGCACGGTGCTGCATTGCAAGCTTCAGGGAAGAGGGGGGCTAGGACTCCGTTGGTTTCTGGAGCCGGCGTGCTGGCCCATGGTTGTGAAAAGAGGTACGATGGGTGAGAATGAGGTGAAAGAGGGACTTGAACAAAGTTGAAGATGACGGGAATGTTTCGTGCATGGCAGGCGTACAGCCGTCAATTTGCGGGAATGCCCGCAGTGACGTGTCCCACACGAGCACAGCGGTTGGTTACAGGTGCTCGAGCCACTAACTGCCCTACCATATCGGCTGAATGCACCCCAGATTACGATCTAGGTCCGTGCCCTCTCACCTTGGGTTAGGTGAGTTCGATCATCTCATCATCTCATGTCCATGGGAGTTTGTCGTATTTTTCTCTCCATCTGTGACTCCAAATGTCTACACTCTCCTTTGTCAAACAATTATTCAAAATGTATACGACATGTATACGCCTAGGTCCAGCAGCGTGACTTCTCCGACAGGCCTTGGATGTTTCCCGAGTTTTATCGCTATCGTTATCGGTATGATAACGCTTGTAGCCGAGAAACGTGGGCTAGGGCATCAATGACGCATGGTAGAGGTAGGCAAGGCGCCTTCCTTGATATTCTCCTGCCTGCCATCTCAACAGAAAGCTGTCCTGTTGTTTAACTCAAATCTTCACAACAACCACCAATAGCCATGCGGCTTTCTCGTCATGGGCTCCGTCGTCTCCCTCTCACAATCTTGACCAGCCACTAACATTCTTCTTCCAGGTCTAGTCCAACCGTGAGACATGTCTGCAGCACCCTTTTCACCGAAGAGCGCCGGACAGCAGATGCTTCGGCTCCCGGGATACTCGTTGCTTGTGCCATAGAGCTGGCGATTCACGGCAATATCGGCGTACTGTCTTGCGGGAATACACATCTGCCTCCAATTTTACATTGTTCCGCAACGATCGCAGTCGTTTTGAGCAATGGCTCGCGGCATCGCAAACGCCGCCATAGCGACAGTAACATATGGCCCATCACCATGCTCCGACGGTGACAACGATCGAAACCCAGGTTGGTCTCTCCTTGTGCGTCACACAATCCAGTTTACAGTTGTTGAAGTTCGCTAATGTGGCCTCTGAATCTGTCATCCATGCAGCCGGCACCGGCTACGATCATTAAGTGCGACTCGCTGTCGCTGTGTGAGATTCCTTGCCGCTGATGATCCTCCAAAAGTCGAGATTGACAGCAGATATCGATTGACATACAGGCTTCGACTTACCAGCCAACATGGCAAGATAGCCGCGCTCGACGCCGACGCTCCATATCCCTGACGAAACATACATAAAGGGAGCAGCACCGTCTGGGTAGAGTGGTAGATGCAGCTGACAAGTCGCATCCAGTTGTTGGCACAGGGCCATCGTCTTGACTCACCAATATCGGCTCCTGAAGACAACGTATGAATTAGATCTTCGGCGACATGGTCTAGGAAATATCGACAGCTCTGAAAGTACGATCTCGGCTTATATACACTGTGGGCTTTGCTAACATGATTGTGGAATGATAGCCTATACCGCAGTAATACCTCTCGTTACGTTTCCCATACGGTGGCTCCATCAGGACAGTCAACTACTCACGGTCGATCGCGCCACATGCTCACGAGGCTGCCACGGACTTATGATGCTCCATTGGTACGGATTCGGATTATCTAGGAGTTTGGACGATTTTATGTGGCGGTGGAAGTGCTGCTACATGTCGGCGTTGCCGCGGCCTTTCGCCTCATCGACCGGCTACGGTCGGTCGTTCTTCAATCCTTGTTTCACCTCCTCCCATATACATCTCTCGTCTTCTTCTTCTTCTTCTCCCTCGCTCCCTGCACGCTCGTCCTCCGGCCTGCTTTTTCTCAATGAAGTTTCTGACAACTCCGATGGAGACTCGTGGATCGAGGCACCAACTCCCACACGATGTATCGACTGGCTACCATCGCCATCGAATAATCGGTGAGCTAGTCAGGGATAAGTTTTATGACAACCGCCACGAGATAAAGTTCAGCTTCTTTACTACATGAGGTAAGGTTCATCGGTTAAGCATAAAACAGCCACGACCTTCAGATAAGGCACTCAAGAACAAATCTCCGTTTCTTCGTCCGTCGCAGATCCCACCGCATTGTCGTTCTTGCAATCTCACGACCAGGCCATGACGCCGTGATTTCTCTCGGGAAGCGAGCACTTTCACGTTCATCTGCGAATATACTCAAGATGTATCAACGAATCTTCGGCGTGACTCTCTCCCTCTTGGCCTTTACACCGACCGCCAATTCCCAGAGCAACAAGCCGCTGAAATGGAAGGAATGCGATCCCCCGAGCCCATACCCAAACGTCCAATGTGCCAAACATCCGGTGCCTTACGACTGGGGCTCGGGACTCAGTCAGTACACGGCAATGAGCGTGATGCGCGTCAAGTCGCGCACCGAAAAGCCCAAAGGCACAATCTTCCTCCCCTCCGGGCCAAAACGCTCCGGCACCAGGCTTCTCAAGCAGTACCTTGGAGAGAACTCGTCGGCCGCGATGGAACTGCTCGACGAGTATCACATCATGGGCCTGGACGTTCGTGGCATATCGGACCAATCACCCATCAAGTGTAACGCAACTCGATGGAACAGACGCGTGCCTAGCATGCCCAAGAATTTGACACAGTATAACAGGATGCAGCAACACTGGAGGAAAATTGCAGAGGAGTGCAGGGAGATGACGGGGGAGCTGCTGTTTGACCACATGGACACATCCACAATCGGACAGGATATCGAGAACGTCCGGTACAATAATTGGGAGCTTCCGCCCAAGAATCGCAAGATGCACATGATCGGCCTTTCGTGGGGCGCGCAAATCGGGCTCGCCTACGTCGAAAAGATCTCCGCGTATATGGGCAACATTGTGCTGGACGGCATCACTGATCACACACAGGGCCCGATCGGCACCATCATGGCCGAGTCCGCGGCCTTTGAGACGACGCTGAAGCACTTCTTCGACTGGTGCAGGGCTGAATCTTCTTGCGCACTACACAGTCAGCCAAATCTCGAGCACTTCTTCACTGAACTTGCTTCCAAAGCCGAGAACAAACCCATTACCGCACCCAATTGTAAGCAGGACGCAGGCGAACATTCCTGTCGACCCAACGTCAATCTGGAGGAGATGATGTTGAACGTGCAGAAATACCTGGCTTCTGGGCCACCCGGATGGTCGTTTCTAGCAGAGAGCCTGTTGGATGCTTCCGAAGGAGACGCTTCCGCCCTTTCTGCCCATTGGTTCACGTGCGAGACCGATCCAACCTCCACTTGGGCCTCCCTCCTTACTGGTTGTCAAGATTGGATACCTGCCCGCGATTTTCTAGAGCTCTTAGGAACCCAGCGAACACTACGAATCCTCTCTCCTCTGACACGCGGATATACGCAAAGCTTCCTGTACTACTCTAGATGCATTTCCTGGCCTCGGAAGCAGAAAAGAGTGCAGAACGGACAGCGCCCATTGTTGCAAGAAGGGAAGTCAATCAAGCCCCTTTTGCTCGTCACCTCCGCCTTGGACCCCATATCCAGCGCCCAGGGGGCCATATCGCTACGCGCTCAGATTCCACAAGCTGTTCTGGTGTACACAAACAAGACGGGACATGAGAGTTATGGCGCGCGAGGAGATCTTACCTATATAGTCAACAGCGTTTTCAGAACAGACTCGTTTCCACAAGACGGATCTGTATATCAGACATGAAGTACAACATGTGGAGGATTTCTGTTTCGAGCTTGTTTGTTTGGCGTCGGAGCTGCATTGGAATCAGGGTGATGCTGCTGGCTTTTTCATGTTTTCTTCTTTTGCTGTTTCATTCCGTATTTCTCTTTCCTCTATAGTAGTCCCATCAGGTTTGGTATGTATGCCAGTCAATCTTGGATAATTCCATTCCCCTATTCTCTTGTCCAGACTGATGCCTCGTACTCATCCATCCAACTGACGTATTCGTCGCCCGCCGTTGCCCAGCCTTTAATGCCTCCCAACAGCACCAAACTTTCCACATCCGTCTCGCCGCATTTGGCGAGGTAATCGTTGAACCAGGCAGCGGCTCGGGGGCCGCGGCCTCGAGAAGAAGCTGGGTCAAACGCACATTGGTAAGTGCCGTTGAGCTTTCATTGCGGTGAAGAACATCTTACCGCAAAACCAAATGACTTTGACTATCCCAGCGGCTTTGATCAACCGAAAAATGGTAGGAATGCTGGGATATAGGCTCTGTGCTGGCAAGTTGATGGATCCTCGAATGAGGCCGCCCTGCAAGGGGAACATCAGAGATCTACCATTGCCTCCTTGGCCCAATCCACTATCATACCTACCTCATGATCATTCCTGCGAAGGTCTACCAGTAAATATTTCCTCGTCCCGTGTTTCATCATGTCCAGAACCTCATCTCGCCAAATTGACTTTGCCACAGTGTCTGGAGCTGGGTAAGCAGCGTGCCAAGGAATTGTTGTCGAGTCTGTGCCAGGCATTGTGCCCGACATTGTGAACTTCAGCCAGGAGAACTTTTCGATCGCACCTATGCTGAGCACCGTGGGCATGCGATGGCTTCAATAATGCAGTTCGAGAGGGAGTGTGTCATGCCCTAAAGCTCATTGGCCACCTCCACAGGCTAGCTCTACCTGCATCTGTAGATGGACTTTCCTTGTCCTCCTCCTTCAGAAAACCTCTTGGTCGCTCGCAGGTAACTGTTGTTGCCGTCATTGTTTGACAGTGGATAGCCAAGGCAAAACCGTCTGCTTTCAACGGAAGCATTCGGCGGTTGTTTGTCATCGTGTTATCGATCGACCAGGAGAACCCAGACGAGTGTTGTTCGAGAGAATCATCGACGATGTGAAGAGGCGACGACTAGTATCTAGAAGATTATAATCGAACAAATCAGCGTTTGTCTGTCGGGCGTTTGAGGGCGCAGTTGCCCGCCAAAGCAGCGTCGCAATATATAGGCAGCGAGAGACTGTCAACAGCCAGCCGCCATGTGATCGATCGTAGCCGTCTTCCCGATCTTCCCTAAACCCCTTTCTTTGGGGGGCGGGGGCAGCGGCGTTCTAATATTTGCTGGCTGTCTGGATAACGTGAATGGTAGACATGGTAATGTTCGGTCTGCGAAACATTTGTACAATTGGAGTTTACGATCGAGATGGAAGGAAACGCTCCACAAACTCGGTGACTGGGTTGCCATCAGGTGCTCAGGGCATAGCGTTCTCTGCAAATAGAGGAAAGAGAATAGCACTAGTGAAAGTGTGAATCACAATGAAGAGGAGGTTGTTGCCGGAATGCTTTGAGCAGCGTCAAAGTTGAACTTGAAGCTATCACAAATTGCAGGGTAAAGTACATGTTGGTGCCAGTTTGACAGCACAGTGCGCGGAGCGGAGGATGTCGCGGAAGAGGCGCGACGCTAACCCGGGCCTTCTTCTCAGTGAGCAGAACTCCTGCTGCAAGAGTTCCTTCTCTCTGCGAGATGACGTGAGGCCCAATTTGCAGCTTCCCTCGAACAAGGTGATTGAACATCTCTCTTCCCTCACATTTCATCATCACTACCTCCTCAATTCACTTCTGCTTCGGCCGTCTTCATCATTCATGTTACTGCTCTGATGCCTATCCTGAAGATTGTATTCCTGCAGTATTCACGCCATCCCACCTTCGGTCCTCACTCACAGTCACAGGTCAACCGCCTTCACCCTCCTCGCGCTACGCTACCGACAGAGTGCTCGTCAGCCTGATATCCCGGCTGCTCGCTCCCACGCTGATGCCAAACGACCCCGACGGCACCACCCATTTCTGCGAAGCCGTGTCCCAGTAGCTGAGATCTCGTCGTCGGATGTTGAACGTTGCTGTTCCGCTCTGACCAGGCGTGAGGTTCAGCTTGGCAAAGCCTCGCAGCTGCTTCGGAGGGGTCCTGGGTGCTGAAGATGGGTAGGTGATGTACAGCTGGGCTACCTCGGCACCAGTCACTTGGCCAGAGTTTGCGATGTCAACGGTGACTGTCGCGACATTCTGGAACAGATCACTCGGGCCTCCCGGCACAACGGCCCCAGTCGCAGGACCAGACTTGGCGGTCGACAAGACGGAGAGGCGTGAGTAGTTGAACTTGGTGTAAGCTATCATTCCACAGTCATCCGTCAGTCAACCTGTCTAATAGATTGTTCAGGTTAGCAAACTTACACAGTCCATAGCCGAACTCGTACCGCGGCGTGATATTGGCGTCGTCGAAGTGCTTATAGTCGATGAACAGTCCCTCGCTGAAGCTGTCACTGCCGCCGGAAACGATGCGAGTGTTATAGTCATTGGGGCTCTTCGCAATGGTGTACACCAGCTTGCCAGAAGGGCTGACATCTCCCCACAGCACGTCGACGAGCGCATTGCCGCTCTCCTGAGAAGGAAGACCCGCCCAGACAACGGCCTTGACCTGCGGAAGAGCAAGAATCTGCTCCAGAATGATGGCGCCAACGGAGTGGACAACAACAATGACGTTGCTGTTGGCACCGGCCACCGCCTGGACCAGGGCATTGCCGTTGTGCCACGGATCCAGGTTGTTGCGATCGCCCGCGTTGCCCTCCACGGTGATGTAGCCTTCACCCGAGTCGGCGGTGATGAAGACGATGGCGACGTCCTTTCCTCTTGCTGCAGATGCGCCTGAGGACGTGTTGTCGGTGTTGCTCAAGGTAACCTGGGTGCCCTGCGAAGACGCTCTGGTATTGATGGCATCGTAGGGCGCGACGAAGTACGGATAGTTGACGGCGCCGGAACCCCAACCCATGCCCAAGGCCCCGTCGTCGCAGCCTTTGTCGTTGCACGAGGGCGAGTTTCTGGCGTGGTTACCAATGATTGCGGCAGATCCAACGACGGCAATGCTAGCGGGCTTCTTGAGCGGCAGGATGTTGGCGTCATTCTTGAGCAGAACGATGCCGTCCCTGGCAATTGCCCTGACATTGGTCTTGTGGTTTCCTTGAACATTTCTGCTGATGTTGAACGACGGATAGCCTGCCTGGTCCTGGCCTGTCAAGTACCATGCGGCGAGGATACGAGTCACCATATCGTCGACTCTGCTCGTGGGGACCTGATTGCTATTTACCGCATTGGTGAGAGCTGGACCCCAGAGCCGATTGTTACCGTTGAAGTCTGTGCCAGGCATTGACATGTCAAGCCCAGAATTCGCGCTTTGGACAGTCGTGTGCTGTGCGTTCCAGTCCGTCATGACATAGCCTGGGAACCCCAGCTGGTCTTTCAGCACAGTCTGCAGCGTGTACTGATCCTCGCAGGCCCAGGTGGTATTGACCTTGTTGTACGAGCACATGACAGAAGCGACATTGGCCTGAACCGCGTCGGCAAATGGCCAAGTATACAGCTCATGGAGAGTTCGGTCATCTGGGTTGCTCGAAATGGTTTCTCGATTGAGCTCCTGCTCGTTGAGGATATAGTGCTTCGCTGTCGCCTGCACGCCTACCGACTGGATGCCGTTGATGGTTTGACCCATGGCAATGCCCGTGAGATATGGATCGACACCGAAGCCCTCCCAGTTGCGACCGCCCTGCGGAGTCTTTCCCAGCGGCCCAGCCACAGGACCAAGTATGACATGAATCCCCGAGGCCTTCACCTCCTCACCGATGAACTGTCCACGTTCGCGGATCAAATTGACATCCCACGTCGAGGCCGCTTGAACGCCCGGCGTAAAGGCTGTGCTGCCTGTCGAGTATCGAACACCGAGGGGTCCGTCTTGAAGGCATAGCGATGGATAGCTGATCTTGGAGGCCGGAGATGTGTTTCCAACGCAAGGACCGCCGTTCCAGCCGACACCGCTCACGATGCCGACCTTATCTTGGAGATTGAGCTTTGCCAATGCGGCCTTCGCCTTGTCGTACGCGGTTCCCCATGGAGTCCCTGCAGGAGGTACAACTGCCTCAGCCGAGGCCCCCGATGTTGAGCTACCTTGATTCAAGAGTCAGCATGGTGTCTCCAGGATACATATCACATCCCAGTATGGGACCAGCTATACTGACTGTCTGCCCTAGCAAAGGGCCCAGTGGCAAGTGCCAGCGCAGCTGCTGTTCGGTAACGCATTTCTGATTGGGCTCAACAGAATGGTCTTGGTCAAGACTGGTAGGAAGAACTCAACAAAGCAGAGTCTTGTCCACAAGTTATATAGTCTGCCAGGGTGGCGTTACTGAAGGAACCAGTTGGGACTCTCCCCGTCAACTCCCTCTTGGGCAAGCGCAAATCTCCTGGATAACGTTGCAGAAACACTCGGGCTCGGCAGCATTGCGGCCAAATCCCATCGTTGCACTCCTACCCACACCGAGATTTACGATTTGAGGCCGTGGGCGATCATTTCCTCGACCAAGCGGTAGCGCGAACTCTCCCTCTGTGGCCATAGCATAACGGGCCATTCACCTAGACCCCATGAAAGGCTACATATTCGCCCAACTGGGACCAGATGGCGATTGTGACCGCTCACAAACTGCAGCCATGATCTGGTTCACCAACCTTCCATCATGGACGGGTTGCTTTTACGGAATCTCCTGCACTGCCACCGGCTGTTGGGAAGCCGCAGGGTAGGAAACGATGCCGAATGTTGCCTGATGCTCTCTGCCATGAGATTCTCCGATAGCGTTCGTGATGCCATCCGCCACTGATCGATTTTCCCGGCAGTGATTCCTTGTATGATTCCGATCACTGGTGCAAAGTGTTTGAAGCGAACCTGGGGAAGCCTCAAACGGCAAGTGTCATGTCCTGGACATCGGCGCCACGACGGAACAAGAAGGTGGTCCAACCTTGAATGTAACAGCAAGCTACATTCAAGACCGCATGTCGACAAGAAGCCAGCCGAGGGCCTTGGCCTCCATTCTTCCAACAAGCCATTGGGATTGGCATTGCGGCACAAATTTGCTGGCTGTGAATTGACCAATGGAAGAGAATTCTGCTGTTGTAGGCGTCGAATAGCCGCCTGTGCGAATATGGATAAAAGGCAGAGTGCGTATTAGCATGAAAGACCGTGATCAGCATAAACTTACCGAGAATCGACCTGCCCCATCTGAGCCATGTCAGGCTGCACTGTCATTGCTAGTGGAACACGAGCACATAAGCTTTTACCTATGGTTATCGCTTGCATCTACGCGCCGTTGATGGTGGAGGATGGTGGACGTTCCCGAGACCCCTACGAGCTGTGGCATCGTCAAACTGTGCCCACAGACCTTTGTCTTGCTTTCATAACCTCGAGGAGTGTTTCCAGACTCATCATCCATACACAAGCAGTATTAATCAAAGAAACTCGGTCGCAATGGCAAAAATGGTTTGCAAACAGAAAACTATGGCCTCTTCCTATTCCATCATTAACTACTCTACCCGTTTGTCATAACAACATCATTAAAACCCTTATGCGTCAGGTGTAGCATCCTTGATCTGTTGCTCCTCCAACGGCCAGTTCTCAATCGTTACCTCTTCTCCCACCAACTCAAACTCAAGCTTCACAGACTCGTCGGTGTTCAAGGCTAGCTCATACTTGCCGGGGTATACAATCCGGTTTCCGTGAGAATCAACACGGGCGAGAGCACTGACAGGGATGGGGATGCTGAGCTTGGAAGAGTGACCAGGCTTGATGTCGGCAAGTCGGTCGAATCCGACGAGCCACTTGTTCGGGTACGGGGCTGGGCCAGCGTTGCTTGTGCGAACAAACAGCATGGCCGTATATGGGGACTCCGTCTTGCCCGAGTTCTTGATGTTGGCCTCGAAGGTGAAGACGGGAATCTGCTCGCTGTAAGTGTATCCGGGGTGAGGAGCAGAGAGGATCGATGAGGTGTTGAACTTGAGGCTCTTGGGGTGGCTGGCGAGAGTCTCCTTGAAGGTGGTGTAGAAGAGACCACTGCCAAACTCGTAGACGGGTTTGCCGGTGTACCAGATGTAAGTCTGTCCAGGGTTTGACTTTCCATCGGGTCGGAGGTTCATGTCATTCTGGGGGAATTGGTGAACATACTCAGCCGGGTACTGAGTGGTGACCAGTCGGCCGGCAGGAGCACGCTTGCCAGAGAGAATGTCGAAGAGGGCAACGCCTCCCGACTGGCCGGGATATCCGCCCCAGACGAGGGAGTTGACCTTCTTGTTGCTCTTGAGCGAGGATGAGTCTACCTGACCACCGCCCATTTGCAGGACGACAAGGGGTTTGCCGACCTCGCTGAGCTGCTTGATGAGATCCAGCTGATTACCGGGCCAAGCAATGTCCGTGCGGTCAGCGCCCTCCTGTTCAATGGTGTTGTCAATTCCACCGAGGTAGATGATGGCATCCGACTTCTTGGCGGCAGCAATGGCCTTGGCAAAGCCAGTGGTGCTGTTGCCGGCGATCTCTGTGCCGAGTTCAAAGTTGACGTGATAGCCGGCCTTCTTAGCAGCTTCCAGAGGGCTGATGAGGTATGGGGCAGGGCCATAGTAGTTGCCTTGCATTTGGGTTGTGGCATTGGCCCATGGTCCGATCAGAGCAATGCTGCGCACCTTCTTGGACAGAGGGAGAGTGCCATCGTTCTTGAGCAGGACGATGCCCTCAACAGCAGCCTCGTACGAGATGTTCCAGGCATCAGTCTTGACGACATCCTTCCAACCGAGCGAGCGGTACTGGTTCTTCTTGTCGAAGTATCCGAGACGGACGAGGTTGGCGTACAGACGGGTGACGGACCGCTCGATCTCGCCGCGGGAGACTTCGCCGGCCACAAAGGACTCGTTGAGGTGCCACGGGTAAGTCTGACCGCAGTCGATATCGGTGCCGGCTCGCAGTGAGCTGGCGGCGGCTGACGACTGGTTGCTGGCGTAGTCATGAGGGTTGAAAACGTTGTAGACGGCATCGCAATCGGACGAGACGTATCCCCATTCGGGGAAGCCCCAGCTCTCGCGCAAAAGCGTCTGCAGGAAGAAGCTGTTGGCACAGCTGGGCACGCCGTTGACGGAGTTGTATGCGCACATCAAGCTGCGTGACTTTGCATAACGGGCCGCAGCGAGGAACTGGGGAGTGTAGTATTCGGAGAGGTCCTGCTGAGTTATGATGGCGTCGAAACCGAGACGGGACTGGTTGTTCCAGTTCTCGAGGTCGTATCCGGCAAAGTGCTTCACCGTGGCGGCAACCTTGAGGTGCTCAGGGTCGACGCCACCCTGGATGCCCGTGATGTACTCGTAAGTATAGGCGGAGCTGAGGAAAAAGGCGTCTTCGCCGGGCGTCTCCTGGCCACGGCCCCAGAGGGGGCTTCGGAAGCCATTGACGTTTGGCGCATAGACGTCGAGACCGTAACGGCCGCTGTTGCTGAATGCTCGAGCTTGGGTCGAGATGATGTCGGCAATCTGGTGGATCAATGTGCGGTTGAGGGCCGCCGTAGTGAGGATGGGCATGGGGAACGAGGTCGCCCATTCGAACTGGCCGCCCTTGGTGGCGAAGTTGGCGCGGTCCAAGCCGTGCAGAGCCTCATTCCAGACTTGGTAGTTCGGAAGACCCAGGCGAGGCACGCCGGGGCCCGAGTTTTGCGTGTTGAGAATGAGCTCCTCGAGGGTGAAGAGCGAGATGAGGGCCTGGGCTCGCTCTACATAGCCGGCCGATGAGTCACAGACGAGATTGTTCTTGAGGGGGCCATGTTCGCAGTCGGGGAACGAGAGTGTGAGCGTGGCAAGTGTCTCGGGGTAGAGATCAGGCTGGCCCTGAGCAGAGTAGTTGGCGTATGTTTGATTGTTCTGCGCCAGGGCCGTGGGCAGGAGAGCCGACAGGGCGGCGAGAAGAGCTGCGTTATTCACCATTGCGTCCGGCTGTCCTTCAATGGCTCACGGTCTTCCTTGTCTCTCTCTCTGTTGCCTTCTTCCATCTGATCCCCGGAAAAGCCCAATATTTAAATTGAGCGGTATGACGATGACGATGTTGCATTCTTCCCCCATGCATCATTTGCAATTCCAGCATGTTACCCCATGTTAACCCCATACGGGACGGAAATGCTACCCCAGCTTCTTGGTGTGGTCCGACCTGCATCACGGCTCCACACATGCCAACTCCTCCTCACCATGATTTCCCGGCACCTCGAGATATTTAGCCTGAATACAAGGCGGACACCAATTGCCAGCCGCTAGTCGAATGACTGCCATCTCTGTCACTAACAGGGGTGGTCGTTGGTGTATCTTCTGTCTCAATCCCCTTTTCCAAGCCATTGCGTTTAGCTTACGTTTTAGTATATGATCTTGATGACAGCGGATACTGCCGACTTTTACTAGTTCTATCAGACACAGACGCAGATCCGTTGTGAATAGCCGGTATTGGACCTTTTCTGTTTCTCTTCTTCTACTTGTGTTTCCATTTAGCCAATACTCCCGACAGGAACAAACTTGCATCTCATTCTTGCCGGCTAAGTAGGCAAAAGCGGGGGAGTAACTGCAGATTACTACATGTACCTTGTGGAGTGGCAAGCATTGGGGCATCGTGAGGAGAGAGGAGCCTGAAAGAAGTGCGGAGTACAGTCTAAGTTCATTTGTGAATGGGTACAATTATCTGCCCGGGCACTTGGGGTATGAAGGAGTAAGGATTCCTCATGAAGAGGCTGGATTCCGTGTATGTTGAGGTGACTGAAGTATGCACATTCTCGAGATTAATCACAAACTTCGATACCAATGAATGCGGACATACGATTCAGAGAACTTGGAGAACTCGAAGGAAGCCAAACCTGAACCTCAGATTGGGGTTGACAATGCATATATCACAACGAAATTGAGGGTGCGTTTATAGCCATGTTGTCAGTCTACCGCCATCTCTTTCGATCTCAACAGCTCAATTGGAGTCAAGAAGTTTGAACGGGTGGGGGGAAACGTGCCAGTGTATCATACAATGCACCCTGCTCGCGTTACTCTAAGGTATAGCTGGTAGCATCCCGAGCGACGAAACGACGATCAACCTAGGCGCTGTAGCTGAGGATGCAGTGTTTGGCGGGCGAGCTGAGGTTTGGCTTCGAGTGTGATGCTTTCCCGGTGTTCCCCGGTATCTTGCTAGCTGCATATATACGCCGCACATAGAGTCCACGAATTGCAGGATATGAGCTTACCTGCATCTAACGCATGGCTAGGCCTACAAGCCTCGACAGAGGTGCAAGCAATTAGCCCAAATAGCCACACTTGCGTTCATTCGCTGGCTGAAACATTTCTCAACATTATACCAAGACGGAACAATCCTCCTTGCAGCCAGCACTTTGGGTGCCGTATGTTCCCCAGGAAACCCAGATCCTTTACTACTACCTCCAATGGAATGGATGGTAATCAAGGCAGACAAGCTCTCAATTGTCTAGACCAGCCGCTGGAGCCCATTTCCTGC